GGGTGGTGGAGTGACTCAAAGTGTAGGTCCTGAGTTCAAGTCCCAGTACCACAAAAAAAAAAAGGCTTTTCCAAACAAGGTAAGTTAGGACCTGATATCTTTAGGAGCAATTATTCAACCTACTATATTCCACTTTCTTTTCATCAGAAAAAAAAAAACCAAAAACTCACAGCATTCATTTTAGGAAAAATTGAATTTTGCTCACATTGATTCAGCTAAAATGATTACACCCAAAGTGGAGAAAATGGGGAAAAATGGTTGATTATGAGTTTTCAGGGAAAGCAGTATAATTAGAGATTGAATTTGCTTCTTTACGTCTCCATCTCCCTCCTTAAATTACAAGCTTCCTGAGCTCAGGAACTGTTTATTTTACTCCACATTGTGTTTCTTTTCCCTGCTCTCCAGCAACTGGAAAATGTTGTAAGTGTTACCTAGAAAGTGTTTGCTAGCAGATTTTTTGACTGTACAGATTTCCTGAAATGTCACCTGAAGCAAACAGCTAATGTTTGGCTACAGGCAAGATGGCCTCAAGTGGGGGGGTGGGTAGCTATCTGCCTTGGTTTGCCTTGGTTTAAAGTGGGAGAGCCACACTCATGCTCATATCTGGACTCTCTCATGTTAAGATGTCAGAAGAATCCCCTCTGTCTTGGGCAGACCAAGATGGTCACCCTGTCAGGAGCCCAAATTTGAGGGGAGCTGCCTTAGGAAGGCTGGCATTTATCATAGTGGGGAATGGTCCTAGGATGGTATTGTCATGGAAGGATGGCCCAAAAGTGACTACTTGGCATTTTCAGGCATAAATCAAAATATTGACTCACTCACTTACTCATTGCATTCAATGAATATTTTCTGGGCATTTACTGTGTACAGCTGGCCTGTGCAGTTCTAGAGGCTGGAGATTTAATGGTAAACAACACAGATGAGTCCTTGCTTTACTGACACTAAATGAAGGAGAAAGCCTGTAAACCCATGGAAAGCATAGCTCTATAATGAGAACTGTTGAGTGCTATGAAGAAAAATAATGCCATGTGGGGGAAAGAACAATGCGGGGGGCACTATTTTAAGTAGGATAATCAGAGGTGTCTCTGTGAGGCAACATTTGAACCAAGACAAGGATAAGAATTTTTGAACAGAGAACTGATTGTGCTCATACCTGAGTGAAGCGGATACCAAGAAGAAACAGCTGGTGCAAAGGCCTTGCTAAGCTAGAGGGAACATGGAGAGGTCAGTGTGGCCTGCATGGAGCAAGCAAGGTGACTGTGAACAGATATGGGGTAAGGAATTTACAAGGTCACCTAATAGCACTTGCTTTCAAAAGCAAGACAAGGACACATGTAAAGACTGTCTGGAGGCCAGGCACAGTGGCTCATGCTTGTAATCCTACCTACTTGGGAGGTAGAGATTGGGAAGGATGGCAGTTAGAGGCCAGCCTGGGCAAAAAGTTCACAAGATCTCATAGCAACCAATGGCTTGGCATGGTGACGTGCACCTGTCACCCCCAGTTACGTGGGGAAGCACAAATAGGAGGATATAGGCCTGCCTGCCAGGCATAAAGAGGGACCCTATCTCAAAATGACTAACACAAAAAGGGCTGGCAGAGTGGTAGAGTACCTGGAGCTCAACCCTACTACTGACAATAAAGACTGGGAGGACACAGTAGTTGCCTCTGGACACAGGCTACAGTTGGAAGGAAAACTAACTTCCCTTTATGTATTTTTCTTTTTTTGGATGCTTGGCTTTAAAAAAAATGCGTAAATTGCTTTTTTAAAAAATCTAGTTAATAATGTAAAGATTATTTTGTAATAGCTTTAAGTAATTAAAACTGAAATTTGAGAGTGGGGTGCAGTTGAAAAGGAGAGCTCTCCAGGTTGTTTGTGTTGGGCCACCTAGTGATAGGCAGCCTGGGCAGCAGGGCAATAATGGCTTTGGAGAAACAGAGAAAGCCAGAGCAAGAAAGAGCCCCACCATCAAAATAAGGGCCAAGCCTTTGCCAGTGTCCTCAAAGGGCAGGAAACTGGTTTTATTGATACTGAGTAGAAAGAACACATAGTGACAGATTCATCCCAGCTCTTTTAAGAGTTATGTTAGCAACAAAACAAAACAAAAAAAGAAAAAGAAAAAAAATAGGTTCTGCTAGCCAAATTAGCCTGGCTAATGTTGAGTGAAGTTCTCTTCCAGATGGAAAACTAGGGTGGGCATGGTTTCAACTCCCCTCCCCCATTGCTGAACATGCAATCTGCTGTCCTAATGAGGGAACATAAAAAAGCTAAAAAAAAATTTGCAGTGACCAAACCCCCTCCTAGAGAAAAATCGAGGATCTAGGGAGCTTCTCCAGTAGTATAGGAGTAGGATGGGGGAGTCTGTGAATAATGAAATAAACCCTAATCCCAACCTACAAGCAGCAGAGGGTGGGCCTGCCCCTCCTTCTCTCAGAGAACAAAGATGACTAACAGCTTCCTAAAATATTAAAGGAACTTTCCATGAGAGCTGATAACTTGACCTACACCTTTATTCCCCAGGCATATTTTTTTTTAGGAGGGGCGTGGCAGAAGACTTTGCAAAGCTTGATTCTGGCTGGGCAGAGAGAGAACAGAGGCCTCCTGGGCCTCCCTCTGTGCACCACAGAAGGTGGGAGGCTCCACAAGACATTCCAAGCCTTCCCTACCCTAGAGGTCTCACCCTCAATTTCCTTAGCAAGGTTCTCCTATCTGGGACAGCCAAGGTCCTCTCCACAATCCTGTTTCCTAAATAAAAGGCTCCATGTAAGTGAATGGAGATGTCTGGGTGCTTCCTTGCCCCTTCTTATCTGCCTATCTCACAAAGCAAGGGTGGCTGCAGAGATCTTGCTGTGTCTGTTCCCAATGTTCTCCTGGCTGGCAAATCCACCACAAGACTGGGACACCTGTGACTCCAACACTCTAGGTCTCACATTTCCCCTCAGTTCTGCTTAGAAAACGAGAACTCAAGTTTTCCACACTGAGAATTTTGGTTGCCTTTAAAAGCATTGAGCTTCTGTATGTTTTACTTCAATTTATAAAGAGAGCTGGGCTTGATGGCACATTCCAGTAATCCTAGTACTCAGGAGGCTGAGGCAGGAGGATGGTAAGTTCAAGGCCAGCCTGGACTAAATAAGAGACCCTATCTCAGGAAAAGTAAGAAAGGGAGGGAAGGAAGGGAAAGAAGGAAAAGAGGAAGGAAGGGAGGGAGGGAAGGCGAGAGGGAGGGAAGGAAACTGTCACTAGTGGCTCAAGCCTATAATCCTAGCTAGTTGGGAGGTTGAGATCAAGAGGATCAGAGGTTGAGGCCTGCCCAGACAAATGGTTCCCAAGACCCATCTTCAAAATAACCAGAAGAAAATGCACTGGAAATGTGGATCAAGTGGTAGAGCACCTGTATTGCAAGCACAAAGCCCTGAGTTCAAACCCTAGTCCCACCAAAAAAAAAAAGAAAGATAGACTTGATGGACAAAGCCTGGCATGATGTCCCAGGCAGGGAGCAACTGCTATGTGTCAGGCACTGTTCTGCATACAGGGACTCATGGCATTCCTGTACTTACAGAGTTTACATTCTAACGAGAGACAGGGAAGTCCAGGCTGGGACAGGTCCTTGGGGTACTTACTCCTGTCAGTTAGAACATATCTAGTAAGTATGACTTAAAGTAGGGTTGGCAAACAGCAGGTGCCCAATAAGGTTACTTGTTTTCCCATTTTAATGAGTAACAAGTGCCTAAAAACTCTCATTACTGAGAGTGGGAAGTTCAGCATTTAAACACAAGCCAGAAAATGATAGCAAATGCTGACTAGAGGTGAGCAATACACAAAGGTCATGTATTAGAATCTCATTTTTGCTTGTATAGCAATGGGCAGTATTTATCAAATTAAACAATGTATTCGATGATTGCACCTGGCATTATATCTAAATGTAAGGCAAATTTGCAGCACCAGGTGGAAACACAAGACTGTATCAGTCACATATGCCTGGGAACTCAACACCATAAAGATCTAAGCTCAGGAGCTGCCTTCAAAGTATAACTTGGTCTAGGTGGGGCTATCCAGGCGTGTATCTATGAAAAAAACCTCATGGAGTAGTAGCTTAAAATTTGTACATTTCTAGTATATGTAAATTATATTGGTTACTTATAAAGGAAGGAGTGTGTTGATGCACATCTTATTATCCCAGTACTCAGAAGGCCAAGGCAGGAGGACTGCAAGTTCCAGGTCAGCCTGGGCTACATAGTGAGACCCCAAAACAAACAGCTACAAAAAGATGTGTTTGCTATTGCTGTGGCTCAGGGAGTGCTCCCTTGCTAGCAGCTCATGAGCACACACAGTGGCCTGGAGGGACCATGAACTGGTCACAAGCAGCGTAGATTCTCAGGGCAGGACTTGTCTCAGGACAACTCCTGAGGCAGGGCTGTTGCATTGTGTAGCAACCCCAGGCAGGTGAGAAATGGACACGGTCCAGCCTGTCATCATACTACCACTGCCTTCATGGTTCCTGTCCCCTTTGGAAGGCCTGGGCTGATGGGAAGAAAAGACCCACACAGGAAATAACCAGAGAGCAAGTTTAGGACAAGGCCACCAGATCTCAGGGACAAGGCTCTTATATCTGCTGAGGAAGGCACATCTTTCCTGCTTCTTGGCATCTGGGAAAGGCAGCAGCTGAGGACTTGAGGTCACAGAAGAGTCACAGATTAGGTGAGGAATGATTGTTCACACCCAGGAAGACAACTGGCCGAATAAACATGTGCCATGGCAACGTCTCCATCTCACCCAGTCTCTGTCACTCATCTCTCTGCCACTCATCCTAGTGCGCACATGCTTCGAGATACTTCACATCATGAATCCTCAGAAATTGCAGGTGGTTGGCCGTTGTCATAGAAGAGCGTGCCTCTTTTGAAGGGTGATCTCTGGGCATGTTATCAGGCTGGACCACCAGGGGCCTGAATAAGACCTGCACTTGCAGGCACTCACCGGGCTGCTTCACGTTCTTCTCGACAGGACGCAGTGTCACATTGCCCGGAAGAAGGCCAACTGGCCCGAATCCAAAATGTTATCCAGGAGCTTCCTCCATCCCATTACAGGTAAGAATCCCTGGGGAAAAAATGGGCAGGCTCTTCATGTGGTGTGATATCAAGAAGGCAGGATGGTGTGATGAAAGGGAGGAAGCTCAGTGGACAGTGACTTTCCTGGGGGCAATCTGAAAATCATGAGCAGGTCACTCTTACCAGAATGAGTTGGTGCCTGGACAGGGACATTGGCAGCAAAGGGCAGACTGTCTCCAAGTGACTTGCAAGGCACTCATCAGCATCCCATAGGAAGTCATTCCAGTCAGACAAGCCAGCCTCACAGTGATGTCCTTGGTTCTTATGCAGATTTGTAGCATAACCAAACCTATGGAAACCCACATGGCCTTCAAAGAAGGGATGACTGTGGCTCTTGTGCATTTGGCTGACTGAGCTCTCTACTGGCTCATCAGTACCACCCTTGTGACATCCCCATGCTTTCATTTCACTTTCATAGCTTAGCCCCAAATGTTACCACCTTTCCCAGTGTCCCTACACCTGCCTTTCTTTTGCAAGAAGGCAGATTTTGAGGTGGTATAAGAAAGAACAAGGCAATCACAAATGTTCTTTGTCCATGAAATGAGCTTCCTAACAAGCACCAAGTTAACTGCTGCTGGAAGATAGATGAGAACCTATCTCAAGACGGGGAGGCAGTTCTGCCCTGAGTGAAAAGAGGAGCAAGTGGCCACTGTGGCCCTGCAGTCTGTGATCCCCTTCTGTCTCTGGCTGATGCTCCATGGGCCTCTGCTGACTTCTGACAGGACTTCTCCCATCCCCCAGGGCAGTGGGGCTGGAGCCAAGGAAATTACTCCCATCAATCTTGATCTCTTCCCAATATTCCTTCCAAATTCATAAGATATAAATACAGTCTCTGGAACCCAAACTTAGAAATGGCCTCCAGATGTCAGGTTTCACACAGGCGCTGAAGTTTATTACTTTGTCAAAAAAAAACCCAAATCATGAACCATTACAGGACCTTGGAATACCTGATTCGGCACCTGGCCCACATCGCCTCCTTCAGCAGCAAGACCAACATGCACGCCAGGAACCTGGCCCTGGTGTGGGCTCCAAATCTGCTCAGGTAACTACCACGCCCTCGCTTTCTCACCACCCTTGGGCTCAGAGCCCCCACAGAGGAAACGGAGCCTGGACTTTTCAAAATGGAAGCCTTTGAAAACCAGGTGCAGCTAAGGAATCTTTTACAGCACATATGAATTAGAGGTGCTCTGAATAGCCTAAGTTCTTTGCCTGCTAACTTGGAAACTCTGGGTTCCAAAGGCATTTGTTGGCTGAAGTTATGAGTCCGTATGTTATAATTTCTTGAAAAGACCTTTTTTGGGGGCTTATTGGCTTTTCTTGGCTTTGGTGGAGTCACAGATGGCTGTAACTTGAATCAGCTGCTCCACGTGACTTTACAAATTATGGCCATAGGACAATTGAGTGGAAGTGGAAGGGGATCCTATGAAGAAAAAAGAAATCACTTCCCGTGTGTTTATGGAATGTGTTTATAGTCTTGCAAGGTATACTGCCTGGTAACTGTTTTAAGTCTGTTCAGTGGGTTGGTTTCATAGCCTTGGTCTTAAAGAGTTAAAATAGTGTACAAATTAACTAACTAAATGAATTTAGATGATGGGACCTGTTACAAAAGCCTGCTTCCAGTTATAAGGCAGACTCACTCAGTGAATATGTTTCTTCCACGGTCAGGTCTAAAGAAATCGAAGCCACTGGTTGCAATGGAGATGCAGCTTTCCTGGCAGTTCGGGTCCAGCAGGTGGTGATTGAATTCATACTGAATCATGTGGATGAAATCTTTAACAACGGCACTCCTGGGACTCTGGAGAACAATGGTAATGACTCCTCTGGCATATGTCCCACCAGGCTATACTCCTTTTTTGGCCCTGGTCAAGTGAGGGTGGGTTTGGTTCTAGCTCTGACTCTGTGTGTGTGTGTGTGTGTGTGCTGCTACTGTGTGTTACTGTCTGCAGATCATGCCTGTATCTCTAAGGTACTGGCAACATTCTCCTTTTTAATGATTAGACATCATTTTTACCTGCATAATGATATTTCAAAAGATCCTTGTGCCTTCACCTGAAGTCTTAAGTGAACAAGTTGAGAGGCAGTGTGTTCATACTCACATGTATATCCAGAATGCATGCTCTTTCCTGAGTACTTACTTTGTCCTGCCTGGTACCAGGTAGTAAGTGTACAAAAAATGATTATGTTTGTGTGTTTTGGGACATCTCATAATGATATGATAAACCCTAGAAATAAGCTGCTCTATGTTGCTGGAACTCCTATGAGTCTAGGTTGCAAAACCCATAAATCAAGTTAATCACAAATCCTGCTGGCTGGGCACCTTGGCTTCTGCCTGTCATCCCAGCTACTCAGGAGGCAGAGATTGGAAGGATCATGGTTCAAAGCCAAACTAGGTAAAAAGTTTGTGAGAGCCTATCTCAAAGATAACCAAATCAGAAAGGGCTGGGGATGTGGCTCAAGTGGTAGAAAGCTTGTCTAGCAAGCACAAGGCCCTGAGTTCAAATCCCCCAGTACAACCAAAAAAAAAATCCTGTAGTGACCATTTGTGTATGAGAGGTTTTCCAATGTTGGTGTGCATCTTGTTAAAATGCAGATTACTAGCCAGAAACTCGTGGCTCATGCCTGTAATCCTAGCTACTTGGGAGGCTGAGATCAGGAGGATTGTGATTTGGAGCCAGCTCCCAGCAAATAGTTCTAGAGATCCCATATACAAAATAATCAGAGCAAAAAATGAACTGGAGGCATGGCTCAAGCAGTAGAGCACCTACTTCACAACTGTGAAGTCCTGAGTTCCACTCCAGTCCCACCAAAAAACAAACAACACAACAACAAAAAAGCACAGATTACCAGCGTTTTGGTGCGATAGTTCTGGAGTGGGACTGGTAGCGTGCATTTCTATCAAGTTCCCACAGAATGCTGGTGCTGCCAGTCAGGGCCCACAGTTGGAGAACCAGTGGGTGTATGACCAGCATACTCATCAGAATGACCTATTTCAATTAACATCACATTTAGATGGCTTAACTGAGAGAATATGGGCACCAAATCTTGGTCTCCATGACTCCAAATCCCTGCTTTAATATGAATGTGGTATATATTGGAGATATATATAAAGAGAGTACACACTCAAAAGGTTTTACTGTGTTTTTATAGCCCACTGATCAGTGGCAAAGAGGAGAAGGCAAGCAGATGAAGAACTCATAGGTCACACTCAGAGCCTGGTTTGTTCTCAGTGCCTTGGGCCAGCACTGGAGGATGGGGGTGGGTGGCAAGTGCAAGGTCTGAGTGTTCTGGATGCCACATTTCAAGAGACTGGAAGCAGGGAGAGAAGTAAAGAGCCAGTGCAGAAATCAGCTAGGAAACACGGTGGCCTGTACTGGCATGTTAGAAGTAAAAAGGAAGGATAGAAGGGAGGAAAGTAGCTGGATTCAGGGTATATTTTAGAGGTAGAGTTACAAGACTTGCTTCTAGGCTGGATCTTGGGAGAGGGATGAATCAAAGAAGGGAATGAATAAAAAATAACTGCTCCAGGTCTTGGCTTACACAGCAGAGTGGTCCATGGTGCCATTTACTGACATGGGGAGGTGAGAGGAGGTACCAGTGTGGAAGTGAGGAGCATATCATAAGGACCGTAATGAATGTTTAAGACATGCTTGCTACACATCTAGACCTTGAGTGGGCCTTAGGTCCAGACTGGCCAGGAACTGCCATCCTCCTGATTTCTGTCTCCTAAGTAGCTAGGCATCTGGTTCATAGGATGTATTTAAACCTATAGAATCATTGCCTTGCTTATCCTCCCTGGATACACCCCACTGTCACACATTGTCTTCACTGTCTATAGGCCCTTTATAGTGGCTTTAATTTCTTCCACCCAGAGAGGCTCATGCCTTGCAAAAAAGAAATGGTGCCATCCAGAACACAGGGGAGTCCTATACCAAGGACTCCCCTGTAATCTAATTTGGTCTGAGTTACCGTCAAGTCTCTCTATATCTTCAGAAGTCAACAAGGAGCCAGCCTGATGGTTCACACCTATAATCCTAGCTACTCAGGAGGCAGAGATCAGGAGGATGGAGGTTCAAAGCCAGCCCAGACAAATAGTTTGAGAGACCTTCTCTTGAAAAAAAACCCATCTCAAAAAAGCATTGGCGAAGTGGCTCAAGTGGTAGCATGCCTACCTAGCAAGCACAAGGCCCTAGGTGCAAACCCAAGTACTGCCAAAAAAAGAAAAAGAAGTTGACAAGGTCACCAAAGACTAGAAGCAAATGTAGACTTCTTTTTTGCTTAGATCAAGATTTCTCAACTTCAGCACTATTGATGATAGTGTCAGATAATTCTTGTGTGGGACGCTATTCTGTGCATCCTGCAGTGGCCAGCACTTTGCTAGCCTCCACCCACTAGGTGCCATTTGCTCTCCCACGTGTGTCTATGGCAATCAAAAATGTCTCCAGATACTGTCAAATGTTCACTGTTGGGGTTTGGAGAGGGGAAAGTATGCACAATCACCCCAAGTTAAGAACCACCGATAAGAAAAGGACCTTCTACATCATTGATTGTCTTCATTACTCCATTCCTTAAGAAATGCCATAGAATAGGAAAGAGTTAATTACACACACTAAAGATGGCTGGACAGAAAGTGAAGAGCCACAAATCACTTAGGGAATAGTATTGTGCGCAAAGTGTGTTTTTCCAGCAGAAATAGAAGCCTAGGTGATCTAGGGAAAATAGAGGCTCCAGCCTTCTGTTGTCCTGGAGCATATATTCTCCTGCCTTGTCATAGCTGAGTTAGACCATTCCTGTGGCTGGACAGACCTTCCCATTGGCCACAGTATTAGGCAGAGTTCTTGGAAGGAAAGACCCACTGCTGTTAATTCTGAATCACAGCAAGTACTCAATAAATATTTGTCAAATGAATGAATTGTTACAGAAAGTGCAGTTACCTCCTGAGGCCCCTGTTTGCCCTCTGGCTAGTCCGCCAGGAGAGTTGCCAGTTTCCTGTGTATAACCTCATCCCCAGAACCCACCATGCTCAAGAGAAGCCAGAGTTGGCACTTATGTCCTTTCAAGAAGTCAGAAGGAGGAGCTGTGGATGAGGACTCTCACTGGATGAGGGTGCAGCCCTCATCCAGACTGAGCTCTTCTTTTTGCTTTACAGAAGACTGGCCCATTGTGAAGAGCTTGACCCTGCCAGCACTGTCCCTGCCCATGAAGTTGGTGAGCCTGGAGGAGGCTCAGGCCCGCAGCCTGGCTACGAACCACCCTGCTCGGAAGGAAAGGAGGGAGAACAGCCTGCCTGAGATCGTCCCTCCCATGGGCACCCTCTTCCACACTGTCCTTGAGTTACCAGATAACAAGTAAATGGCATTCTTTTAAACTCTGGGGGATTGGTGGGTGGAGGGAGACAGGAAGAACAGTGGATAGTCTCAGGGCCATGATGACAGTGTGCTTTGGGGTTGTTGTTTAGGTGGCATGTAAAGAAATGTTCCAGAAGAGAAGAGAGCTATCTCCACAACTCTCTCTCATCAGTGGTGCTATCTTCATGCACTGCCCCAGAATTACTGAGACCCCCCTCAATCTCCCACCAGAGACCCCAATCACCAGGATGGAAGTAGGAGTCTCATCATGAGTCCTGACTAAACTCCCTTACTCCTTTAGCTGGGATGAAATAGAGCTGGCATTTACAGAAGGAAGTTTACTAAAAACAATAACTTGACCCACTCCCCCTCACTTCCATCCTCATATCACAATAAAAAAGGCATAGAGATAGATCTACGAGGACAAGCTGACAAATTGTGCCACTTCAACAGAGAACTCTGGGTGGCAGCACTTGTGGGGGGCAGCATCTCTGATGTCCTTGCCTCTTCTAGACCTATTGGAGCCCTCCCTCCCCTCCAAAACTAACCAAGCACCTTCTTTCCTCATATCCTCTTTCCTTATTTCTTCCTCCATTGCAACCCTAGTCCTTGGTGAGTGAAAAGGAACATAAAAACAGGCACCCTCTGTCAGTCTCCTCCCCCAAGATGGCAGGCCGTTTCCCTTCAGGGAGGGAGGAACAGGGCCGCCATGTTCCACAAGTCATGATGCTATAGAAATGGCACACCTGAACTCTCCTGGGGAGAAACCTCTCCGTTTCCTGGAGTGTGTGGATTGTGTGCTGTTGGAACTGAGCCCATAGCACCTCTCCCTAAATCAATGGAAAATAAGACTCCTTCTCAAGGATCAGTAAGAAGGATACTTTGGAAGGACCAGCTAGTACATTTTTTTTCTGTGCTTTCATTCATAGCCAGAGTACACTATACCCTATAAAATACGCCAGCCTATCAAATATACCCAAAGGCCAAGTGCTTTAAAAAAAACCAAGCCAAGTCCAAAAGAAACCACCAAGCGCTGCAGACTTGTCTTGGATAGCTCATAAAGACATGCTACACCTGAGCTCTTGATGTTCTAAAGAGCCCTAAAAGAAAAGGCCCATTGCAGGACCCACAGGTTGTAGGGTTTCACTCAGAATGTCATAAAAGTCTCATGGCTAGGCAGAGCCCCAGATAGACTTCTAGACTTTTGTGTGATGTATGGTGGTTCCAGGCTCTCCTGACCTCCAGCCCAGTGCTGCCTTTCCCATAGAAGTATAGTGGGAGGCAAAGCCAGAGGTGCACTGATCCCTCTGTCTTTCTCTGCAGTGACTACCAACCCCACCCAGCTAGCTGCATCTCTCCCCAGCTGCACAAGGCCAGACTCTTCTCCAGGTCGGCTTTCTTGTCCCTCCCTTTTCAGTCCATGGTCTCCTTTCATCCTCACCTCACTTATGGATGTCCCAGCAATGTGGCAGCTGGGCAGGCAGCATTGCAGAGCTGGAGTTGATGGTCTTTAATTTTAGTCCTCTAAAAAATGTTATCTTTGAAAAGCAAGGTTTACATTGCTTAACAGAATTCAGAACTGTGGGAGCAACTTTTGACCTTTGAGTCTCCCACCAACCCTGCCTCTGTTTTCCCCCCTCCCTTGCCTTTGATAGATGTCTTTGCTCTGACTCATGAAAGCCTAATTCATTCATCTAGGGCATCCTGAGACAGGGTGAGAGTCAGGCTCAGTTTGGATTTTAGAGGGGAAACTTCCCAAAATAGCAGGGCCGTTTATAACTAAGAACATGATTGGAATCTTCTCTCCCAATCATAAAGTCCCCCCAGTGACAGTTAAACTAACCTCGTATGGCTTGGGTCTTTTAGGAGAAAGCTTTCCAGTAAATCAAAGAAGTGGAAATCAATATTCAACCTGGGACGTTCTGGATCAGATTCCAAATCAAAGCTGAGTAGGAATGGGAGTGTATTTGTGAGAGGGCAGAGGCTCTCAGGTAAGAATCAGCCATAATTGCATCTTTTGAAGCAAGCTTTTTTCACCTAGCTCTGTTTCTTAGGTCTTTGATTTCTTAGGTCCCTGCCGGCCACCATTGGCTCACACCTATAATCCTAGCTACTCAGGAGCACAGATCAGGAAGATTATGGTTCAAAGCCAGCTTGGGCAAATAATTTGTGAGACCCTATCTTGAAAAAACCCAACACAAAACAGGGCTGGTGTAGTGGCTCAAGGTGTAGGCCCTGAGTTCAAACCCCAGTACCACAAAAAAAAAAAAATTACTATCCCTGAAGCCTGGCAGCAGTAGCTCACATTGATAATCCTAACTACTTGGGAGACTGAGATCAGGAGGATTCTGTTCAAGGCCAGCCCAGGCAAATAGTTCTCTAAATTCCCATCTTCAAAATAACCAGACCAAAATGAACTGGAGGTGTGGCTCAAGTGGTAGAGAACCTGCTTTGCAATTGTAAAGCCCTGAGTTCAAAATCCTAGTCCCACCAAAAAAAAAAAAAATTCACTATCCCTGAAAGAGGAACTTAAAAATTAATCAAAGCGGTAGTTTAAAAAATAGTAATTTTTTGATTACACAGAGAACCTATACATCTTTCAGGCAGCTTCCCTGATATTAACATCTTACATAACTATAATGCAGTTATTGAAGCCAAAAAATTAATATCAATATATTATTGTTAACTAATTTACAGATCTTATTCCTACTTGACCAGTTGTCCCACTAATGTTCTTTTTCTGGTCCAGGATCCAATCCAAAAAGCCATATCACATTTTATTGTCATATCCCTTTATCTCCTATAATCTAAAGCAGTTCCTTAGTCTCTCTGACCTTGATACTTTGGAAGAGCACCAGCCATTTATTTTGTAGAATTGTACCTCAGTGTTTGTTTGTCCAGTGTTTTCTCACGGTGAGATTGGAGTTAGGAATTTTTTAGGAATTCTACAGAAGTTGAGCTATGCCTTTCTCAGTGTGTCATAGATGTCAATATCTCACTGTTTGGGAAGTTAAGATAGGTTACTTGTCTAAAGTGCTATTTGTCATGAATTTTGGCATCAATAGATTGGTTCTTACCTGCACCAGTTATTATTGTTATTATTTTTTCTAAATAGCCGTTTTCTATTAACTGGAATTCTACTATAAAGAAGTCTGTCCTTCCTCCCTCGGCCTCGTGATTTTTAAATAAGGATGCTTTTCCATAGAACTTATTTCTGAGTACTGGACAGATCCTGATACAAGAAGGAATCGAGGGAGCCACTATCTAATGAAGAGTCTAACCTGTTCAGATGAATATCATGTCAGGAAAGGGAAGACCAAGGAAATTTTTCATTTATTTAGTGAGGGATTGCAAGCTGGTAAAAATGGGGCCAATGGTTATAAAAGCAAGTTGAAAGGGTTAGTGTACAAGTGCAATGAGCAGGCCTGACTGGAAAGAAAAAGATCTACAAAAGACAATTTTGGGGACAAGTAAGGAATAGATTGAATAAGGAATAGACTGGATAAGGATATAGATTGGTTATTAGATGATATTAAGGAATTATAAAATTTCATAGTGTACTAATGGTTCTTAAGAGTCATAAGCTAAAGCTGAGGTATTTAATGATGAAGTGTCACAATACTAAAATTCACTTTCAGATCATGAAATATAAGAAAGTAGATATAGAAGTAGACAAATGAAGCAAATATATAGCAAAATGTCAGTAAATGTTGAAAGTCCATAGTAGATTTAGAAGTCTTCAACTTTTCTGAATGTTTGAAAATTTTAATAACAAGTATTTGGGGGAAGATTAATTCCTACAGGAAAAATGAGAGGTAATATTTTTAAGGACTTTTCCCAAACCCAGTAAAAATTTCATATCCAGGGTTAGAAGTACAGATGTTAGAAATCTTCCTGTTTAGCTACTGGAGTAATAAAGGATGTCACAGTGTGAGGCAGTAGCAATGATTTAGATATAAAAACACTAAGTCCATTGAAGTGACTTCAGCAGTGAGGGAACTTATTGGCTTCTATAATTTGGACATCCAGAAATAGGGAAATCTTCAGGGTAGTTTAATATGGCAGCCCTGTCTCTATTCCTAGGTGTCCCTCACTATTCCCTCCTCTTTGGGTCAGCTTCATCCCCGGGCTGGCTTCCTTTGCTGTGGTAAAGTGAATATTGAGATGGGCCTTTCCCATCAACTATCATTATGCCCCAAAAGGTAGAGAACATCATTTCTGGTAACTGGCTCCTTAGAACAGAAATTCTTCTGTCCCAGAATTCCCCGTGAAATGTTCAGCCCCCCATTGCCCTGCCACAGTAGCCTTTTCTGGTTACATGGTCAGGGGGATGCTGTGTGCTGATTGCCTAGCCCTGGGTTCGGAACCAATCACTAGCATGAGGAATAGAAATTACAGCTCACAAATATAAGAGCTCTGTGAAAAGGGCAAAAGGAAATGGATTCTGGGTAAGCATCTATGACATTCAATGCCCAGGAAACACGTCTTTCACAAAATAGAAATATAGCCCAAGTGAAAAGGACAGGGTGCCACTGTATGGCACAAAAGATACAAAACAGAAATTGGGATTTTCAAAGGAGGATGTGAGAAAAAGAGTACCTGACAAGAAATGTAGAATAAGACATTGTTTAAGCATGTCCATGAGACAATCGGTGATATAGCAATAGAAGAGGCTTGCCAAGAAATAAAAAAGGCAAAACTAACAGAATAAAACAAATGAGCAAAAATGAAGTGATTTGCTTCAATCTTGATTTAGGAAGATTTCTGCCCCATGTACTTTTCAAACGGAAGAAATCCAAGATGCTAGACCAAATGGTGGCAAGAAGTACAGTGTGCTCAGCACAGCCGCACCTCAGAGTTGCCCACAGAGTGGTTCACAGCCCCAGCAGTTTGGCCACAGGAGGTCTGTGGCAAGATCTGAGTGTTGGTGATGTTTGAAAAGCTTGCTGGGTGATTCTAATATGCATCAAGTTTGAAAAATCACTGTTCTTATGAACAAAAGACCAAGAGAGAGATCAAGGAACTGCCTGAACTTTGGTGGGATATAGGGGTGAAACTGAAGAGCCATCAGTGTGTGTACTGTGAGTGTGTACTTGTGTGTGTGTACTGTATGTGTACTTGTGAGTACAAGTGGCTCCCTGTGGCCTTGACTGACGCCAGAATGGCTGTTATTAACTAGAAGACCATTGCTTGGAACCCCAGAAACTAAGCCTAGGCCTATGGTCTGTGATCTATGGTCATTGGTCATAATTCTAGTGGATTCTGTACTTACAGGTAGGCCACAGAGCCCTATAACATAACCCACCAGTCTGATCTCTGTAAGTGTGGCACATAAGTTTGCTATTTCTTTAAATATGCTTATTTTAAAAAAGGAATACTTAAATTAACATATATAAATAATATATTAAAATTTTTCCATAACTAAGAGCATTTAAAAAAATTGATTCTCCATGGGCTGGTAGAGTAGCTCAAGTGGTAGAGCACCTGCCTAGCTAAGCATGAAGCCCTGAGTTCAAACCCCAGTACTGCCAAAAAAAAATTAATTCACTATAAATAGTATTAGAGGTTTTGTTGGATGGAGAGGAAGAGGTGCTTAAGGATATTTTGGAAATTGAACAGAGATAAGAAAAAATAAGAAAAAAATGACACTGACTAAATAAAGACATATACTTTGAGTCAAACACCAGACACTAATGTTTGAATGAATTTGATCTTCTTGTATATTATCAACATGAACTCACCTGAACAGAGAAATACCAAAGCCACAGGGCTCTGGTAGTTTTAGGCTTTACCTTTGCATGAAGTATTTAAGAGAAGACTCAAGGACACAAAGGCTACAATAAAATGGGAGTGGGAAGGGGTTATCTCAGGAGGCCAGACAAATGTCCAAGACAGAAAAATATAACCTAAGTGTAGGCATGGACTCAGGGGTCCTAAGCTCTTAGTTACTGTGGAGAAAAGGAGCCAGGGAATCCTAAGGAACTATTGCCAAAAAGCCACAGCTCTGGCGTGCTGCTGTGGACACCCAAGCCCAGGGAATTGCAGCAAGAGAAAGAAGATCCAGTGGCTGGGGGGCAGTTCAGTGATAGGGTGCAAGCTTTATATGCCCACGGCTCTGGATTCAAACTTTCCCCCCACAGCACCAAAAAAAAAAAAGAAAACGAAAAAGAAAAAAGGAGAGACAGAAAGGATCTAACACCAAAAGTGGACATTGACAGCCCCGCAGACAGAATTGTTTACTCTCTGTGACACTCAGGGTCTCTAGGTCACTGCCCCTAAGATCAACACATGGAAACTGGAGAAAATCCAGAAATGCATGTGTCAGAACACACAGCTGAAGGGATGCCAGCCAGGCCATTTTAGGACAATAAATCAGGTTATAAACTTGTAAAAACAGTAGCTCTTCAAAGGATGAGAAGCCTGGCACACTATGGAAAGGGAGGGGAACACAGGTACTCACTGCCATTGCAGAGGGTTAGAGGGAAGATGGCTCCACATGGGAGTCAGAATCAAGTGGTGGAGGCCAGGGGCAAAGTCAGAGCCTTCTAAGAAGGAGGGGTGTTTTGGAACAAGGAGAAAAAAAGGTGGAACAAAAAAGCACAAGGAATGGCCCAATTTGGATGAGAGCCAACTCAAACTGCTTCTTAAAAAACCTCCTCCCATCTTGCCCTTTGTTGCTGAGCCCTGGTGGACTCTGAGTAGCAGTAGCACCAATAAACAATATTACTGTTGAGTATTTATTCTACGCCGGGTTAATACAACACAATTACTTCGTAGTCATTTCTCATCTAATCCTCACGACAGCTCTGTTTCCTCATTCTACACACAAGAAAGCTGAAGCTTAGAAAAAGTAAGCTATTGATCTGAGGTCTCACAGCCCAAAGGTGACAGAGCTGGGATTCAAATCCAGATCTGTGTGGATCAGATTTACCTTAATGGCTGCTAGTCCTGCCCCCCTCCTCCCCTCCCCCACACTCAGCTTCTAAGCTGTCCTCTATCTTCCTAACAGGCTTGACCTGGAAGGAACTATTTTTCAGCCAGTTCTGCTCCCTGAAAAGAGATGATGTCTGTGAATGTATCTGTCTTAGTCCCTTTTCTGTTACTATAAGAGAATACCTGAGACTGAGTGATTTATAAATAATAGAGGTGTATTTTGATTCACAGTTCTAGACATTAGGAAGTTAAGGGCATGGCTCTGACATCTGCTTGCTTCTAGTGAGAGCCTCATGTTGCTTTGACCCATGGTGGCAAGTGGAATGGAATGGAGTGCAGAAGAGAGAAAAGAGGACTGAAGTCTCATAACTAACCCATTCATAAGAGAAAGGCATTATCTATCTATGGGGGCTGCACCCATGACCCAATCACTTCTACCTCCCAACACTGCTATTTTGAGGATTTAAGTTCCCAGTGCACAAACTTTTTTTTTTTGGCGGTGGGGGGGGGCAGTACTCATAGCAGTGTCTAACTATTATTGTGCCTGAAATAAGTTTTTGTCTTTTCTTTTCTGGTGGTACTGTGCTTGAACCCAAGGCCTCACACTTGCGAGGCAGGTGCTCTACCATTTTGAACCACGTCACTAGCCCTTTCTGTGTTGGGTATTTTTCAAGATAGGCTCTCACAAACTATTTGCCTGTGACTAGCTTCAAACTGGATCCTCCTGGTCTCTCCATCCTCAATAGTTAGAATTACAGGTGTGAGCCACCAGCGCCTGGCTGGAATAAGTTTTAACTCATTAAAACCACACTTTTCCAAAATCCAGCTATAGCAGCTTACAAAGATATATAGAGTACAGCATGCATGTGGGTGCTCAAAAAAGGTTTGCTTTAGGGCTGGAGGTGTAGTGCAAGTGATCGAGTCCCTGCCTAACAAGAGCAAACCCTGAGTTTAAATCTCAGCACTACAAAAAAAAAAAAAAAAGCTTGGTTTGGTTAGGATCTGTTCCAGTGGGTGAGATCATTGGAGAAACAACCAGTCTACAGACTTCAAAGAGCAAAGAGAAAGGTGATTCCGGTTCCCCCGGGTCTTCTCACCTGATGTACCAAATTCCTTGGTGCTGACAGATATGGCTGCAGCCAAGAATCCTGCTCTCTACCTTGCCAAAAAGGAGACATTTCATGGATTCTATCCCATAGATTTACCCTTGAATTTTTTTTTTTTTTTTTTTGTGATACTTGGGTTTGAGCTCAGGGTTTTATGATTGAGAGGCAGGCACTCTACCACTTGAGCCACTTCTCAGCCCTTTTTGCTTTGGTTATTTTGGAGATAGGGTCTTGCTTTTCACCCAGGGTGGCCTGAACCTTGATCCTCCTATCTTAAGCTTCCCAGCATAGTTGGATGACAGGTGTGTGCCACCATGACCAGCTTTTTTTCCATTGTGATGGGTCTTGCAAATTTTTTTGCCTGGGCTGGCCTGGAACCACGATCCTCCCCATCTCAGTCTCTGTAGTAGCTAGGATTATAAGCGTGAGCCCTGGTCTTGAATACTTTTTGTACAATTAAATTGAATTCAGGACTCCTCATTTGCTAATAGCTATTTGACAAAATTGAAATTTATCTTTATCTAAAATATCAATGAAACTTTGATGTATCCATGTCCTGTTTTTCTAAAGTCAGTATCATTAAGAAAGTAGGAACATATAGAATGGAGTGGGGGGGGGTGTTTTCTAAACAGATAAATTATGAACACTTGAAAAACTTTCCTGGAAGATTCTCAGATTAACAGCCTGACCTGTCATTCTGAATACTTCTTCTTAATACGCATTCACCAGGGGTATTTTTTTCTTTTGTCCTTAGTGGAAAAGTCTACTATCCGACCAGCTAAAAGCATGGACTCCCTGTGTTCAATGCCTGTGGAAGGTGAGATTTTACAGTTCATCTGTGGGCTAAGGATTGGCACTCACTCCAGACTTGGCTTTGGAAGCTGCTGGGCTACTCATCTGCAGTTATGATCAGTTGCTTGGTTCCCCAGGCCCTCCCTGATTTTCCCAAACTCAAGGGCTTCTCATAGCTCTTGCTATAACCTCCCCTTCTACCTCAGGGTTAGGCCTAGAGGAGACCACAGACCACAGCTCCTTTTCATTCAAACCTGACCCAGGTAAAATGTCAACAACATCTGTAACTAAGGCAGAGGAAGGATGGGCAGAAAGAAGAACCAGGTACTGATTTTTGCCTGGTGCTTTTATGTTTTGAATTTGGGTGTTTCCAGAGGCATGGGCTTCATAGTGCTTGCCAAGTCATGATCTTGAATTGGTAGGTTCATTCTTTCATCATTTACCAGCAAACACTGATTAGACAAATTTGTATGTACAAATTGTGGATATGTGGACAGTTACACACAAGGTGTACCCATCAGTAAAACAGAATGTAATCTCATTTGTTCTCATAGGTCTAACCTAAAGGGCTCACTTGCCTGTGTCTCTCTCCCTTCTGTTTTCTTAAGCAACCAAGAAGCCCAGTTGCAAGGTACAAGGCAAAGGGCTTCCCTGGCAAGCAGACTGCTCAAATGCTTCTAAATTTACCCCATGACTTTCCAACACCTTTAATACATGACATTTTTCCTTTGATAAATGAAGTATCCTGAGACAATATAGGAAATACTTAGCACAACTTAAAAAGAATTCTAAACCTGTAAAATACTCTGACATCTTTTTTAAGCTGTCATGATGCTTTTAGCTTTTTCTCATGTTTATATTCATCCATTTCCTAGGCGGTTTTAATATATCAAGATTTTATCTATGACTTTCCCAGATGCTGGGTAGGTCATCTTTCCTCAGTTTCCTCATGTGTTAAAGAAGATACTTACGTCTCCCTTACAGTGTGCTTATAAGAATTTATTCTGTAAGATGCTTAGCATTCTTACAGAATTTATTCTGTAAGATGCTTAACTTAAAACCAAGTTAGAAATTCTTTTCCAGATCCCTGGCCGGTCCCTGTTATCTTTCAGCTTATTTATTCCCCGTGTGGAATTTTCTCTTCTTTACCTTCACTTCTTAGTCACCATTGGGTTCTCTAATGACATTTCGAGTCCTTCATCCTCTGAAGCAACAGGAAGAAACCCAGGGAAGGCGGAAGGGTCTAGCTGAGCACAGCCCTGCTTTCCTTGCTGGGAAAACAAAGACTGTGCCTGGGTCTAGCTGCCAGAGAAGACTTGTAAATTTTAAAGTAAAACAAGATGCTGTTATTTTGCCCTTTTTGTCTTCTTCATAACATCCTTCTGCCACCTCTCTATATATATTTTTTTTGTGATCTGCACTTAGTTTGGTAGATGTCTGTCCTGTTTAGCACTCTTACCAATGGCCTGCTCTCCCTGCAGAGTTTAAAACTGATAACCTGTAGCACAACAGTGAATAGTCTTCTAGAGTATCCTGCTAAAATTCAGTGCACTTGAGAAAATGCTTTCTCCCTTGTCAAACAAATGCTATGCACCTGTCTTCATTAGGGTGGCTGTTCCCTTATTAGACTGCTACCTCTTTCAGTATTGAGAATCCTATGCCTCCCCTTCTTGGAGGGCCTGCAGCTGTGTGTACCCAGGCTGCTTACTGTATGCTTATTCTTTTTCTCTAGGAAAAGAAACCAAAGGAAATTTTAATCGAACAGTCACCACTGGGGGATTTTTCATTCCAGCCTCGAAAGTACACTCCATCAGCACTGGCAGCTCCTGTGACCTCAGCAAGCAGGAGGGTGAATGGGGCCAGGAGGGGATGCCTGCGGGGGCAGAGGGGGGCTTTGATGTGAGCAGCGGTGACCGAAGCCAGCTGCAGGGCGCTCAGGTCCGTCCTCCACCCGAGCAGCTGAAGGTGTTCCGGCCTGTGGAGGATCCCGAGGGCGAGCAGGCAGCCCCCAAGATGCTGGGGATGTTCTACACCTCCAGCGATAGCCCCAGCAAATCCGTCTTCAGCAGCAGCCTATTCCAGGTGGAGCCCTCACCACGACACCAGCGCAAGGCTCTGAACATCTCGGAGCCCTTTGCAGTGTCCGTGCCCCTGCGTGTGTCAGCTGTCATCAGCACCAACAGCACCCCGTGCAGAACGCCCCCGAAGGAGCTGCATTCCCTCTCCAGCTTGGAAGAGTTTTCTTTCCAGGGCTCAGAGAGTGGGGCTTGGCCAGAAGAGGAGAAGCCACTGGGAGCTGAGACATCTACAGGTAAAATAGGGAGAGGGATTAAAAACCACACTTGAACTTGTCTAAATAGAGATTGCAAGGCAATGTGATGAAGTGGTAAGGACTGTGGGCTGTAGAACCAGACTGTATGAGTTGAAATCCTGTCTCTGCCATTTTGCATGTAATCTTCGTCAAGTTAACATAAGCACCTTGTGCCTCAGTTTCTAAAACTGTAAAATGGGAATTATGGTGATAATAACTATACTTCTCCAAAAGTCCATTGTGACTATTAAGTTAACAGATACGAAGCTCTCAGAACTTGTCTAATACATGGGAAGTACTCAGAAAATGTTATTTATCATTGTTTTGTTCACTCACATGGTGACAAGGCAGGAAGGAAAAGTCAGAAACAGAATGCAGAGCTACAGAGCTGGAATTGGGAATTCATCTTATCTAGAGTTAATTCTCTCTTCATCCATCCACCCCTCATTTCTTCCTCACATCTGCAGAGAACGTGGCTAGTAGGCAATTTCTAGGAATAGATATTGGTTCTAGGAGTAGATACTGCCCTGAGGAACTTACCCTGGGATGGAAGCCATGAACATGAAGAATGACGGTGCCCCGATGACTGGGCACAACACAGAATGATGACACTGAGTGCTGCAGCAGGCAGGAGGAAGGAGAGAGGCAGAGGTGGTGTTAGGTGCATGTCTTGAAGGATGGATTGAATTTGGATTACAGGGAGGACCAGAGCAGAGGCATGCAAGGCCCATCAGAAGGGAATGGTAGGAGAAGAGTGGACACATGACCAGGTTAGGGTGAAGAGGGTCTTGTGTGCCCTTAAAGAGGCACAGGGATCCACTGAGGGTTGTCAGTAGAGGAGTAATAGGTCCCTGTTCCACTCCCCACCCAATGGTCACAGTCCACACCAAGAGATTGTGAGCTCTACCAAGAGAGATGCTGGCAGATTCTTCTAACAGGCCTTGGTAGGGTGCAGAAAATATCTTTTAAATTTTACTGATGCATTGCTCTTTCTCCCAGAAGTCATGCTTTGAAGAATTTATCCTAAATAGCTGTGCACAGGGGTGGGGGCATGGCTCAAGTGGTAAAGCACCTGCCTAGCAAACTGGAGGTTCTGAGTTCAAGTCCCAGTACTGCTAAATATATACATACATACATACATACATACATAATATAGATTTGTGTGCATAAAGCAACTTTATTGGACCGGCAGTGTGGCTCAAGTGGTAGATTGCCTGCCTAGGAAGTGTGAGGCCCTGAGTTCAAAATCCTAGTACCACCAAAATGAAATAGCCGCACACATGCAAAATGGTGTGTGCACATGATGGCATTACTTGTGACAATAGAAAAGACTAGAAATGATCCAAATGCCCATCGCTAGGAGAGCGGTGGAACAGTTGAAGTGCATCCACAAATTATGTCCTAGAGAGCTTTGTGGGCCCTGTGCATCTGGAAGGAACAGTTTCTGAGCACAGAAGGCAGCCTCTTTTAAGAGTCTGCCTTGGTTTCTGGCTTTCTTTCTGTCTTTCTGTCTCAGGGCCTCTTCTGAAGGAAGGATTTTACTCAACCCTTGCTTGGGACCATCCAGAGTATGAAGAATCAACTAAGCCAGCTCTCAACAATATGGGCCAGGAATGAGCAGATAAATGGCCCAAGCTCTCACCCTGTAGAGGGATACTTGTGGGGCTTTTGAATGGAGATCATATTCTGAAATAGATTTGGAGGGTTGGAGGTGTGGCTCAAGCAGGAGAGAGCCTACTTTGCAAGTGCAAAGCCCTGAGTTCAAACCCATCCCATAAGGGAAGGGAGGGGAGGGGAGGAGAAAGGAGAGAAAGAGAGGGGAGAGGAAGGGAAGGGGAGAAGTGTATTAAGTGAAGGGCAAAAGAAAATAGCACTGTGGTCAATTCCAAAGTTTTATTAGTTCCAACAGCAGTGTGTTGTCACTGTGTCTATCTGAGCTGGCAGCTGGACAGACATTTTAGAGTTATGTTTCATCACAAGATTAACCCTTGGCAATGAGCAGTGAGCAGAGTTTTGGTTTTTGATTTTTTGTTATTGAGGTAGCAGTACAGCCTCAAACTCAAAATCCTTCCTCTGCCTCCCAGGTGCTGAGATTACATTACAGGTATGCACCATCACACCTGGCTCAGAGTTTGTTCTTAGCCAGCCAACTTTTCTGAGCTGTTCTGTATGCCAGACCCTGTGCTGTGTGCTCTGCCTCCGTTATCTACTTTATCCTCACATCAGCGCTGCAAAAGCTGTGTGTATTGTGAAGCCATTGTACCAAAATTGCAAGATTCATTAAGAAATGAGAATTTAAAACCAGGTTTCTCTGGTCCCACTGTAAATACTATTTATTGAGGGCTGCTGTGTGCTAAGCACTGTCCTAGGTTCTGTACTTTGCTTAGTCTTTATTCCTCACTGTGAAAACTGATGAGGTAAAATAGGGCCTTCCTTCATAAAAGGCAACAGAGGCCAAATCTGTGGTCTGCCTCCCTCCTGCTGGTCTCAGTATATGTTTAAGATATGAGTGAAATCACCTTGGATATACCCAAATTGACTGTAGCACCTGAGAAGCTGCCAACCATAATTATAAGATATCTTGCAGCCTAATGTGGGGAAGAGATGTTTGTGGTCTTGGACCAATGAGTTGTTGGGCCCTGAGTATTCATTTGTGACATGAGCAGGATTTCTTAGCTTTGACACTATTGATTGACATTTGAGGCTGGATAACCCTTTGGTGCACACTGGAGGATATTTAGCAGCGTTCCTGGCTTCTACACTGTAGATGCAAATAGCACTCACTAAGCTGGAGCAACCAAAAATGTCTCCAGACATTGCAGTGTGTCCTGGAAGGGGAAGTAAAATGGCTTCTAGTTGAAATCTTCCAAGACCTCTCATCTCTGACAGTCTGTGACTCTAGTAACTGAGGCTGGAAATTGTCAGGAGAACAGGGTAAAGGATGTGAGGGGCAGTAAGTTGGGAGAACCCCCCATCCCATCCTTGTGAAGGACAGGAGGCAGAATAGTGACTGTTCTGGGACCAGCCTCCCTTGAAATATATTCTTTGTACTGATCAATCACCTCCTCATTGCAGTTTCTGTCACCAAGAAGACAGCTCCTGAGGCCAGCACACTGAAACCTGAAGTCCTGGGGACAATGGAATGTAGCCAAGCCCTTTCCCTGGAGCCAGGTACCCAGCTGGAGAAGAAAACCTCAGAAATCGCCCAGGGCTCCCAGCATTCAAGAGAATTAGAGAAGAGGTTGAATCCAGAGAAGGTGGTGGAGGAAGACAGAGAGGCTGGCCAGGTGGGACCCAATGCTGCCCAGGAAAGCCCCAGGCCCAGAGCTGAAGTCATATTTCTCCACGAGATGGTAAGGTGGTCTCACTGCTCCAGCCACATAGAGGCCTCTTTTTCTCAAGAGCTCTTTGTACATTTTAAAAAATATTAAGAATCAATTTCTGAAAAGAGACTTTAAAAGGCCCATTTTTACTCAGGCCTAGTTTGTTTTTATTTTGTGGATGTTGTAGAGGTCTTGCAGTGATGGGAAGGAATCATCTAGCTCAAGTCCCTAGGAAAAACTCAACTCTAAATTGTTCTGACCTGGAGTCACCATTAACCAGTAACATGTTCTTAGAATTAATGACATTCAACCCTGAAAGCAGCACAAAACCTGTTTGTCATATTCCAGTACCAAAATATGATGGCCATTCACAGGGCCCAGCCCTCTTCTCCCAGACATCCTGGATGGACAAATGTCTAGAATTTTTCCTAAAAATCTGAAAAAGACTGCTAGGATCCCCTCCCTTCTCTTGTGACTTCTGGAGAAGGTAACATATGATGCCAGAGTTGACAGAACCTGGTCCAAGATGGAAACCGAGGTCCAAGATGGAATTTTCCAAGATGAGGTTTATGAGACATCCTTCCATAAGAAGGTGTAAAGAATTTTCCTGGAGACACCTAGGAAAAGAGTCCTGCATTTGGGAGGCAGCTCTGTAACCAGGGGAGTGTGCTCAAGAGGAAAAGGAAACCCATTGCCTTTTTTTTTTATTCATATATGCATACAATGTTTGGGTCATTTCTCCCCCCTCCCCTCATCCCCTCCCTTACCCGCCCCCCAACCCGTTGCCTTTTTTAACTTGCTTCCAGGACATGCACAAGAAGAACACATGCTAGGAGTTAGGGCAGAGCTGGGGTGCCATGCTGGCCTGTCAGAACAAGTGAGGGTTCCCGTAATATATGTTTGAATTTGTTAAAGAGGAGGGGTGCAGATTCTTAGGGAGATTGAATTCTTGTGGGGAGGCCCAAGTAAGAATGGCATTACCTTAAGAAGCAGAGGAAGTCAGTGCTGGAAGAACTAGGGTGGATTCTGGGAACAAGTAAAGGCATCGATTCATTCATTCACTTGAACATATACTAAACCCTACTTTGTGCCAAGTAATCACTGCAATGAACAAGACTGTCACCATCTCAGTCTTGCTGGGGCTGACAGCATCATAGGGAAAGGTCACTGAACAAGTAATTTCCAGAAGTGGAAATAAGGAGTATGGTGGGAGTGTGTAACAGGAAGACCTAACCTAGTCAGAGGGAGGAGTGTCACAGGGGTCAGAGACCTCTTCCCTGAAGAGTAGATATTTAGGTCAAGAGCCTCACTAAATGAAAGGGGTATAGGGTGTAATAAGTACAGAGAGACCTCCAGGCAGAAAGAACAAGATGTGCCATGAACCTGAGGTGGGAAAAGAGCCAGAAACACTCAAGCAATGGGAACGAGTTGGGCTGGAGAAAGTGAGGTGCAGGTAGAAGCAGGAGCCACATCACACAGGGCTGCATGGAAGGGTTTGGGGATTGACCTCAGGGCATTGGAAAAGCACATAATATATTCAGAAGTTTGTCCTTAGAGTGAACTCCATTCTGTGAGAAGCATGGCTTGCAGAAGGGCAAGACAGAAGGTGGGGATGCCAGTTAGGATGGTAGTGAGTGGCAAAGCAGGTGGCTTTGACTAGAGTGGGAGCCTTGGAGACAGAAGTCAAAGGATTTTTTAATATTTAGTTTTTATTCTTCCAGACTCTCTTCCTTTCTCTGGCGTGGTACTGCTCGAACTTACTAGGCAGGCTAGAGTGCCACTTCCAGCAGAAGGATTCTTGAATCAACTTCTTGATGTTTTTCAGGATGAAGATGATCTGGCCAATGCCCTGATCTGGCCTGAGATTCAACAGGAGCTGAAAATTATTGAATCTGAAGAGGAACTCACCTCGTTGCAATCACCTACTCAGAAGATCAACCCAATTCAGCCAATTCTAGAATCTAGTCCTGGGCCCTTTCCTTCCAGGAGCTTGGCTTGTAGTTCCACCCCCTTGGAGGCATGGACTAGGGACTCAACCAATCAGAGTACACAGGGGGCTGCCACAGCAGTCAACAGAGAGAAGCTGGAGCCAACCAGCAACCTTCATAGATCTGATCCTCAGCAGGGACTGAATCTAGACCATGCCAGTCTGGCTCCTCAGGAAATAGTTCTGTTTGAGAAGGCATCTCCACCCACAAACATGGAGGTGAAAGGCCCAGGAAATCTCTCTCCTCCACTTCCTTCTGCTCCTCCCCCTCCAACTCCACTAGAGGAGGCACCTCGAGACCTGCTATCAAAGGGTGCACCTGAAAAAGATCCATCTAAGATTTTGAGGACGAATCCCTATATAGAGCAGCCCAAGTCCAAAGACAGCCCTGGAATCCCTATCCCCTGTCAGGGAGATGAGGCTACTCTAAGACAAAATGAAAATGAAAATTCAAAGAATGCTGCTCCTGAGGGAAAAGACCCTGGTTTCCCAAACCTACCAAAGGAGGCCGAGATTTCTCCACAAGGAGAGGGGGATGTAGCCCATTCAGTACAGGAGCCTTCAGACTGTGACGAAGACGACACTGTGACAGACATTGCTCAGCATGGCCTAGAAATGGTGGAACCCTGGGAGGAACCCCAGTGGGTGACAAGTCCCCTTCACTCTCCTACCCTGAAAGAAGTATATGAATCCCAGGTGCAGGGTTCCCAGAGCCACCGATTGGAGAGGAGGCTTTGCCACAGACCTAGCCTCCACCAGAGTCATTCTCTGGATAGCAAAACCACTGTGAAGAGCCAGTGGACTCTCGAGGTTCCCTCCTCCAGCAGCTGTGCTAATCTTGAAACTGAGAATTCCGACTCTCTGCCACTCCTGGCAGCCAGGAGGGAGGTGGATGAATGGGATGAGAAAGCACTGAGGTCCTTCAGAGAGTTCTCTGGCATGAAAGAAGAGGTTCTTCCCAGCCAGAAGGGACCAGGTGGTGTACAACCCAAACCAGAAGACACCAACCCATCAGCCTAACAGAGGGAAAGGAACAAGGGCCACACCTTAGGCACAGCAACCCCCAGGTTAAGCAAGGCAGTGTTCCTGGACCAGAGAGCAAGGAGAGTCCATCTGGTGTTGAGAACAGGACCTCACCTGGAGAGCATCCTCCAAAGTTACAGCTGAAGAGCACCGAATGTGGGCCCTCAAAAGGGAAAAACAGACCTTCATCCCTCAACTTGGACTCTGCAGTGCCCATATCTGACCTCTTCCGGCTTGAGAATGGGGCCTCATTTAGTTCACCTGGAATGCAGCTTTCTGAGCCAGGAGATCCCAAGGTCACCTGGATGACCTCATCTCACTGTAAAGCAGACCAGTGGAAGGTTTACTCCCGTGACTTCCAAGACCTGGACATTGTTGCTCATGCCCTGACAGGTCGCCGTAACTCAGCTCCTGTGAGTGTGTCAGCTGTGAGAACCTCCTTCATGGTCAAAATGTGTCAGGCCAAGGCAGTCCCAGTCATCCCACCCAAGATTCAGTACACACAGATTCCACAGCCTCTGCCTTCTCAGAGCACAGGGGAGAGTGGGGCTCAGCCTCTAGAAAGGAGTCAAGAGGAACCCAGCTCAACTGGTGGGACTTCTCAGAAACCTGCTGAAGAAGATTCTCCCTCCTCCCTGGAAAGCCCAAAGGAAGAGAAACCAAAGCAAGATACGGGAGCCTTTAAGTCTCCACCAACGGACACCACTGCATCCTGCATGTGTGAGGAACCCACCGTTTCTCCAGAACCAGGCTTATCTAACCAGCTCTCTACCCAGGATGCCACAGTGCAGTGCAGAAAGCGCACATCAGAGACAGAACCATCTGGGGACAACCCTCTTTCTTCAAAACTAGAGCGACCATCTGGGGGCCCTAAGTCTTCCCACAGGTCAAGGCCAGGAAGACCTCAGAGCCTAATCTTATTCAGTCCTCCTTTCCCCATCATGGACCACCTTCCCCCTTCATCCACAGTGACAGATTCCAAGGTCTTGCTTTCCCCTATCAGAAGTCCCACACAGACAGTTTCCCCTGGCCTTCTTTGTGGGGAGTTGGCAGAGAACACATGGGTCACACCAGAAGGGGTTACACTTAGAAATAAAATGACCATCCCTAAGAATGGCCAAAGACTAGAGACCTCAACCAGCTGCTTTTACCAGCCCCAGAGGAGATCAGTGATACTGGATGGAAGAAGCGGGAGGCAAATAGAGTGATATCAGTTTACCTGCTGGTCATGATTCATCTGGAAGTTATTACAGGTGCAGGTTATCAAAGTTTGAGATTATTTCGGCCTCTGACATCTCTTTTTTCAGGTTTTGATCATTCATTAATTAGTCCATTTGCCAGAAGAGTGGTCAAGGCAAGGACCAAAAAGTGACATTTCAATACATCTACATGAGCAAGTGCAAAAGGTGAAGAAAGGGAAGAGGATGGAATGCCTGCTTTCAATGAAATTATGGGCTTGTTTGTGAGCTGGGTAGTTAGGAGACCACACTATCATCTGTTACTGTTGAAAGCTGGCTGTGATAATGTCCTTTGAAAGAATGAAAAATCCTTTGCCTATGTCAGAAAAATGTTACTTAGAGATGTGAAGGCCTCCTCTACCTTTTAATGCTCTTTAAGAGCATGTGTTCTTTTAGACTAGTTTCCTAGTAAGCTTTGTAAAAGTGCACTATCCAAAATAGAAGCAGATTTGCAAATACCAACTAACATGCCACTTAGATATCTAAATGGGTGAAATTACCCATGCTTTCCCCATCATCCCTACAGACCTGTCCAAAATGACTGCACACCAGCACAGAAAGTCACCATCTGTACTCAAGAGCAAACCCTAAGACTGGCACCATCCACAAAGACTTTCTGGCTTTCATTAACTTGGGACTTCAGCTGCCACTGTACTGAATTATGATTTATAAATCTGGTAGCTGGCAGAGTGGGGGCTGAGCTGAGGATTACCTTAAGGAAACATTGAAATCTTTATGTAGTGAAGTGTGGTATCAACTTTGTTAACAGTATCAGAATCTAAGTACCAATGTCATCATAGAGAAAAGTCTCATGCAAAGGCACAACTACACTGCTAACTTGATGCGTTTAAATTGGTGGGACATAAGCAGAAAGGCTCGAGCCTTTCTTCTTCCACACTAGGCTGGGCCCAGTAGGACAGGAAGGGATGCAGGGAGGAGCCTACCAGAGTGGCCATCACTACCACTCACTGGTAGCTGTCCTCCTTGAAAATGAATTCTATTTTAGCCAGTGGGTCCATTCATTCCTTCCTTCCTTCCTTCCTTCCTTCCTTCCTTCCTTCCTTCCTTCCTTCCTTCCTCTCTCTCTCTCTCTCTCTCTCTCTCCCCCCCCCCACCTCCTACTGCTCAAGAACAGATTCAAGGTGCCTCTGTCCCTTCCATAATTCCCCTCATTCACCACCCACCCTTGGCACTCATACTTGCTCTTCTCTGTCTGGATACCAGCAGAAGCAATAAATCAATCTGATTCTCTTTCTGTTATTTAGGAGTTTCAATGGTTCTTTCCTTGGAGAGGAGAACTAATATACTTGCTGGCAGATTTTTGGTGCTCCCTTCAAAAAAGGCTTCATGAGGCATCTTTTCTCAGATTCAAGTCTGGCTGAACTCTGTCCAAAAGTTCAGTCATTGTAGAAACAATGGCTAGCAGTACCTCTGGGCCAGGTGGAAGATAAGGTGAAGTCATGTCCTTCCATGAGAAATTGGAAGCTGAAGCCCTGCCGTAGATCCACACCTGCCCCATTCTTCCTTTCCTGATAAGTCTTAGAGTTTCAAACTCTTGCCCTATACATTTAAGCCAATGTCTGTGGCAAAGGTAACCAGCAAGTCAGCTAAAGAGTTCTGCCTTTAGAGAGGTGAGTGAGCAGGGGGACGGTTAATAAGTCTTTAGTGTTTTTGCTTTCTCATTGGATAAGCAAAGCATTGGACCAACAGTCAATGAGATGCCAACCCATAAGAAAAGTCCTAGAACATAGCATTTTCCTCCTAGGCAAGCAAGGTGAAGAAATATGATGGTGAGAGATGAAAAAGTCCATGTTCCAGCGATTTGAAAAGCACATTCCTGCCTTATCAGAAAAATGTCGTAGATAAGTTTTATGACAGTCTCACTGTACTTGTGGTGCCCATGCTTTGACAAGGCCTGTGTTCCAGTTATAATACAAGAGGGCAAGACCATATTCTGCTTCACTATCAGAACTCTGAGCAAGTAATGAAATACTTAAAACTACTTTGATTTTTTTAAACTTTTGTTTGCAATACATATTGGATATATTTTCATTGGGGATAGACTAAGAAGCTACCATTTACATATTAACAAGTGACTTCAATTCTGGGGGTTGAGGCACCTATGTAAATTTATAAAATGGTTGCCATGTTCCTTTTGACTGACACCTTATCACCTACAGGAGTTTGGGTGTTATTATGCAACCCACTGACACCTGTCTGGAGATATTCCCTACTCCAAGTATTACTACCCAGCCAATTCCAGAAGGGCTTAGAAGCTAACTCACCTTCTCAGTGCACTACTGCTCAAGCATGGTCCTTTTGACTGTCTCAGAGCCTGTCAACTGTCACACACATATTCATAAACTTGCGGGCCGGACTGGGCTGGCACTGAGGAAATTACATTCCATGACAAAAAAAGAAAAAGGAACACCTCCCTCCCCTCATTTTTGTCCTAAATTATTTTCCAAAATGCCACGGGATTACCCATTTGGTCACCCACTTGGGGCACTGAATAATGGACCCCTGGACAGTTCCATCCAGAAGAGGAGCAGAACGAGTGCTAATGTTTTAGGAAGCTCTGGGCTATAAAGGGCCACAGAGTCAAACTTCAAATCAAACTGTCATCCTCCAGGTGGCAGTGACTGATTTAAAATGTTGAATTTGAACTGAAATGCATACATGTACCAATGTTTTCTTTCAGTGTTAATGATCACTTAAGAAGATAATAATCCATTATTTATTTCCAAAATGGCCCTTCCAGGCAATCTTTTTTCTTTTTGCCAAAATGGACCAGATAGAGAATATCTAATTTTTATTCTCTGCTTTACTTGGAATATGAAGGGACCTGACCTAGAACTCCATTAAGACTGTTAGCCTAATCTAAGCCCTAAAATTCGTATTATCCAAGTCAAAACTCTGGATTCTGGGGACACTAAAAGTGTAAATATCATCATCCTCAAGAAATACTTATCAAGAGCTTAGCAATACTGCACTAGGTGCCTTTCTACTCCTATATTTTTGAGGAGTCTAGTCCAAAAGGGCAAGGAATGGGAGCAAACAGACGATAAACCACTGGGAACAAGACTGAGAAGTATAGTATTGATTATCAAATGAAGGCAGAAAGTGAAAATAATGTAGCAACTAGCATCTTTCAATAGGACTGTTAACAATTGCAAGTCCAACGTAATGTGCCAATGAGACACTCAGGTGTTGAGAACTTGGTTTGATTTTTAATAACTGGAGTGGTAAGCAACTAAGAATAAGTAGTCCTGAGGTTTTGCACAGTCCTGATTTGGATGTGAAGTCCTGTTGAATCTCTGCAAATGAGCCAGATGGGATCAGCATTCCACACTCCTTGAGAAGGGATTTTAGAGACTTCTGTCATTACAAAGTGAGTTAACTCCTGCTGCTGATGAAGTCATAGACCCAAGATAAACTGTTCACTTCATGTAGCATTTAAAAGCACATGATAATCACATTTGCTAAAATTGGGTGGAACAGTCATTTGTCTACCAGGTCGTGTGTCTTGGAGAACATAAGATTCATTTGTCTAAGATTGGAGTAGAAATAGTTCCCAGTAGGTCCACTTCCCACTAGGATTGAGTAGGACCACATTCTATCATGGCTGGTCCTATCTGATGACAACATGAATCAGGATGTCATATTACCAACAGTATGATTTTAGGCACTTCTACTAGGAAGATCAACTCAAAACATGGAATGACAAAGAATGTGTCCTTTCCAACACCTTTCTAGCAAAATAAGTCCAGAAGAGGGAGCAAGCACCTGTCCAGGCACAGAGAAGAGGAGGAGGTGGTAGAAGGTGACTGCCTGAGATGAGCAACAGTCCAGATAGTGTAAGATTGGGGGGTCACACAGATTGACTGGCATGCAGAAGATCCCTTAGTGACCATGAGGTACCTGAGTAATGCAGGGGTTGTGTCTCTGTGAGAGTGATAGAGGACACAGCTAATAATGGAAGCCTATAAAGTCCATAGCAATGTTGTGTTACTGGATGAACCACAATGCTTTGCATTAACTTAATGCCATTGTACTTTCTGGCTTATAATTCTGCAAAGTAAAGCACTTTTTCAAAGGATTCTATTAGAAAGCCACATGACTACAGCTGTTTTTTAAGTTCTACAAATGTTTCCAAAGATATAATCAAAATGTTTTTCTATTCATTAAAAAGTATAATTATTAAACTATCCATAGAGACATTTAAGTGTAATTAAAAGATTGTTATGCTTTAAAAATGTACTCTAATAAATGATATAAAACATAATGCTTATGATGTTGGACTATGAGCTAGAAGAAGACATGGGATCATCAAAGTCAATAATCAGAAAAGTAAATTATATGCATCAGATTCATTGTTCCAGTTTGTTCTGTTTGATGTCATTTTTTTGTTGTTACTTCCAGGTCTGGTGCCACAGTGAAAGTTCTGAGGATTTGCTTCAGTAAATTTTTCTTGTTTTTGTTATTTTAATGTTAATAATTTCAAGAGTTTGCAATTTCACCTCCTCACCTTTGCAATAACACAATCACTTCACTGAGATGCCTAGTATGTTGATGTACTGTACCCAGGATACACTGTAATGGGAAATGAGAAGAAAAACATTACTTGCTTCTCACAACTCCACAGCTTAAGGAGTTGTGATGGGATCCATTGAAAAGATGTGAACTTAATTTTGCTATTTCTTCCATCAATGAAGGACTACTGAGTGGTCATTTAATGATGCTTTAGGGAGAAAGCTAATGTTTGCTATTCTGGCATATAGTCTTGCAAAAAAAAAAAAAAAGATGGGATTTGGGGATGTGGGGAGAGCAATCACACATAATAATCTCTCTTCATAGAATATTGTTGCCACTTCCTGGGTTTCAATAGGGCTCCCAACAGGACATTTCTTTCCTGCACAAAACATTGCATTCTCTGACATCACACAGACTTTTACAAAGAATCAGAAGACATTCCCCCAATTTCTCACTTCTGCTTCTGCACCACTGTTTCTTCCCATCTCATTCAAAAAGTCCCTCATGACCAAAATTTATAGATCCAGCTATTCTCACTTTCACCATTCTTTATGGCCACAATGTAGTCAATGTCCCAGACTTCTCAGTCTTCAGTACCAGGCTTTTTGTCCTTCTACCACATATCCCATCACTCTTGCTCTCAAGGAAAACCCACCCGGCACCCTTGCTATAATTGTTTACAGGTTTTTACCTCTGTTCAGTTTTGACCATTTGCTTCTAGGGTTACACATCAGGTTATGTCACAGTCCAGAATTCTGTGATCCTAGATACCCATTTTCCTTTCTCAGAAACTTCTATACTTGCTAGTTTTTTCAATTTGTGCAAGGTCACTAATGACTGGTCCACTGCTACTCTTGACAGACACCACCTTCGTTAGATCTCATGCATTTTTCCTTAGCCTTTCTAGATGCCATGATGCATCTTCTCAAATATTCCTGCCATGGCCATTAACTCCCTCAACCAATAGTCCCTCAGCCACATCTGCTTGGCTTAACCCCCCACCTAGAACCGTAACTCTTAATCATCCATCTTCCCTGCTCTTCACTGTGTTTATGGTAAGTGCAGAGAAAGTTATAAAAGCCTTTAGATTATGGTCCATCACCTCAGGAGTGGCTTCATTCCCAAAACTCACAATGGCTATTTGTGTATTCTTAACCCTTTCCTAGATCACACACCCCTCCCAAAGGACAAATGCTTGTGGCTGCACATTTGTGCTGTCAGATGTTTCTCAGCAGCCTCCTACCACCACTTACCATATCCATGTGTGCACCCAATGTCCCTTGTGGTTGAGGAAGTGCCCCTCTCTCCAAGGCTCGTCTTATCAGTGTCTACCCATCCATTATTCTCTCCCATAAATTCAAGCTTTCCTTCTGTGGTCTTCTATCCCTCAGCATGTAAATATTAAAGTCTTCTATCTTACACAAGTCTTCCTTAACTCTGCCTACTTTTACCACCTTGTACACAAGTTCTTAGAGGAGTCATCAATGTTCACTGTTTCTACTTCATTCCAATGCACTCTTCTGGACCAACTACAACCTGATCTCCACATCACTGCTGGAGTAAAATCTCTCTTGCTAGAGTCACCAATATCTAGTAACCACATCTAAAAGTTACTTCTGTCTCGACTTCCCTATTATATTTGATACTTTTGGGTCCTTTTTAGCTCTAATTTACTTCCTTTCTTGGCCATTTTCTTGTTCACTTGAAAGCTTCCCTTTCCTCTACCCTTACATGTTATTCATGAGAAAACAATCCTGTTCTTCCTTTTTCACTCCACATTCTTTCCCTAGATTCACAGTCCATGGCTTCTCCTACTACCCACATGATAGTGACCCATCCTTACCCCTATTCTCTCTTATATGGATTTTTTAAATGGTTGACTCACTGGTCTCCTTGCTTTAAGTCTCAGCAACATTCCACATTTCCATGTCCATCCTACAAATTACTGCCAAAATGTTTAAGGATAGTGGTGTTCAAATTCTACATTCCTCAAAATCAGCTGGACAGCTCATTGAAAGACTGTCTGGGCTTCCTCCAGAGTTTCTGACTCAGTAGGTTTGGGGTGAGGCTTAAAAATAATCCATTCCTATCAAGTTCTCAGGTGCTGCTGATGCAGTGTGGTTTAGAGATTAACACTGAGAATGCTTTGGATCATAAGCTGTGTTATTTCTCTGCTTAAAATCTTCCATTAGGCATATTCTAACTACAGAAGTTCTCAGACTTCTATGAACTTAATAACTACTTGGGGCAGGCACCAGTGGCTCACACCTGAAATTCTAGCTACTTGTGAAACAGAGGTCAGCCCAGGTAGTTTGTGAGACCCTACCTCAAAAATACCCAATGCAAAAACAAAACAAAACACCTACTTGGTGTGCTTGTGAGAAGTGCATATTACTAGGCTTCCCCCTCAATGCAGCATCCAGGGTTTACCCCTTTGAGAATCTGTGGCCTACAAGGGAATAAAAAATTCAAACTCAGTGTGGAAGTCAAGTCCTCCTGCAATCTCCTACTCACCTAGCTCTCTGGCATTAGTGAACTTTTATGTAAATATCTAATGTGAGTCCAGACCTTAGATCTTTGTATAGATCTTGTCCCCGCTACACAAACACCCCTCCAATGAGGCAAAGTTGATCATTCCTTTCTCTGTCACCACTGTATCTCATACATACATCTATTATGAACAATTGACTTACTTACCTGTCTTTTATTCGTTAATGAACTCTGAACATCACCATCTCTGACATCTAACAACATCCAACACATAATTGTTGACTAAAGAGAACTGGGCAAAAGAGGCAACAGTGGTGGAAGTGGTTGGGAGGGGAAGGAAAGGAGCTTAGAATATAAACAAAGAATCATACATAGCAAATAAGATACTGAGAAACATTTCCATTATACTCATTCCTGGGAATTACCTTCTTCTATTCCCAAGTCATCTGCCCATCTAGGCCACACGGACAAATAAAAACCTTTTCCTTTCTAGTATCCCAAGTTCACTCAACTGATAATTTGCTATACCTTCCTTTTCATTCATCTTTTAATTTCCCAGCACGGAATTAGAAATAACAAAAGACCATTCTTCAGTATTTATTTCCTACTATCACTAAGAAAAGATGGTGTCCCTTCTCTCACATGATATGTAGTAACACCCAAGTACTAACAGCTGTAATGTGTACAAGTATGTTGAAGGAAAGGGTTCTTATCTCCAATGCTGCCATATCTGGAGGTGAAAGCAGGGAGAACTTGGCCATTGCAACAGACAAAACACTAGGCTGGCACTCCCATGCTACTCCTTTAGTATTCAGCCAAGACAGGTCAAGTCAGAAATGGGAAAACTACTGTTTGCTCTCATCAGTGTATCTGGGCTACTTTTGTATGCTAGAGCCAAGATTTTTTTTGGGTGGGGAGACAGGGTCTTGCTACGTAGTCCAGGATGACCTCAACCTGGTGATCCTCCTACCTCAGGCTCCCAAGTGCACCACTGGCTGCCTGGCTAAGTTGGGGGCTTTCTGATGAGGCATTTCTGTGCTTATGCTACTCGTTTTGCTCTCAACTGTTAATTTCACCAAATGTTTTGTTAGTCAAGAAAAGCATATATTCAATACCCTAAGAAAAGCAATGAGACAGCAGCTTCCTGCTCTTCTTCCTTCACAAGAACCACCATATTTAGGTTAAACCACGGTAAACAGCAACTAACTTAATACACTGGTTTTCTTGCTGTTCTTCCAATATACTCACTCCTACATAAGGCTACTGCCCTTACTGCTACTATACCATGGAATTCTTGCCAAGGCTATTTATATGGCTGATCTGCATAGTCTGATCTTTGTTTGAAAATCATCTCCTCAATGCTTTCTAGCAGTGCTATTTCTACTTTGTTTCCTTGCTCTGATTTCTCTTTACTGAACTTACCACTACTACCAGCAAATGTGGTACAAACTTATTTTATGATCTGTCCTACCTGCCCAGACACATATGCAGAGGGGAGGGGCTCTACATTTCTTATTCACAAGGCCTAGTTAATACCTAGTCAATATATTTGTTGAATACTTGAAGAACATCTAAATGTCAATTAAACTTTTAAAAGAGGCATACACATCAAAATATTTAAGGAAGCCATGGTTAATTTAAACATGGAAGTAGTCACCTTGAATAGCTATATTCATAGCTATTCACCTATTTTTACTATATTGTTGTTGTTCTTGGGGCACATTGTGACATTTATAAAAGTTTTTACAATATATCATAGTTGAATTCACCCCCTCCATCATTCTCCTTTGTCCCCCTATTCATCTATTCCTTAGACTTGTTATTCTCTTTTGGGAATTCTTCCGTAAGAACTGTTTTCAGATGCAGTTTATGAGTTACATGATTGGTGTTTTACTTCATAAAGTTGTATTTTTGCATCACCCAAAGTTTCAGTGTGAAAAAACTAAGCACAGAAAACATTATTATCAGAGATGGGGGAAAAACAAAAACATGACAATCTATTTTAGGTTCTCCAGGACAAGACCGTAGAAGTTTAGATAACTGATGACTTCAGCGGACTAAGTACATCACCCCCCAAGAGCATGGGAGGTAATACCCTGAAGGGTTAATGTTCACAAACATGAAGGTTCCAGAGTATGAAATTTATTTATTGACTCACAAACATGTATAAGCCCAGGGCCTTGTGCATGTCAGTCAAGCATGTACCACTGAACTACATCCCCAGCCTTTGAGTATGAAATTTAAAACACACATTTTGGATCTAGATCAAATTCTCTAAGGACAAAGCAGTAATTTCTTGTATTTCACATCCCTTCATAACTCCAAACATGATGCCATTCTAAATGGTTGCTGCTAGGTTGTGCCCAAGATTGTTTAACTGGGGGTTTGCTTGTTCTTCCAGTTACTTGGGTATTTTCAATACACCCACACGCTAGTTTACATGGCCCTTTACACTCGTTTTCTCCCACAGGGCCAATTACACATCATCTCCTTCATAACTAGGCACTCTAAAAGCTTTCTGTCTTTGAAAATTATTACTTCAAACAACTAAAGGAAAAGCTTTGGAAGCAAAAGAAGTGAAAGAACAGGAAAAGTGACAGCAAAACCTGAACCTCAGGACAGCAGCTTATTCAAAAGTATCTTTAAATGTTACAAGGTAGAACAGACCAGCCAAGACGCCATCTCAGAAATGTTTCCTCCCAGCAGGAAACAAACAGAACCACCCATGGCTTTAGCTTACTTTTTGCTATAGTATTTATAACACTACTGGCCAGTGAACTAAGAGAGATTAGAGCTGGAAGACAACTCCATTCATCGCCCTTCCTATACCAATAATTCCTGGCCAGCTAAGAACTAAAGACAGTAAGAAGGACTAGAAAGAAAGCAGACACACCAAAGATATTACGTCAAGTGATATAAGAGATGTGTTCATAAATGCAAGTTATTCCAAGGCCATACAAACAAATCAATCTTTTACTGGAGAGGCAAAGCTCTCATATGTATATTATTCAAAGATACTAAAACATGAAAGATCACGTCACCTTGTTTGCGGATACATTTAATATCCCTTACCCTTCCCAACTTTCAAAACATAATAGTATACAAAATATAAAATATCTTAAATATTTATAAAAATCACAAGAAAAAAATAGAACGTATGAAAATATTTTTATCTGAGTTCTCCCTCATCGTTGAGAGGCAGCTTAGTTTGCCTTGAGTTCGTAACTGTTGAGTGGGTAGGAGTATGCCCTGCCTAATACTATTCTGTCCCGGAGGAGCTTAAATAAAACATAGTAGTTGCAAAAGAGGATGAGAGCCATGGAAAGTGTGTGGTTCCACTTCTCTGACCGCAGCAAGGAATAGAGCTGGTAGAAGACAACACTGCCCTCGATAAGGATGAGTAGATTTAACAGCCTTAACGGACGATGAAACAGGAACTGCAAGAAGTTAAAAAAAAAAAAGTTATTTCATAGAAAGACTTTTGAGATTTTGTTAAATTCATTTTTCTAAGATCATCTCATATTTATAGGTTCTACATGCAATAACAAATAGATTTGCTTATTGAATATCAGCCAAGCTATTTCTTGCTGTAGAGAGCCAAACTTTTTCTTTTTCGCTCATGAAAAATGAATTCAGTTTTATTTCAATGCTCCTGGAATTTTTCTTAAGACTATATTGTAGCTGTATGTTTTACAAAAGTATATTTGTCTAGAACAGAGATTCAATAAAGGACCAAATGGGAAAGTTTTGCAACTCAAAAGGCAAAAAAAATAAAAATAAAAGAAGATATAATGCAGATAGTTATATTAGTATTTAAAAATGTAACCATTCAAAAATATAAAAACTATTCTTAGCTTATGGGCTGATTTAACACATAAATACCAACACCAAGCAAGTTTGGAGAAAGAAAGAAATATTAATACAGTAATTTCTTAATTTTTCCTTAAGCTGTTTACCCACCATTGCCACTGACTAAAATTTCTACACTATATACTCCTGCTGTTTGTTTATTCATTTTTTTGTGAATATTGAGAAATAGACTGCACAAAAACAAGACGAGGAAGGAAAAATGGGTAGGAATTAGACCTAGACTAAAAACAGGGCTACAATTACCATTTATCAAATTCCTCGCCCTGAAAGGCTTAATCCTACTTTTTTAATAAAAAGGTACTATGAATAGAAAGATACAGATCATAGGTTGCAAGGGAACATTGTTTAACAATTCCACTTAATCAGTCTAATCCTAAATTTAGATGAAGACAGACTATACAAATGGTAGCATGTTAGATCTAAAAGAACTGATTTCAATGGAATTCCATTTTCGGTTTTTTTGAGACAAGCCCCACTATGTGGTCCAGGATCTTAAACTCTCAATCTTCCTGATCTCAGGCGTGTACCACCACAACTGGCTTTACATGGAATTTAGATTTGAAAAGCCTGAGAATGAAGCCAAACTATCATGATGGCTCTGAAAGGTGCTCAGGTTCTCAGGGCCCTTCCTCGGGTAAAAGAAAATCTTTAATGTGGGTTTTATTACATTTTATCCAGTAATATCATATACAAAACTAGCTCAGAAATAGTACTCTAGAAGGATTCAGAAAAGTAATTTCAGATGCTAGAACAAGGTGTGTAGTTAAATGTGTCAGTAACCTGCAAAGTAAGTAAGTAGAAAGGTGAGAATAGGTTTTAAAGTCTAACAGCTATTGGTAACAGGCACATTTTAAGTGAATGTTCTCAAACTTCAATCTGCCTAAGAATTATTTCCAAATATGTAAATACTATAAATTCCTAGGTCCTTCAGAGATTCTGATTAAGCCTGAAAAAGGCTTCTGAATAAAGGTGGCCTAAGGACCACTTTGAGAAGCACTGATTTAACTATTTGACCAAAGTCAGCAGCTAGTTAACTTGCCTAATCTTTCTTCAGTAGATTCCATTTGATTGTTTGGCCATCCAACACTAACAAGGAAAATACTTATTTTTCAAGGAAAAATTCTAATAAAATATCTGGTTATTACAGGTTAAGAGGACAGCAGGGATCAGTAGAAGTCATTGACAGCCTACAGAATTCAGCCTAAAGAATTCTCCTGTGAAGAAATCAAATGCTTATGTAGTTGTAACTTGAATCCATTCCTCATCTTAAGACAACACCATGGGGAGTTGAGGAGGAGAGCTGTGGTCTCCTCATTCACAGACGTTTCACTCTCCCCATGTTCCTACCAATCCCCCACCTACCCAACCGTCCCTACCATGGTATTTGCCAAGTATCCTGTCCTGATACAAGTCCCTTTTTGAAGCCAAAAAGTTCCTTAATAATAAATACCTGCACAACCAGAAAGTCCAGGTACCCTCACAAGGACCTGGGTGGCAGAGAGGAAGAAAGGGATACAAACATCTCAAAAACAAAAAACAAAAATAAAAAAAGATCTCCAAATCTATTTTAGAATATGATCTCCATTCAAAGGTGATGCACTGCACAATATGTATTTTTAGTAAGAATTGTCCTTCTCCATACATCTTCTTTTCCCCATTCCCACTGGTGAGCCAGGTGACCTTTTTTAATAAGTAAATACTTCTGCTTCTACAGCCAGAATTTCTAGGAAACTGAAAGAACAACTAGAACATAATCTAATGGGTAAGTGCAAATGGGACACTAACTGGATTAATTATCTACTGCTTTTTCTTTTTAATTTTTAAGCCTTTTTTCTTTTGAATTCAAGTAAAGGCTAAAGTCAGGCTGGAGAACATGGCATTTGTCCAACTTCCAAAATGGAAGTTAAGCTATTTTAGAGATACTACATTATGACATATACCAAAAAATCAAACACCACTACATTATTAAATACCACTTAAAGATACACAGATCTACTGTCTTAAGGATAACAATGAACCAAACTATTACAAAATAAAATTGTAAGATGAAAAAGAAGGGGGGAGGGGGGATGAAACAGAGCAGTGAGGGGGTGAATTCAAGTATAATATATTCAATATATTGTAAGAACTTTTGTAAATGCCACAATGTACCTCTACTCAGCGTAACAATAAAAATAAAATAAGGCTAAAAAAAAAAGATGAAAAAGAAGTCTTATAATTGCCTACTTGTTTCAAGCAATACTAGATTCAAACAATTCCAATGCAACTAAAGAAACAAGCCAAGCTATTAAAACTGGAATAATGGTATATGTCTTTCAGAAGGTATTTCTACAGGACCAGGGCCACTGTTACGCATATTAATAATTATTGCATATTAATTTGCTAGTATGTGTTACACACTGCTAGAGTGGCCTCCTAACACTTATCCCTAAACTTATGTTTGAAAATAATTAAGTGGTACTTGCATAAAAGCGGGCATGGGATACGTCTGAAGGCACTGCCACGTTGTAAGGCCCCATGGCTCTATATAAACACCTGCTGTGCCGCACCAGCACCCCTTGAGGCCATATTGTATTTTGTGACCAACTAAGGAGAAAGAAATGTAATGTTAGCATATTGACAATTATAGATAAGATCATATCTGGTAAGTTCAGCTATACTTCTATTGAAGGGAATAAGCATTCAAGGCTTCATCTGCCTGAATTCTGAAAATACAGTAATTCCATGGTCAAATTGGAAGAAGTTAGAGAGGATTTGTTATGGTAATTTTATTGCTATATAGTACAGAGAGATTATAAAGTGAATAGTTAACTCATTGTTGAAGGACTTCAGAGGCTTAGGAGCATGAGCAGACAAACATTTCAATAAGGCATCTAAGGGCCAGAAAACAAAGTGTAAGCAGGTGGACTGTCATCTCTAGTGAGCAGCCATCCTAAGTGAGCAGTCTACTGGTGAAATGACAGAGAGAACAAACAAGAAGAGAAAACTGATGGCAATAAGAACAGAGGAGAAACTAACAGACTCTCAAACTAGCATGATGTATACTTAACAATTATATACCAAAAAGCTACAGATGGCCAGTTTGTTTATCACATAATTTAATTCTCACAGATGAGAGAAACTATGGTAGAGCATAGAGATACACAAGGCACTGACACATAGGCTTTTCTCTTTACCACTTTCTTGGTTTATTTTTAGAGGTTTCTCTAGGAAAAAGTTAGGGAAGAAAAAACTTCATTCTTTGCAGCACCAATGTAATGGAGTTGGGATAGGGATTGGAATCTTCAGGTTAAGCTTTAAAAAAAAAAAATCTAAGTTAATTCATCTCTTCTGATTTTGGAAAGGTTAGTTTCCTAGGGTAAGAACTGGAACAGCAGTTTAGATATGTTAAAAAAAAATATATATATATATAAATATATATTCTGACACCCTGAAGCTTTCCCAGTTCAGAAAGTGTTCCACCGGCCTTGCTCACACTTACCAGCATTAAAGTGATGATACACCTCATGGCCATGTGCCATCAGTAGCCTGAAGATGTACAGTACTAGTACTGTGGATTGTATTTTCAATTTTTATTGAAATCTGTCCTTTGCCCACAGTCAGGTTTCTTTTCAGCCTGGCCCAATCTCTTTCAGTTCCTGGGCTTGAAGGCCTGTTCTAATCTGTATCAGACATCAAGGCAGATAATTGAAGGGAGAACTATGAGGGGGAGGGGGAAGGGAAGGTCACCTCAATCTGTCCCACTTAATTAGGAAAAAAAACTGGTAGGGGACGAAATTTGTAAAATATTGAAATTATAAAAGGGAGGAAGATGAAGATGGTTCGGGTCTGAGAGACAGGTATGATGATGGGCTCAGAAGTGAGAACAAAACAGTTCTAAAGTGAGCTATTTTGGAAAATAGAGACCATGCAGAGAAATAACTGATAAGGGTACATAATGAGACAACTCACAGCCAGGGACAGTTTTCATTTAACTACAGGAGAAACAGAGAAACAGCAGAGATTAGAAAGAAAAGAAAATAGAAAATAATTACAAGCAAGCAAAAATACTAGGCCAAATCTGCATGTATTAGAAGGAAAAGATGAAAAAAGCAAATTCCAGCTGTCTTAAGTGTGAGATGAGTAGCTAACAACTACTTAGGTAACGAGATGACAAATCTTAAAGTCTTATAAAAATAATTTAAAATATATCATGACTCTGAATTTGGGCAGAGTTAAAGCTGAAACAGAACTCCAAAGTATAGCTCAGGACACAAATTACACACTCTAAGGTGACTAGGCAGCTAAGAAGGGGCTGGAGAATGGTGATGGGTATGAGTTAATGCCCCTGTATTCAGTTTAGCATGATGTCAAAAACTGAACACTGTTCAAAGCCAAGAACAAGAATGACACACAAAGCAAATAAACATGATCAGCAGCATGGAAAAAAAATGTTACATGGTTTTACCCTCTAACCTACTCACATGTGCTGGGGAGCATTGCTGTAGGACCCATGTTCTAGCTTCTGCCACTTGCCCAGATGAGCAGCTGATTTATGTAGCAAATCACAGTATTTGGATGGCAGCAGTTGTGTGGTGAGCATGACAAAAGCATTGATCCACACCATAATGAGGTGCTCACATGACCAGCGCATGTCATAATACTGGGTACTCTGAAAGAGATCATAAGAGAAAGAAATGATCCATGCACTGGTGGCAAAGAGGCAGGGATGGGTGTGTGTACATATGACCTGCAGACAAATGCCACATTGAGTCAACATGCACTGGTTGTCCTGCTGTCCGTGCAGAGTCAAGAGCAGAGTCATCCAAAATCCTTCAACCTGACTTTCTAGCTGGGAGGGAGAGGCAATTATATTTTAAGTGTTTCCTTTCTAGAAGAACTGAGTGCTTCTGAAGGACTACTCCGGCTGCAGAAGTGCTTCTGAATGGGAGAAGGAAAAACACTAACATGCCCCAAAAGATTTTGGGCCCAAGTGACATCCAGACCATTTTTCTCTTCTATTGAAATAAACTGAAGTTTAGATAAAGGTTAGATAAAACCAAGGAAACATCTGATAACCCTGTTAATACCAAGCACAGTAGGCTGAATTTTATTGGAACTTTGGTTCTCTTAGGCTGATTCTACAAGTACAATGTTTATTCTCCTCAGAAACAAAAACAAAAATAAAAAATAAAATAAAAGGAAAAAGAAGAAAAAGGAAGGAAAGAAAGAAAGGGGGGGACCACCACGGGGTGCATCACATATATGGAAATACCTATCCACAAACCAGGAGCGGTATTAGTGCACTCCAGATGCAGCCGAACTCCACCATCCAGGCTGCCAAAGGGGAGACAGAGAAAAGGGGGATTAAGCAAGAAATACCCAGTTGATGTAATTTACACACAAATCCAGGGAGCATGCAAAGCAAGACAGCCACTTACCTTCACAAAACACAGGGGGAGAAACGCAACATAGTAGGCACTGAAAAGGGAGTTGAAGAGGACTTCCTTGATTCTGTGGTTGAAATCTGCTTTCAAACATTCTACTTCATTGCGAATAAGGTCTGGAGACAGCGGGCAACTATGGGTGGGGATGGGCGTGGTGTTATTAAACTGTTCTTTTAGAGACTCCAACAATAAGGAGAGGAAGTCTTTGGACTTGGCCAAGCTGCCCACAGTCGAGGCACTTTCCTCTACCGCTTGGTGCTGAACCATATAATTATAGTCTGTGAGGAGAAGATGAGCTCTACTATCTTGGTGGAAACAGCAAAGAGGGACATAAACACCGAACCTGTAAGACAAGGTGAACACAAAAATGAGACCACAGATACCTCCGAAGGACATCAATGTCAGATCCACCAGAGCAAGCATAGCTACAGCTCAAGGGGACTTGCTGATTGATGGTAAATTCTTCCACAAAAGCACTATGTATTAATTGTAGAATACAAAACTACATAAAAATCACAATGACAAAGTATAAGTTACCCAGAAATAATCTTTTTTTTTTATTATAAGGTGCACGTTTTTCCAATGTAAACTTTATAGTTACATATACTTTCTTTTATATACTTGGACCTATGCAGTATAAAATGTTGTATATCCTATTATTTTAGTTTTGTGTTCGTACTGAGTATTTTCTCATGTCAAAATATTTTTCTATAACACATTTTAAAGGTATTATAGGGTTCTTATACAGATGAGCCATAATTTAGAAATTTGTTAGAAACAGACTGCTTTCTCATTTTCCAGTAGCATAAATGACAACATGGTAAGGATTTTCCTAACACACATCTTTGTATGTATCTAGTAATTTTTATAAGGCTTGCCCTTAACCTCAATATCATCCCCTTCTTAGGGAGGGGCTCCCTGCCTCCATATTGTATCACTCACCCATCCCATTCCCAAAGACATTTCTAGTTCCCCTTTCTGCTTATTTTTCTCATAGATTTTACTACTCTACGTGTATATTAGGTTTTTGATATGGGGGTGGTATTTTTTTTCTTGGTCTATCTTCCCTTTATTACAATTTAAGCTCCATGAAGCAGATTCCAGTTGCTTAATTCATTGGTACTTGGAATAGTGGCTGAAACAGATGAAGCTCTCAACAGATACTTGATGAATTAATGAAAACAATTCTGCAGTACATAAATTTCTAGAAGCAAAATTACTTGGTTAAAGAGCTGAATATTTCTGAGACTTCTTATAACTTGTTTTTTGGTCCTAGGGATTAAACCTTGCATATGTTAAATTATACTCTGAACTACACCCCAGGACCCTTAATAACTTGTCATAGTTACTCCAAGTGTTGTTAGGTCCTTAAACATTTTTTAAACACTTCCCCAGGTCCTCATTAAGTAATTTCTGCATGTCACCTAGGTATTGTAAATAAAATGGTCACCTCACCAACATAAATTCAGGTATGAAAAACAGAGGAAAAAAAAAGATATGTTAGTCATTCATTCTAAACAAATGACACTTGTTCAGAGTTTTCTACAGACAAAGAAAGAATGAGCTTCTTATTAATTAAGAGGAAGGTTAGTGGTAGCTCAGGATCCACTGTGAATGTGCCGTTGGGAGGATGGCAGGGCTCTACCCTGGTAGATGTATCAGGTAGAAAAACTCACACAGCAAATTATGATTGCTAGAGAAGTTTGCAAGAAGTTCAATGCTGTTGAAACACAAGCTGAATGTGCAGGGATGGGGTGGAGTAGTAGGCTGCAGTGGTAGATTGCAATGATGGGCTCAATTCTTGTGGTCTTCCCCAGTCACTGCACAGTCCTCATTACATAAGTAAGGTTGACCTCCCCTATCTGCATACTGTGCTCAATGATATGACTTGTGTTTGGGCTGGAAGCATGATTCAAGTAGAAGAGCTCCTGCCTAGCAAGCACAAGGTTCTGAATTCAAGCCCCAGTACCATCCAAAAACAAAATAAAAAAAAAGTAACTTGACTTGATGTGGTCAATGAGATTCAGCAGACATCAATCAGAAGTGCCATCAGAAGCTTGAAATGGGCTTGTAAAATGATGTCTGCTCTTTTGATGCCCTGCCATGTGATTCCACGCAGGCTAGAATGCTAAGGATGAGAGCCATGGGAACAAACCTGACTTGTTCCAGCTCTGATGGATGGAACAGGCAGGCAGTCTAGGTAGGTAGCTGAACCCAGTTAATTGTCAAGAGACCCTGCTCAGGAGGATCAGTTTGAGGGCAGGCTAAGCAAAAAGTTAGTGAGACCCCCCCCCCATCTCAACAAACAAGTCAGGCATGGTAGGGCCCACCTGTAACCCCACTTATGCAGGATCACAGTCTGAGGCTGATCCCAGGCAAAATGGTACCCTATCCAAAACATAACTAAAGCTAAAAAAGGGCTGTGGGCATGTGGCCCAAGTAGCAGAGCACCTGCCTAGCGAGTGTAAAGCCCCAAGTTGAAACCCCAACACAAAAAAAAAAATTAATAACATGACTAAATTTCTCATTTTGTAATCATTCTAGTTACAATGAAAAATGGAATGAAGAGGAGCAAGAACAGATAACCACATGACCAGATGGAGTTTTAGACTATAATGTAGAAATTATGGAAAGCAGTGGCCAAATTCAAGATAGGTTTAGGAGCCACAACTGCTAGACTACAGACTAATTTAGAGAGGCTATCTGAGAATTGAAGGAAAAACAAAGGGGGTGGGTGGGGGGAGAGAGAGAGAGAGAGAGAGAGAGAGAGAGACGGTTGGAGAGACATAAAACAGTAGTTTTTTTTTTTTTTTTTTTTTAAACCTATGGATGAACAGGAAAAGAAAGATGTGGATGGGGATATGGCTCAAGTAGTAGAGTCCCTGACTCTATCATGCACAGTACCACCAAAAAAAAAAGTTTTTATTGGCTGGGGGCAGTGACTCACATCTGCAATCCTGGCTAGAGAGGCAGAGATTAGGAGGGTCTTGGGTGGAGACCAGCACAGGGAAAGTATTAGTGAGACTCTCATCCTAACAAACAAGCCAGGCTGGGATCTGAGGCTGGCACCAAGTAAAAATACAAGACCCTATCTGAAAAATAACTAAAGCTAAAGAAGGCTGGAGATGTGGCTCAAATGGTAAAGATCCTGCCTAGCAAACAAGAGTTCAAACCCCAGTACTACCAAAAAAAAAAAGAGAGAAAGATGTGATTATTTCCATAACCTAGTTTTAAAAATACCTTTAATTTTTAAAGTTTACATAAATGGTAAATACATTTAAACCTAAAATTTGTTTAAATTACATGCTTATTTCATTGTTTTGTGGGGTATGGAAACCTCTAAGGATAAAGTTTGGTAGCCATTTTGATGATAGCAATCCTCTTAAATAAAAGATGTTTACTTGATGAACAGAGCTAATTAAAACATTCTCTGCTGTAAGACAGTCATACTTCTGTTTTCCCAGGACAGTCCTGGTTTACTGCCTGTTCTCAACTACCTTAGTTTGAAAACAAATTATATGGTAAACACACTCAATGGTTTTCCAGTTTTCTGAACTCGTAGTTCAAAATTGAAGAATTTCATTTTCCCCATGCTCATCATATCATTTGCATGACCCAAATAACTTTAAAATGTAAAACTGGAGTACTCACGGGTAGCCAAGGAAGAGGAGATTGAGGACTGAATGGCTTCGAAAGAGATTGACCAGAGTCCAACAAAGCACCCATCCACACAAAGTAAGTAGCACCAAGCGCGCTGATATCAGAACCATGTAGTGAAACATAGATGCTGCACCCGCTTTAGTGGCCTGGAAATTTGGAAGCACCAAAAGGAACATTTTATAAACAATCTTATTCAAAAGCATCGTGACTCAAGTAAAGACTTAGTAGGTTTAGTGAAAGCAAAACTGTGCCTAAAAAATTGAAAAAGGCTAGGAGTGGTGGTACATGCCTGTAATCCCAGCACTCAGAAGGTTAACATAGGGGGATCCTCAGTTCAAGGTCTGCCTGGGCTATATAGCAAGACCTTGTCTAAAACAACTAGAAAGTTAAGAGGAAAGGAAAGATGGATGGACTTGCCCTACCCCCTATCTTCCTAATGTATGAAAATTCAGACTTCTCCATGCAGATATCCTCCTTAAATCCTATACTCCTCATATAGACCTCTTTAAGTTTTTATGATTATCATTTAATATGTTTACAATATGGCTTCTCAAAGTATGGCCCATGCACCAGACATGGCCATGCACCATGGCTGCTTATTGGACATATAACTTCCTAACAACTTTCCTGCCCAGAAGTAGGGAACAAAATTTTAAGTCAAAGAGTCTATATTTTAACAACTTCCTAAGCGATATATGTAATAAAGATGGAAAGCCATTAATTTATCTGTTTTACTTCCCACCAGGTTGCAGGGACCTCAAAAGCAGCAACAGTATTTGAATCCTCATCCCTAAACTGTTTGCTGAGTTAATGTTTAATAAATTACTGAAGTTTCACAAAATAGTCACATCTTTCTTAACAGATTCCTGCATAAACAGGTTCCTTTTTAACTTTTATACACATGGAAATAATACATATTCTCTCTCATAGCTGTTCAAATAACCTCTTTAATCCCAAATCTTTAAAACTGACTACATACAGTAATAAAACATATTTGTGAAAATGTGAAGCTTTGAGCTGGGTGCCAGTAGTTCATAGCTAGCTGGGAAGCTGAGATCAGGAGGATAAGACATTTGAGGTCAGCTGGGACAAATAGTTCATGAGTTCCCATCTCCAACATAACCAGAGCAAAATGGACTAGAGGTGGCTCAAGAAATAAAGCACCTGCTTTGTAAGCACGAAGTCCTCAGTTCAAAACCTAGTCCCACCAAAAAATAAATAAAACAAAAAAACCTTGAAGTTTTGAAATGCCACTTTTTTCCAACATGAAGTAGGAAGGACAGAATGAGCAAAATGCAGAAGAAATGATACCTCTCTATAATGTCTACCAACAGCAAGCACTATTAGAAGTCAGAAGGGGGGTAAAAATGATCTGAAGTCACCAGTACATGAGAGATAAGGAGCTTCTGAAGTCCCTCCTATTACACCCACTTCTCAGTTTACAGACCATACTACACAGCACATATATTTGTAATATATACAATACGGTAACGCTCAAGCTGATGAACTGCAGGTAAGATGGTGGTTGTACAAAATTACAGGGAGATCTGGTTGCAGTAGCACATGCCTGAAGTCTCAGATACTTGGGAGGCTGAGGCAGGAGGATCACTCAAACTCAGAAGTTCGAGGTCACCCTAGGCAACATAGCTAACACCTCCACCTCAAAAAAAGAGAGAAGAACATTAGCTGGACTTAAAAAATTCCTATTGCCTATTGACATCATAGCTGTCCTAGCATTCATGTGTTTGTGGTAATGCTGGTATAAACAGACTGACAGCACTTTTAGCTGTATAAAAGTATAGGACACATAATTTTGCACAGTGCATAATACTTATTAATGACAATAAACAACTATGGAGCTGGCTTATATATTTATTCTATTTACCACACTTTCTATGATAGATATATACTCCTACTTATAAAAACACCTTGCTGTAAAACAGTATACTATGTTATTCCAGCAGCGTCCCTTCCTCATAACACCTTGTTTTTACAGCATCTCTAGATTACATCAAGCCAAGTGGAGTGATTTATGTAAGCCAATCAAGTTTGTGTAAGTATACCTGATGATGTTCACACGATGAGGAAACTGCCTAGCAACACACTTCTCAGCCTTTATCCTGTCATTAAATGACACAACAGTGAGTGTGTAGATATACATAATATATAGTTATTTAAAAATGTGAAGTAGCAGTTAAATGAATGCTGCAATGATTGTTTAAGCCTGAAGTTGTAGAGAAGCCTCAAGCTGTTCTTAGCCACAGTAGGGTAAATGGTTCTGTATCACTCCCTTGACACATTTCTTATAAAGATATACCTCACAGGGAAGTGATTCAAGCCACTGGAGTTACCCCCCTGCTTCCATTCTCAAAAGCTCAGGTTATAGGCTGGGGGGTTGGGAGGGATGGGGAGGAGTATGGCTTAAGTGGCAGGGCACCTATTTAGCAAGCTTGAGGTCCTGAGTTCAAACTCCAGAATTGCCAAAATAAAGTTTAAGACTAAAAATAAAAAAAGATGTTTCTGCCCAGTGTAACCAGAGCAGGAGAGCTTAGATTTAGTCATTAATTTTGCCTTATCTCTGAACCCAAGCTTTTAGCCACTGTGTTGTATATGACAGACCCAATGCCAGGTCCTGGGGTGAAAGAGGTAATCAAGAGAAACAAGACTTTTTCTTTATGAAACTGCCCAAACAAGAAAAACAAATATTAAATTTAAAGCTCAAAGATTATTTTTACAAGTGTAGTAAGTGCTACAGGAATAGCATAAGCTACTAAGACATAGAGACCCTAACCTAGGGAAGGCTTCCTTTAGAAAGTGCTATTTAAGTTGAGACCTAAGAAATAAGCAATCACTAGCCAAGTAAGGGGTAGAAAGCCATTCATGACACTAGGTGTTTTGTTTTGTTTTTGGGCACAAAATGAGTGCCTACTATATACCATTCACTCATTTTTTCAAAAAAATTTATTTTGGCAGTATTGGGATTTGAACTCAGGGCCTCATGCTTGCTAGGCAGGCGCTCATGACACTATGGCAAGTGAAAAGTGCACAGAATTATTCCCAAATACATTCATACAGACATATGTATCTATATGTGTGTGTATATGTGTGCATGTGTGGTGTGTATGTAGGTACAAACTTTTTTTGTGTGATTTTTGTGATACTTGGGTTTGAACTTAGGGCCTCAGGCTTGCTAGGCAAATGCTCTACCACTTGAGCCATGCCCTCAGCCCAAAGGAAGTTTGTCATCAGATATAGACAAAACTTTTATAGGCATATAAAGATTAGAAAGAAATATACCAAAATGTGGTTCTCAATAACAGGACTGTAATTTTTTAACTTTTTGCTTTATGCTATAATGTTCTGATTTTTTTAAATTAAAATAATACCATTTTTCTGTTTAGAAAAATAATCTTTTGTGTATATGTATTTGTTTTTTGAGAAAGGATCTCTCTATGTAGCCCAGGCTGCTCTGAACTTGAGATCCTCCTGCCTCAACCTCCCAAGTGCTAGGATTCAGCCATGACCACCACACCCAGCCACCAGAGACACAATTTTTTAAAGAAAGTTGCTTCAAGTTGGTGAAAGAACTGAACTTATTTTTAGTCTTATGGAACAGGTAAAGAAGTAGTGTCCAGGTGCTAGTAGCTCAGGCCTGTAACCCTAGCTACTTGAGAGGCAGAGATTAGGAGGACTGAGGTCAGAAGTCAGTGAGGGTATATAGTTTGAGAGAGCCTATTTCAAAAATACCCAACACAAAAAAGGACAGACAGAGTGATTCAAGTGGTAAAGCACCTGCCTAGCAAGCATGAGGCCCTAAGTTCCAGTCTCCAGTACCACAAAAGAAAGAGAGAGAGAGAGAAAAGAGAGAGGGAAGGAGAAAGAAAAACAGAAAGAAAGGGGAGGGGAGGGAAGAAGATAGCTCTATTTAAATTTAGCTTAAGGTTTTTGGCTTCTATGCCATCTGGCCAGAGCCCATTGCTTTTCTCTCCTATGTTTTCTTTCTATGTTCAATAAAACTTTGTTTAAAAAAAAAAAAACTTAACTTACACATTCTATTCCCTCCATACTCTTCAACTAAGGCTGTAAAAAGCTGCTAAACTATTATTAGATGTTTAGTAAAAAAGAAGCAATAAAGTGCTTCAAGTTCTAGCCTTTGTAGCAACAAGGTAGAAACCCCAGTCACAAAGGGTTTACATACAAACAAGACATAATCAAATTGACAAATGCAAGTACCATTTCTAAATAAGTGAAGAGATGAAACAAAATCATTGTATTTTAATACATATAAATGAAAGACTACGGAGTTCCTCTAAAGAAAGTTCTTTCTCAATATATCCAAAAGTAAGCATCTACTATCATCATCTCAATAATGGATAAAAGGTTATAGACAGCCTTTCCTACTGTGAGAAAAAAACAATCCTACTACCATTACTTTTCACTTAACTTCAAATAGCTTTCAGATCATGACTTAATATCTTCAATTACTTTGTGCTTGCAGAAATCCACAGTCTGAAAATTAAAGCTTACACACATAAAGACTTTTGTGTATGTTCTAGAAGAAAAAAGTTGACTCTCAGTTTTTTGTGGTGGCACCAACTATTATTCATTTAAAATTTCACACTGAAATGTTAAGTTCCAGTATTAAAATTATTAGCTGTTTTAGCTAAGTTAACTGCTTTTTTATAATGACTTACAGGTCACAAAATAACAAAAATCTTATGAAACCCTCACTAGGGTTTACAAATATATGAAAAATTATATCAATGACTAACTCTATCGATAACTTTTAATTTAAAAAAGATCACTTAACATTCCAATTCTTTCCACCTCTGCCCACTTAGGTACTAATCTTCAGATTAATCCTATGTAAATTTTAACATTACCTTTATAAAATTCAAAGTCTTAATCAACTCAAATGTTTCTTGTCAGCAAATTTCACAAATGGTTACAAACCATTTCAAGTGAATGTTAACTGAATGACTTAGATTCAACTGTATGTGTATATGTGTACAGATAATTCTTCAGACTAATAGTTACCTGAAACTCATCCTGTTTTGTTTTGTGGTATTGGGGCTTGAACCAGGGCCTATACCTTGAGCCACTCCACCAGCTTTTTTTTGTGATGGGTTTTTTTGAGATAGGGTCTTGTGGACTATTTGCCTGAACTGGCTTTAAACCATGATCTTCCTGATCTTTGCCTCCAGAGTAGCTAGGGTTACAGGCATGAGTCACTGATGCCTGGCTGCATCCTCTTTTTTAACACAACTATTAAATGTAAAGGTTGTACTAAAAAAATCCAGGAGTTGAAAATAAGAAATCAGATTTCTCATAGCTCTCTTGAGTAATTTTACATTTGAATTTTAAATATATTACAGGAATATATTTAAAGTACTGGTACAACTCAGAAAGGAGTAAGGAAATTAATTTACAGTTGTATTCAAATTACATTTGGACATTTCATGTTTTCAGTCTGAATCCATTCTAGTAGCTAAATCTAGTTACAAGTGATAGAATAGTGAATGAACTGTTATACCTCTGAGATGAGGGCCCATACAAGCCTTCTTGCAAGCATCACTGTGATGAATGCTGCCAGGTGATAATCAATGAGATGAAAGTTCTATAAGAGAAACAAAGAACTGCATCAGAAAGAAATACCATGTGTATCCATCTAGTTGGAACTCCTACACAGACAAGAGATTTGTCTCCTGAAAGATTTTCCTGTACCTATGGACATAGCACAATGAAACCTCTTTGTACAATTACATATGCTAATAAAAAATAATAATTACAATTAAATAAAAAATCTTTCTTAGATCACCTTACCCTTACAGGTAACAGGTACTTGAGAGATCCTGAGCAGACTGCCTATCTTCTACTTCTTTCATGCAAATTACTTTAACTTTTCAAACACTATTTTAAACTATCTGGAATACATTCATCTCCTTTTTTTTTTTTTTAAACTTTACTATGGTAAAAGGAAAGATTACAGCCTGGATTTAACAAGTAATAAGCTGCAGAATTAGATAAGAATAATCCATGTAGGGCTGGAGGTGTGACTCAAGTAGTAGAGTGCCTACCTAGCAAGAACAAACTCCAGTACCACTAAAAAAAAAAAAAAAACATCTAAAGTGGCAGCATTGGGGTTTTTTAACTCATGGTCTCGTACCCGCTAGGCAGATGCTCCTACCGCTCGAGCCACTCTGCCAGCCAAAACTGCCGTGTTTATAATGTGCCCAATTTAAGAGATCAGTTGTGTTTCTTGGTTTTTGGAAGTTACTGTTGGTGGTCTCTTTACTCAAACTTAATATTAAACTAATTGAATACCTACCAAACTCTACTATTTGGTACATCAAATAAATACATCCAATCTTTCTAAATTGATTTAGAAATATGTCTTATAGGGCTGGGGCCATGGCTCAATTGGTAGAGTACCTGCCAAACAAGCACAAAGTCCTGAATTCAAAGTCCAGAACCACACAAAAAAATGGTTGAAAAAAAAAAACTGAGAGAAACATATCTTACATTTGATCTCCTCTCCTGTAAAATAACAGTGCTATCCAGATGCCATCCACAGTTTCTTCTAGTTATAAGTCTGTATATATTAACTATGATGATCAGCAAAATGAAATCTCTAGTAACAATATCCTAGGAACCAACAAAATTGGGATACTTTTTTTACGGGGGGAGGACAGGGATACATTTTCATTTTGATGGCCAAAAGACCTGCAGGGTTCTATTAATTCATTCAAAAAGGAAAAGGTGAATTTCTCATTTGACTCAGTAAATATGTACCTAACATTCAGAATATGCCAGAGGTAGTCTTCTCGATACTGAGGATACAGTGCTAAAGAGGCTGACCAAGGTTCCTGCTCCCCTAGATCTTACATTCTATCATGGTGTGAGAGGGAAAGGAAATGGCAGAGACTACTGGTTTGTCCTACCACCAGAACAGAATTTAACTGGGCACTAATGCCAAGCTAACTGAAGTTCATTTCCCAGCCTTCCCATTTATAGACGACATTCTCTGTATGACGATTACCCTGGCCCTCCTAAGTAATTGGATGATACCTACAGTACGTTTTTATTACCTCAGCAGACAGCTAGTTTCCATTTCAATTTATTTTTGTAACAGAACACAATTCTATTCAGGTAAACAATGCACCCAGCTAAAGGACTGTATTTTCTACCTACCTTACAGTTAGAAATGGATATGGAAATGATAGAAGCCTGTCCATAAGTTTTCTTTATATTTCCCTAATTTTTTCCCCCTTTCTGGTTGACAAAGATAAACCACCTCCACCCAGAGAAAACATGTTAAAAGACATCAATCTCTACCAACCTTGATCTCCAGACTGACCACATGGAAGAACTCCTGACAACCAGGTCAACTGCCTTGGACTGCTAAGTTAGAAACACTACACAACTTTGGTGTATTTGTTACAGAAGCTACTGCCACCCTAATTCAGTCATTAAGATAAAGTTGTTGTAAGACATTCAAATTTGCAAAGAAAAAAAAAAAAAAAGGTAAAGTTGATGCTGGCCATAGTAGTACGTCTGTAATCCAAACACTACGGAGGCAGGGGGATATGTGAGCTACATAATGAGACTCTGTCTCAAAAGAAAGATAAAGTTGCTGGAACTTAATCATACATTAGTTAACAACAAGTTTAACATGGTCTAAAGAAAGCTAAGTATCAAAACCTTTCTGAGATGTTATGAATTACTTAAATGTTTTCTGACTTTTCATTTGTATTTTAGCAAAACCATCATGAAGCTTTATTTCTGAAATTAATCTGAAGTTTGATAGAAAAAAAATACTCTTTGGGGGGAGAGGGAGTGGGCAGAGTGGGTGGTAAGGAAGGGGGTGGGGGCAGGGGGGAGAAATGACCCAAGCCTTGTATGCACACATGAATAATAAAAAAAAAAAAATTAAAAAAAAAAAACACACTGTTAGAAGAAAATTATTAAGAAAAATACTTTCTCGTGTGCTGGCGGAGTGGCTGAAGCAATAAAAGCGCCTGCCTAGCACATGTGAGGCTCTGAGTTCAAAGCCCAGTGCTGCCAGGAAAAAAAAAAAAAAAGAATTTCTACCACAAGATTTTCCAGCTGGTTTCTTGCCCACTGACATGAAGAACTTAAGGGCCTATGAAGACTTACCAGTGAAGTACAAGATGCAGGATGATTATAAGGATACCACCACACAGTTTTATAGATGTTGATGTATTGAATGAACAGAGCAACCAACAGGTAGATGAAAAAAAGAAACTCAAAGAGCAGGCTCCCATCCACAGGCAAGTCAGGAATTTGGCAATGACGAACAGGACCTGGAGTGATTAAGGCTGTGATAGGTGGGACTGGAAGACCAAAAGCGCTACCATTCCTGAAAGAAAAAACTATGGTTAACTCAGTGACAGACTTTGGTTTCACATAGCACAGAGGAGCTCTGCTGCCTCCTCCACCTATCCCTAACTGTTGGCCTTTGAAAGCCAGGATCCTCTTTCCTTGTTTTCTTCCTCTACACATTGTCTCAGTGATCTAAGATGCAGCCATGGCTTCCATTATCACCTGTGTACCAAAGACTAAAACTTCTCTCCACAGAGTTCACTGCTGAGTTTTAGACTCATATTATCCAACTGCCTGTCTACTGGACTTCTGTGTTTTTCCTCCAACTGTCCTGACTCTAGTTCATAGCCTACTCTGCTAGCTGCCCAAATCAGAAACCTAGGCTAGGACTTTTTTCCTATCTCTCCATATCCAATCACTCTCAAAAGACTTAAGATCCCACTTTATGAAACTTTCTCTAAACTGTACCTTCTCAATACAGTGTCTTGGTTTAAGCATTTACCAATTTTCACTTCAATTACTGCAGTGATCCTCTAAAATTTGAGTCACTTTCACCAAACCCTCCAATATGCCTTCAGAGATATTCAGAAATTCTGATAGTGTTATTCTTTTACTTAAAAGCCTTTAAAATGTCTCTCTGTTGCCAAGGGGGTAATACCAAAATTTCATTACATCTTATGAGACCCTCTGCCTAAAACAGTAGCCGTATCACCGCTATGATACCCATGCTGTTTGCTGTCTGGAAATACATGTTATTCTTTTCTGCACTCTATTCCTTTTACACGTAACGCCCTCTGTAATTACCTCCCTTAACTTTTCACATAAGATAGCTACTGATAAAAATCCTTCCAGCATTTTTTAACTCCTTTTATTTTTAAGGGGCTAAGGAGGCTACCACAAGGGTAAGTGCTTGTCTAGTATGTGAGAGGCCCTTGCTTTGGGGATGGGGGGGGGGGAGAGATGCTCAAATATATCTTCTGTGAAGCTTACTCTGACTTTCTCTAACAAAACTAAAGCATTCCCCTTAAATTATGCCTTTATTACTACACTTTTTATATTGTTACATAATTTTTTTGTACAAATGTATGTCATGTCTTGGTTACCCGAACAGACTACTGTTTTTAGTTCTTTGCAAATATATGCCTTTAGGTTGTTAGCAGACCAACACAGTCACGAAAAAAAAAAGAGAGATCTCTTAAAACACAAATAAAAATAGAGATTTTAATCCCTACCTTCTTTCTTCAAAGCTCATTTATAGGCTCAGAAATAGCTCAGCTATCAGAAGTGATACGATAGGGTTAGGGAATAAAATTTCCTATCAATAATATATCTGGGAATAGTTACAGAGATCTAAGGATCTACTGTTGTTTACACAACAAAGAAGAGAGGCTTTATTTTGATACTTTCAAAGAAGAGTCAAGAAAAGAACAATATTAGCGTTACCTTTCTACTCTAAAATTTCCAAATATAAAATTCTATCATTGGTATGTGGCATTTACAGTACTTTTAGCAAATTCATGGGAATATGAACTTTGCTCATTCAAATAGTTAAGAATACTATGGCTTGGATGCAGAGGATTAATGTCAGCAGCCAACCTATTCCCTCACTCCAGTTAGTCATAAGATATTGAGATTAAAAATTCTGATAAAATATTGTAAGATTAGGAGCCTCTAATCTAAATAAACTAAAAATTCCTATTCCCCTTCAATAAAAAGCAAGGGGGAAGCATGCTAAACATATCATGATTTAAGGGTTAAAAAGACTATAAAAATTATCCCAAGAAAAGCAGAATAATATGCTTCTACCATTAATGAGGTCAATAAAATGGTGGTCTTCATAAAAGATATTCAAAACAAAGTACAAATGATCTATACTTGTAACACCCTATACAGCTTTGGCTTTTAAAATTAAAGCCAGAAGACAAAAGAGACAAAAGTCAAATAAAGTGATCCAGAGCATCAACGAGGATAAAAGGGAAGATTGTTTTGTGTGTGTGTGTGTGTGTGTGTGTGTGTGTGTGTGTGTGTGTGTGTGTGTGTGTGTGTGTGTGTGTCTGTGTGTGTGGCTCTGGGGTTTGAACTCAGAGTCTCAAGCTTGCTAGGCAGGTGCTCTACCAGTTGAACCACTCCACCAGTCCTTTTTTGTTTTGGGTATTTTTGAGATAGGTCTTGTAAACTATTTGCCCAGAACTGGCTTCAAACCATGATCCTTCTGATCTTTGCCTCCTGAATAGCTAGGATTACAAATGTGAGCCACCAGTGCTCAGTACAACTATTTTTACATAAAGAGAATCTATAAGATTAAGACATCTCCATCTAATCTATAAAGAATCAAAGTTCTTAGAAATAATTTAATTAAATAAACAGATAATCCATACATTAATCAAAATACCACATTGAACTCTATATACGTACAATTATTGCGTACTAGTCAAAAATAAAATGCATTTTTAAAAATTGAAATAAAATAAACTTGACCAATACATCTCAGAAAATTAGTTACATAGGTATTATTTAGGAACAATAAAAACATTATTCCTGATCTGGGGATGTAGCTCAGTAGTAGGGCACTTGCCTGCCATGTGCAAGGTCCTGGGTTTAATACACAGCACTGAAAAAAAAATCCTTTTCTCTAATATGACATAAAAATATATTCAAGATTGTATTCAAGATATACTTAATTCCAACAGTAACAAGAGGTGACAACATATAAAGCACTGCCTACCACCAGGAAAGTTCATTAGACTCAACATCCAAGGTTTTTATCAGAGTTTGGCCACACAGGCACCCTCTCCCTAGCAATACCAAAATTCCAGACTCCCAAGAGAATGCAGGTGTTCAGCATAACTGTCCTTACAAGGATATCCTTGTAAGCAGGCTTATAAGGCTTATATCTGGAAATGTGACTGGTAAACAGTTCCCTTCACAGATATAAAACTTTCCCTAAATGATAAGAATGGCTCACTGTGCCTAAACTGCATAAGCAGTGGTTTATACTGAACACCTGTTTGTCTTTGCATATAAAATGTAAAATCTGGGTGCAAGCCAGGCACTGGTGGCTCATGTCTGCAATCCTAACAACACAGAAGGCAGAGATCAGGAGGATCTCTGTTCGAAGCCAGCCCAGCCAAAGAGTTCATGAGATTTTACCTTAAAAATACTCAACATAAAAAAAGGACTGGTGGAGAGGCTTAACTGGTCGAGCACCTGCCTATCAAGCATGAGGTCCTGAGTTCAAACCCCATTACTGCCAAAATAAACAAATAAATAAAACTTGAATGCAAGAAAGAATTAACACAGTCAGGCACCAGTGGCTCATGCTTATAATCCCAGCTACTTGGGAGGCTGAGATCAGGAGGATTTTGGTTCAAGGCCAGCCTATGCAAATGGTTTATAAGACCCCCCCACCTTCAAATAACCAGAGCAAAAATGGGTTGGAGGTATGGTTCAAGGGGTAGAGCACCTGCTTTGCAAGCACAAGCCTTGTGTTCCACCAAAAAAAGGAGTTAAAATATCAGGCCTGAGACTAGCCTTTACAGTGAACAGCACCATTTAAGTAAAAATAAAATCTAGGATAAAGCAAAGAAGAATCAAAGAAATAAAGAGGAAATGGAAAGGACAGGGAAAGCAGTGGTCATTTGGACAGGCTAGGTGATACTATTAACAAAGTCTATGCAAGAACTAACAAAGAAAAAAAGACTCCATCTTTTTCAAATAAGAATCACTAGGAATTCTCCAAGAAACTCAGAAATACACAGTACATCCTTTTTTTTTTTTTAAAGAACACTCATCTAAACACATGTTGCGAAGAACAAATTCCTACTCCCCAAAGGTTAAAAGTGCAATAGGGAACTATGGATTTCAATCTTGATTGTATCACCAAACTAGCTCTTTGACATTCTTGAGTTTAACTTCACCAAAGTTAAACTCAGAGAAGTTAAACTCAGACCAAAAACGTTTACCAAACAGTCAAATGCTCCCTTCTCAGCTAAGCTATGTCTTGCAAAATCAAATATGTCATCTAAATTTATACCATACTTAATGCAATTCTATTTCTCTTTGATACTCTACAGATATTCCAAAGTGATTTCTCATCTGGACACTTTCTTTGAATGCATCCTTCCTAAAGCTATATTCTAAGGCACCTACCACTGTCTTATCTGTATTTTTAATAACTCTTCCCTAGGTCTTATTTAACAACCTATTCCAGTTGCCTTATTCCCATCAAAAAAACAAATACAGAAATAGAAACTTTTTTTTTCCCCTTGAGACAAGGTCAAACTATGTAGCCCTAGACTGATCTTGAATGCACTACGAAGCCCAGACTGGCCCCAAACTCTCTATACTCCTGCTGCCACCTACCAAGTGTTGGGATTACAGGTACATACCACCATGCCTGGCTTAGAAACTTCTTTTTTCAAAATAACCTCATGGTACACATAGTCTCAATAACCTTCCAAACTGTAAACAGCTCTTTTCTCTTACTGTTGAAAAATACATTCTTCTACCCCTATCCACCTCAAATTAATTGTTGGAGAAATATATGTCAAAGGAGGACCGAGGGTGAACAGGAAATCAAAACAACCCTGGTTGGGATGTTGAAAGCCAATAAAGAAGAGCTATCAAGAAGGCAGAGAAAATACAGGACCATGGCTAAACTCAGTCAAAAGTAGAGATATTTTTCTAATGTTCCTAGTTCTTCCTAGTACACTATTTGCAGACTTCAAGTAGAAGCAGAACCGTCTAGGGATGAGGCTTCATGTAACTTTTGGCTCTTTTTCAATAGCAGAACATTTCATTTTCCTTTTCCCTAAAGATATTTTTTATGGTATTCCAGTATTTAAAACACTGTAACAAACTAATCTAATGAAGAGAGGACTTGGAAACCTGAACCCTGGACTACCAGGACTTCTGGTTGCTTTTCCCTTCTAAGCCTCCAGGAGGAGCCTAAAAGCACAGTAATCTAGAGGAATCCTCAAAGCAAAGTAAAGGAGAATGAACAAAAACCTGCTGGAGTTAATAGGAAGGCAAAGCTAGAATTTTTTTTCCTAGAGAGGATCCTAGCTAGGTACAGCTATGATTTTCTATCACAATTTGAAAGTGATAGATTAGAATAAATTCAGTCATTGTGACTAAAATTAAGACGTACTTCAAATAGTAAACAACTTTCACCTCAAAACCCATGTTAGATAGAATCTTTCTTAAAAAGCATTTTCACAAATTTTATTTTTCTTTACTTTTAAAAATACAAAACAATACATGTTATATGTAGAAATCTGGGCAAATTCAGTGAAGTTTTAAAGTTACTATTTCATTTATTTTCAATATCCTACTAAGAAGCAAACAAACAAACAAAAAGCAAATAGTATCACCACTTTTAAAATGAGAAAACCCAAAGAACAGCCAAGTAAAAATAATACTCTATTAAAAAAAACTAGTTACTCTGAACACACATACATAAAATTTCGATTGGAAATCAGTGTAAAATGAGAATCAGAAATTGGGAAAATCTCTTCAAACCAGAATTTCAGTGAAAGCCCCACTGAAATGAGATCAGAACTAATTGAAGACTGGGTAGAACTTGGGTTGTAAAGTCAGAAAGAAGGAGATCAGACCAGAAAGAGAAAAGTACACAAATATATCAAGACAACCTGAAAGCCAGGTGTGATACTGATTGCTACCTCTGAAAATTAAAACCAAGGCAAAAGAAAAACTAATTAAGGGAGGAAGCAGAAATATGTTGGCAAAAATTATCTTGACCAAACATGATACCAAGTAAACACTTTTCTGCCCTGCTACATGACCAAGCCTCCTGATCATATAAGTTACCCTGGATAAAATTAGAACAATTCATCCTGGGCTGGGGGGTATAGCTCAGTAGTTTAGCATGCATGAGGCCCTGGAGTCAATACCAAACCACCCCTCCCCAAAGAAAATTTTGAAAATTAGAAAAAGTAAACTTCCATTAAAAAAATTTGGGGGACTGGCGGAGTAGCTCAAGCACTAAGAGCACCTGCCTAGCAAGCACAAGGCTCTGAGTTCAATCCCAGTGTCCCCCCCCCCAGTCCCCCAAAAAAGGTGATGACTAGAATTTGGATTATCAGCTACTAAGTCAGAACTGGAACTGCTTTCACTTTGTGGACCTCCTATATCATATCTTTCTACCTCCAAAGTATTCTGAAAGACTAAGTCTTCAGTCTTTTAGGACAGGACGTCAACCTCAGTGTCAAGAATAAAGTCTGATAAGCAAGTATCTGAATATAAAGATGACTTTTATGTTAGTCATAGGACATTACAAGTTATGAATAGCTTTATTTCTTCTTTACCTGTTTCTCAATCCTGTTCCATTGCCACAGCCCCCACCAACCAAAGTCTGTAAAGAAGGTAAAGCTGAACGACTTAGCTGCTGCCGGCTAGGGCCTCTCCTTCCACCGGGCATGTCCAGGAACCAGTCTGCTTCCAGTGCCACCTGTAGTTGCAACCCAGGTTAATGGTTGCCAACCTACTTCAACCCTGAACAATAAAAAAAGAAAGAAAGAAAGAAAGAAATATCAGTTAACTATTTTTAAAGTACACAATGTGACAGACAAACAACCAGAAAAACTGAGGGAGCAAATCTTGTAAAACCAGATTTTTAAACAAATGCTCCCAGTGTCTATTACCTACTTTATTTAAATAAAAGGACTACTCAGACTCTTAATGGGTCGTAAGCCTCTAAATTCTGATGTAAACTGTGCTCAGTATTAGGTAAGTCACAATTTGTCTTTTGTTGTCTTGTATTATATATGAAACATACTACAATCAGGTGGAAGTTTACAAGAAACACAACACACAGTTTGAGTTCAGTGTAATACAGAAGGCCCCTCACTGTCCAAAATGTTAGGTTTTTTTATCAAGGGATCTGGAGTCTGATATGTATCACATCTGACCTTGACTGAGTCATTTAACCTCTGAGTTTCTTTCTTCATCAAGAAAAAAAAAATCCCCTGTTCTACAGAGGTTTTTTTGTCAGGACTGTTCAAGAAGGATGAAAGGGCACTAGTAGAACTTTTAACCCTTTAAAAGTAAAACTGTTCTGCATGTTACGGTGAAAATACCAAAAGAAACTGAAGTGGATGCCCACTTCAGAAAAAACTTGTGTAAAATAATTTAGAAATTATTGAAATTGCAAGATTAAAGACATATCAACAGATAAAGATCCTCATTGCAAAAAAGCTGTTTTTCCTCAATTTTGCCAACAATCATGGTTCCGCCAATATGGATACCAAATGTCTCCTAAACAATACAACGAAAAACTGAAAAGTCACACGCTGGAAAAACATTGATTTTCAAAAAGTTACTGCAGACTGATCCGATGTTCCCTACTCTTCAGCTTCGGGTGCAAATTAACAAACGCCAGGTGAGACAATGCATTCAAACTCAATTAACCAGCAAAGGGGAAAGAAAAGTGAGGGGCAAACACCAGGACGGAGAGTGAGCAAGGGTGAGGAAGGTGGATGGGGAAACACAAACTTCCATAGCCCGGCCCCCGCTGTGCACCCCGATGACCCGAAGCCGGTCGGGGATGATTGGACGACTTGGCCCTAGGTAATACTCACGCATGGAGGAGGCCCGGCCGGTGGGGCGGGGTCCCTAGGAGGAAGCGGAGGCTTTTCAGAACAGACCCCAAGCAAGAGAACGCCCTCCCGGCCTGAAAGCGCTCCAGACTAGCTGCCTGTCCGCAAGCCGTGCCCGCCTGGAGAGTCAAGTGAAGGTGGTCCAGTCTTTAGGCTACCAGAACCAGACCTTGAGTCAGTGCCAGAGGCAGAGCTAAAGCTGGAACCAGAGTCCGGCCCCGTCAGCACTCATCCTCAGCCTCCATTACCCCGGAGCTGAGCAGACGTGGCAGCGCACTGCGATGACGTCAGCGCCGCGCCGGAGCGGCCCCGGAAATGGACTGGCAGCCTGGCTAGCCGGGTAGTCTTGCTCCACCTCCTTACCCTCCGACCCCTACCCCCACCGCCACCCACGCACACTCGCTTGCGTCTGCGCAGTGAAGCTAATGCGCCGGGAAATTTCGACTCCGCTTTCCCAACCACTGAGAGCCAACGCATTTCCTCCCCCGGCCTCTGCAAGCTACTGCTAGGTCCTTCATATCTACAGAACTTCAAGTAACATCCATGTACAAGTCATCACTCCCGTTTCACTGACGAAGAGAGATTGGGAGACGTCACCTAAGGTCAGGTCACTAAGTAAAGGAGCCAAGTCATGCTTCAGCATCCAACCCTGCGCTTGCCTTACTGTATTGTTAAGTAAAAGAGTAGACAGATGCTGAGATCAAAAAGAGAATACCCAGAAGCTCAGTCTACTGGAAGAAATAAGTAAAACGCTAAGAAAACAATAATTAAGTTTGTACAATAACGCAACATTAAAAGTATACCTATAGCCCAGAGACGGCATGCAAAACAGGGGAGTTAACTCTGTGGAATGGTGGTGGTCGGTGGTACCAAGAAAAGCTTCACAGAGATGATGGGGTTTACGCTGTTTCCATGAACGAGTAAGCGTTTGTGAGACGATGGTTTTCCCCGTGGAGAGGAAGTAGCAGATGAAAAGGCGGGGAGATTCAGTGGTAGAGCAGGTACTTAGCTTGTCAAGTGATGCCCAGCACCAAGAGGGGAGGGGAGTAAGGGACGAACAACCCCAAGATGAGTTCCAGAACTGCCAAGAGTTTGGCATTCGAAGAGTGAGAGTATCAAAACGAGCATTTATGTGAGCTCTTTCACTCTAGAGGTTTTAAGCCCCTTAAGAGAAAGTCCTTTGTATCGATTGTATGATTAGTTAACCTTTTTTGAGCATTTGTGTTGGACCAGACACTAGACTAGTAGCTATACAGATCATTTAAGTTTCACAAACTCAGCATGTGTAAGGCCCTGGGTTAGATCCCCAGCACTGAAGGGGTGGAAACACACACACACACACACACACACACACACACACTTTGATAGATACTACCATAATTCCCATTTTACAGAGGAAACTGAAATTAAGAGAAGTTAAGTAACTTGTTAACTCTAGCTCTATGCAGAGCCAGAATTGTAATGGGTTTATTTGAAACTGCCTCCTGCTCCTCCTCCCTCACTGGTTTTCTGTCCCTTTCTAATTCTTTTTTGCTGAAGAGAAGCCCTTCCTTAGATTTCAGTTAAAGGTGAAGTCCACTGTGCTGTTCCTGCCTGTTCTTACCTTCCATTCCAACTGCACGCTTGGCTTAAGTCGTAGAGAACTTTGCACAAGGCTCTGAGTTCAAACCCTACTACCACTAAAAAAAAAAAATCATTCCAAAATCCCCAGCTCCATCCCTGCTCAGAACAAACACAGATGTCACCCCACTTACCATGAAAATGGAATGAAAGATTGATAATGGGAGTGTAACGGTGCAGGTGGAAACCATATTTATACTGTACATGTGAAAGTATAAGAAAATGTTCAGAACAACAAATTTATTAAGTTGGTTATTTTGGAGGAGGAGAATCGAGATGTGAGGTGATGAATTGGGGATTTTGGTTTTGCCTCCCCTCCCAATTTTTTATTTACTTTTGCCTTTCCTTCCAGTCATTTCCCTAAGATCCATCCTTTTCACATGATAGCCTCTGTAAATACCCCTTCTTCTCATGTATTGGTTTATCTAAGAAGAAAATGCAGATAGCCCAGGAGATCAAGATCCATATCTAAGAAGAGGAAAAGGAGAAGGCACTCCAAAGAGAAAGTCACCCACCAACCCTGGGGACTTCCCAGCTACTGTTTCACTGTAACCCCTTGCTTCCCATACAAGCCCTTCCCATTCCATCAGCCCTCTAAGATGAAGATTAGAGGAAAGATCTCCTCCACTTGCCTCAGGGCCAGCCTTGAATAAACGTGCTTCCTTCTACCAACTTCTGTCTCCTGGGATTTCAGCAGAGCAGTAAGCAGTACAGACCTTAAATTCTGGTAACAGAATGACTGATAACATAAACCAGTAAGATTAGTACTATTCCCAAATCTTACCAGTGTCTTAATGTACCACAAAGCTTTTATTCATTAATATATAAAACCCAACACAGATCATTACATATTTCACTATACTCACCTATTGGCATAAGGAATTTTGAATATTTCTTTTTTTTTTTTTTTGAGACAGGGTCTTGCTATGTAGCCTAGGCTGGTGTTCATATCTTGATCCTCTTGCCTCAGCCTTCCAAGCGCTGGAATCACAGGCATGTGCCACCATGCCCAGCTTTGTATATTTCTTTTTTTTTTTTGTGATACTGGGGTTTGAACTCAGGGCCACATGCTTGCTAAGCAGATGCTCCACACTTGAGCCACTCAGCCATCCCAGTATATTTATTTTTTATATTTGCTCTGTTACCTTAACTTGCTTTTGAAACTAGCATTGAAACTCCTTTGCTGCTTTTCTGTTGGCTCACAGCATCCTTTGTTCAGTTAGCAGTGAGTTGTTTAGTGCCTACTGTGTATGTGGAACTGGGTTAGGAACAAAAAAGATACATCCTGCTCTCCTAAAGCTTATATTCTACCGAAGGAAACATTTAATATATAGAATAATCATAACTTATAGTTATTATGGAGACAACTAATGAACTGGGATAGAAAATAAGGAGGGTACTATTTTGAGAGAGGATACCTCACTGAGGAAAAGAAATTCAGCAGAAACCTGAAGATTGTAAAGAAATCAGTGATGCAAATATAGAAGAGAAAAAGCAGCCCAGATAGAAAACAAAACCTATGCAGAGATTCTAAGGTGAATTGGAGCTGGGCATATGCAAGAAGCAGAAAGCAAACCTCCTGTATATCTGGGTCTTGGTAAGCAAAAGCAATGTACTGTGAAGTTAATTTGAAGGCATAGGTAGGAGCCTGAACATGGAGGGACTTTTAACCCTCCATGTATTTGCATTTTCACTGCAGTGGGAAACCAATGAGGAATTATAAATAAGGAAGTTTAAGATCACTCTTGGGCTCCCAGCATGGCTCAAACAGTAGACTGTCCACTTGGCAAGCACAAGGCCCTGAGTCAACCCCCAGTATTACCATAAATAAATAAGTAAATAATCACTCTTGCTGCTTGTATTGATATGCTTGAAGAAGAAAGTATTATCTACACAATGGTTACTGTGTCAGGTACTTTTCTAAGTACTTTCTTTTTTTTTTTTTTTTTGTCTTTTCTTTTTTGGTGCTGGGATCGAACCCAGGGCCTCACGCATTCTAGGCAAGCGCTGTACCACCGAGCTACATCCCAGCCCATCTAAGTACTTTATAAATATTAAGCTATTTAATCCTCATAGCAATTCCATGAAAGTATTGTTGTTATCATCCCTCTTTTCACATAGGGAAACCAAGACACAGGTTAATCACCCATGTAAGTCACCCATTTAGTAAATGGTGGAAAAAATTTGAGCTCATGAAAGTGAGGACATTTAAGGGGACTTATATGTTAGTAGCAGTGAGGATGGAGAGAAGAGAACAAATTCAAATTTTCATTTGCAGATAGGAGAGGTAGGAAAGAGAATAAGAAAGCAATTGGAAGAACAGTGATGCGATTTGACGGAAGTAAAACTGGTTGAGAAAAAGATGGAGGAATTTAGTAGTTTTCATATGTCTTATCAGTAAAATTTTACTCAATGCAAAGCAATTTTGTTTTAATAAAATCACTTTATCACCAAGCCCAGGAGGATTTCATTGTTTTAAGAAAAGAGCCTATTTTACTCCAACCTTCTTTTTTTTTTTTTTTAAAGCCAGTTTTGTATCCATTAAACACTTCCTTCTTTCTGTGGGTGATAAATTTTGTAAATATTTGCAAAGTTATGTTCTTACTCACATGGAAAGTGAAAAAAATGATAATATAGGAGAGACTAGAATAGTGGTTATCAGAGGCTGGGATGGGGATAGGGTAAGGAAAGGAATAGAGAGAGGTTGATACAAAATTAGACAGGAGGATCAAGTTCTAGGATCAAGTTCTAGAACAGTAGGGTAAGTCTAGTTAATAATTATTTTTGTGTATTTCAAAATAGTTAGAAGAGAGGAGGCTGAATGTTCCCAAAACAAAGAAATGATGAATATGTGAATTGATGAATGTGCTAATTACCCTGGTTTGAGTATTATACAATGTATACATATATTGAAATATCACACTGTATATCATAAATATGCACAATTATTATGTATCAATTAAAATATATTTTCAATGTAGAAGTCTGGTGAAAACTTTCTGAAAGAGTAAATGATATTCAGGACTGGTGGGATGGTGCATGCCTCACTTGGGAGGTTGAGGCAGGAGGATCCAGAGTTGGAGACCAGCTTGTGCAACATAGTAAGTTCAAGGCCAGCCTGGACTACAAAATGAGACACTGTCTCAAAAAAGCAAAGCAAAGAAAAGAATGACCATTAGTCTTTTTATTCATAAAGGTGTTTACTTCCCAATAACAGAGGCACAATTATTCCTTGTAGAACAAGCTTTATTTTCATTAGACCAAAGAATATTCCTCAATTAAGGTACTTATTGTTATTACCACTTGATATATTTTAAATTAGTGGCTGTCATAGAATACAGAAATATGTGGCTTCCATAAGTTCCAGAAACATTCCCATGCTTATCCTGATACAGCAACCAGTAGAATAAACTACTTCACCTGTTAAGGAAATATGAACATTATCACTGGGACTCAGAGGAAGCTTATTTCTTCCAAACATAAGGCCTTCTTAGCTCCCAACTCTCACTATTGTTCTGCACACATGAACATTGTGAAATTGGAAAAATACTACTGATTTACTATCATTTCAAATGTTTAACACAAGGTGATTTCCATTTTCTTCTCATCACAGAAAATTGTGATTATGGAAAATTTATTGAAGTTTTAAAAAGTATTCTTCACTATATTCAATCAGGGCTTAAACTGAAGACCTCACACTTACAAGGCAGGCATTCTACCACTTGAGTCACTCCACCAGCCCTGTTTTATGTTGGGTATTTTTGAGACAGAGTTTCAAGAAGTATTTGCCTGGGCTGGCTTTGAACCACAATCCTCTTGATCTTTGCTTCCTGAGTAGCTGGGATTACAGGATATCAAAGAAAAAAAAAAAAGCTTTTTTTTTTTTTTTTTTTTTTTTTGAGACAAATTCTTTCTATGTATTCTAGGCTGGCCTCAGCCTCCCAAGGGCTGGGATTATAGATGTGTACCACCCCCCACACACACTTTTTTTTTCTTAATAATCTTTTGACGAGCCGGGTGCAAGTAGCTCATACCTGTAATTCTAGCACTCGGGAGGCAGAGATCAGGAGGATCGAGGTTCAAAGCCAGCCTGAGCAAATAGTTCTTGAGACCCTATCTCAAAAATAACTAACATAAGAAAGGGCTGGTGGAGTGACTCAAGTGGTAGAGCCCCTGACTAGCAAGCATGAGGCCTCTCAGTTCAAATGCTTAAAAAATGTTGCCAAATTTTGGGGGAAATTTGGTTCTTTTTTAATTTTTTTTTTTAAAGGAATGGTCTCAGCATTGTAGTCTAGGCTGGCCTGGAACTGAAGATCCTCTTGTCTTAGCTTCCAAGTGCTGGGACTACAGGTGTGAGCCACCATATCTGGCTCACTATATTTCTTTTAGACTAACTTTTTTTTGGGTTTTTTTGTTGGTGGTGGTTTGGGTTTTTTGTTTTGTTTTGGCTTGGTTTTTGTTTTTGCTTTTTTGAGAGAGTGTCTTGCTATGTAGACTCATCCTCTATGGTGCCACCAGGCTCAGCACAATTTTAGACTGTGTACACTGTCTTAGTTATGTGTTTTTTGATTAAATAATTCATTTGGAAGTACTGCACACATTTCTAGAAGTAAAAGAAATTTTGACTAGTTCATTTTCTAAGTTCCTGAGGAAGTCTAGTCTGATAAAAAGTTGAGGGTCTTTTCTCTTTCTGCCTATTCACCCAATGTGAGTCTCACTTGCAGAAAAACTGAGTGGTTTCACCCTTGGGGATACTCCAAAGGCTACCTCTGACTGATATGGACCATTCTTAGCTAATTAACATTATTTTATTTTCTACCATTCTTCAACATAGGTCCCAACCCCTCCACCACCATCAACCTAGATTCTACCTCACCTTTTGCAAAGTCTGGCTCCAACACAATATTTCTGAATTGTAACATTCCCTTTTATTCAGCTTGGAATATACCCCTCTTGCCCCTTGCCCCAGATTTCTGGTTCATACTGGTCTTTTCCTCTGCTGAAAAGCATTTTCTTTCTGTACTAGTTCTAAAATTACGGGCACAAAGCTTTTTTAAAAAATTTATTACCATAAATTAATTATACAAAGGAGTTTCACTGTATATTTACATACATGCATATAATGTACTTTGATCAAATTTAGCCTGTCTATATTACTCTTTCTTAATTCCCTTCTCCTCCTCCCCTTTAAGTTTTTAGTGAGTTTCATTATGCTCTTTTCAAACACATATATAATGTACTTTGGTCATATTCATCCCTGCCATCATCCTCTCCTTTCCCCCAACCCCTCCCACTGCTCTCCCGTCTAACAGCTCCCCTATCTACACACACACACACACACACACACACACACACACACACACACACACATAGTTTAGATTCCACATATAAGTGAAAACGTGACACTTGTCTTTATGAGCTTGTCTTATTTATTCACCATGATGATATCCAGTTCTCATTTTCCTGCAAAGGACATAATTTCATTCTTCTGTATTAATGAGTAATACTGAGTAGTGAAATATACCACATTTTTAAAGTCTGTTCATCAGTTGTTGGGAACCTAGGTTGATTCCATAGCATAGATATTGTGAACAATTCTGCTGTAAACAGTGGTGTGCAGGTATCTCTATTATAGATTGACTTACATTCCTTTGGATAGATGCCCAAGAGTGTTATAGCAGAACCATATGTTCAAGGTTCTATAAATCTAAAAAAAAAGTTACTTAGCAGTTGACATCTTAATCATTTACGTGCAGATTCTCTTTAGAATTCAAAATGCAGGGCAAAGCGGGGCGGGGTGGGGGATGGGGGATGGGATGGGGGTGGGGGGAAGTAACCTTGAAAAGGACAACTCCCAAAGGGGCTGCCACTGTTAAATTTAAGGGTCGTATCAGAGTGGGTTGACTATGCAGGCAGAAAAGAGCTGAAGAAATAGGAACAAAAAGCTCAAAAAGTCATTTTTCTTAAAGGGTTAAAACACAGGGCACATCTTTATCATGCTAGCCTAGATAGAACTGGGCCCTTTCTGATTGGTTGTTGCGAATCTTTTTAAAACAAACAAACAAACAAAAAAACCTGGCTCATTTAAAGTTCAGTTTAATTACTGGCACCTAGGACAAGAGACTATTCTGTTTTGGTCTGAAATGCTGCAGCATATTGTAGGAACTCAGCCTAAAACAATGGCTTCCCATAAATTTTATTTAACACCACTGATCTGTTTTCCACGTCGAAGTCATCTCGACTGTTCCAAATTCCTATTGCAGCGGGGCCTGCCTGTGCTATACTTCTTGCACCCCTTGGTGGTCTACCAGTTTGCGCACATTCACATGCACAACTCAGTGTGGAAAGACTTAGCCTAGGCTCTATGACAATCCTTGGGTGCGCCACTGTGGTACGTATCCTGACCTTGGGCTTTCTGACTGCAGAGAACAAGACGTTTCCAACACAGCCCAGAATGGAAGGATGTCGTTCCCTCTGTAGCTGCATTTTCTCCGCCAGCTGGGCGGCTCCGCTAGGCTTGGGGGCGGGGCGGGGCGGCCATCTTCGTGCGGGGCCGCGCTTCTGCAGCTGGGAGTCCGCAGTTGGTACGCTGGCGATGGAGCTGCGGGCGAATGCTCTGCTTGGGCTCTGGCTGCTGTTGCTGCTCCTGCCCCCGATGCAGGGCCGCCAGAAGGAGTCAGGTGGGCGCGGGGGCCCACGTTCTGGCCGGGGTCCCGAGGCGCCCCTCGCCCCTGCGCAGCCGCGCCGCGGGGGATGCTGGGGCCGCCGTGGTGCAGAGCCCGGCCGAGGGCCTCGGGCTCCTCCAGGCGCCCAGCGAGGTTGTCGGTGTCTTGTCTGCCCAGGACCCTGGAGAGAGACCGGCCTCCGCAGTTCCGAGCCCAGGACTCTGGGGGAGAGGGAAGCCCCTGTCCTACCCCAGGGGGGCCGCGTGCGCTTTGCCAGAAGAGATGAGGGGCTTGTAATGATCGTGGCTCCAAACTGATTCTCTTTATAGTTTGGTGAGCCCTGTAAAGCAATCCAGTTTATCCGTAGCCCTTTGAGAGCCGAGAATTAACACTTACGCAGTTTTCCAGTTCCTTGGATACCTGATGGCCTAGGTAGAGGAACAGACTTGATTTATGCCCTGGAAAGTTCAAGAATCCTTCTTGACATTTCGTTTCCCACCAGATGGACAGGAAGGGGATTTCTGGAAGTTTTGGTCTTTTGGTTCTGCTTGCCCGCCTGCTGCTTGCAAATAAGAATGCCAGGGGTATTTTGCTAACTCTCATCTACTTCACTTTTTGAAGGCTCAAAGTGGAAGGTATTTATTGACCAAATTAACAGGTCTTTGGAGACTTATGAACCATGTTTAAGTCAAAACTGCAGCTGCTATCATGGGTGAGTTCCTTGCTGTGTCTGGGAATTGAATTCTTGTCACAAGGACATACCCTAAGATCCCTGACAGAGCTTGGTTGCAGTGGTCAGAGAACCAAGCATGTAGTGAGAGCAGAAAGGATGCCTGAAGTGGCCTCCTAATTCTAAGGAGCGAAAATGCCCTGGGGTGGGAGAGGCCAAGTGGTTCTCAACATCACCCCTACTCTCTGTGGGATTTAGCGCATGTGTTCTCTGTTTTTCCCCTGGACTGAAAGCTTCTTAAGGTCTGGGTCTGTGTCTTACTCACTGTGTATATCTGGTGCAGATCCTCAATAAGTGTCCCCAGTAAGTGTTGAAGGAGTAAATCTAATCATTCCCTGTTGGTTATTTTAAATATGCAAATTAGTGCTGGGACTTGGTTTAGTAGAAAGATAAAGACATTGAAAGCAGACTTGGATTCTAGTCCCAGAGCTACCACTAATTACTGTCTCCTCCCCACCCCCCTTAAGAAGCCACTTAACTTCTCTGGATCTCACATTCCTCATCAGCTAAGGAATGTGATGCTCTTCATCCTTTTATTCTGACCCCTCAAAAAGTTCTCTAGTGCTAATGATACTTGTTGGATACTATGTACTGAACTTTAAGAGGTTCACAAACTAGTTTATTTCAGGCTTTTAGAGCATGTGTGGGGTTGAGATGGGGTGGGGGCAGGCAGTGTTAGACTTTGGGGCATGAACTCTACCTTCTGTGGAATCCAGAGAAAGGTATGTGGACAGACTACAGTGGTTATGAGGACATGGATGTGGCATGAGTAACAAGGAAAAATGTGGATCAGCCAAGGAAGGGGCAATTCTGATGGAAGGAGGAAGAGAAGACATTGACTTGATCTTATTTTGTGTGGCTTTGTTGTGTTTGAGGTTTATGGTACTTCTGGAGAAGAGTCGCTCATTCCTGCCCTCCACCTTTCCCCTCAGCTTATTGTGTTCTTTAGTACTAAATGGAAATGTGCTTAGGAAGTAGATGGAATGGCACCACTCTCTTGGCCTGCTTCCCTTGACAATTCCCATTCTTTCCTAGTGTCATTGAAGAGGATCTGGTTCCTTTCCGAGGAGGTATCTCCAGGAAGATGATGGCGGAGGTAGTCAGACGGAAGCTAGGGACCCACTACCAGATTATTAAGAACAGATTATACAGAGAAAATGACTGCATGTTCCCTTCAAGGTAAGTGTTCTAAGGTAGATGTCTCTTCTGACCTTACTACCTATATGCAGCTCTTAGAAGCAGTTCAGGGGACTGACAAGTGAATCCCCCCACACATTGTAGGGGGACTACGAAATACCAACAAGCTCTCTTGCCTGGGAATTTTCTTGCTAGCTTCTCTATCAAAGCCTGTTGCCTCAGTCTGCATGAGGCTTAGGCACCTCAGTGGTTGCAACGGCTGTGGTTCTGCCCCTTCTCCTGTGACTCTAGTAGCTGCAAGACACAGGCTGATGAGACGCAGCGGGGCTGAACTGGACTGAAGGAGAAAAAAAATAGGTATTTATTGAGTATCAATTATGGGCCAGGTATACAGAGATCACTTCACTCTTTAATGACTGTGTAATCCATTATATCATGCCCCCTCCCCCCAAAAAAATACCAGACATTAGCTGGGCACCAATGGCTCATGCCTATAATCCCCTAGCTATTTGGGAGGCTAAAATCAGAAGGATCTTGGTTTAAGGCCCACCCAAGTAAACAGTTCTTGAGACCCCCATCTCCAAAATTACCAGAGCAAAATGGACTAGAAGTGTGGCTCAAGTGATAGAGCACCTGCTTTGCAATTGTGAAGCCCTGAGTTCAACCCCAGTCCCATCAAAAAAGAAAAAGTATTTTAAATCTGTCGTTTCCATTCTGACAAAATTTTTTTCCCCTCTGTGGTACTAGAGATTGAACTCAGGACCTTAAGCATGCTAGCCAAGCATTCTAACACTTCAGCCATGCCTCCAGCCCTTTTGATGGTTACTTTGTTTTTGAGATAAAGTCTCACTAACTTTGCCTGGCCTATCCTCAAGCTTAAGATCCTTCTTCCAATTCCCAAGCAGCTGGGAATTACAGACATGTAGCACTACACTCAGCTCTGCCAGAAAACTTTGACCACTCCTTGGAATATTGCCCTAGTATGGTGCTGGTCAGGACCTCGAAGGATGGGTAGAAACATACTAAACTGTCATTCTCTGTCTTTTAAGAAATCCTCTGAGGATTCCCAGAGAGTCTAGAGTCTAGTCAGAAAGTAGTGCTACAGGGTTTTTTTTTTGGTAGTATTGGGGTTTGAACTCAAGGTCTCACACTTGCTAGGAGACACTCTACAACTTGAGCCACTCCGCCAGTTCTCATAAAACTAATTTTGATAGTGTTCTATGTTTAAGTTGAAGGTAATGAAAGTTTTTCTGTCTTTGCTCTTAAAATATGAGATTTAATTATAGTGGAAATAAAAATGAGGTCTGTGTTAGTCAGCTTTCTGTTACTGTACCAGAACATGTAAGATAATTCACTTTAAAAGAGGGAAAGTTTATTTTGATTTCAGAGCTTTTTGACCATGGTGAGTTGGCCCCATTGCTTTTGGACCTGTGTTGAGGCAGCACATCATAGTGGGGCATGCTTGGGGAAGCGGAGAGGGTAGGGGGAGGGAGGAGAGGGAGATTTAGAGGGAGAGGGAGAGAGAGAGAGTAAGAGTGAGAGACCAGTGGCTCTTGAGTAGCCGGGATCATAGGTATGAGCCACCTTGACTGACCCCTGGAAGGATTCATTAAATGCTATAAGCCAGAGCAGCTTATCTAGGAATGATAACACACACAACATAGAAAGGTGGAATAGTCCTTTTAGAAGCACCACTTTGAGGAGACTATGCAGTAGGCTGATGATCTGAGCAATGGCTTGTCCCACTTTAAAGTATGATTGGGACCCTTCCTTGTCCTAGAGCCTGCAGGCACTGCTCTGGTGACTTTCGGGTTTTTCTGGTTGACAGGTGTAGTGGTGTTGAGCACTTTATTTTAGAAGTTATTGGGCGCCTCCCTGACATGGAGATGGTGATCAATGTACGAGATTATCCTCAGGTTCCTAAGTGGATGGAGCCTGCCATCCCAGTCTTCTCTTTTAGTAAGGTAAGTGTAAGAAGAGCCACATGGCCTGGGGAGGGTTGGGGGAGGGTGATCCTCAAGGGAGCAAGAGATCATTGTTCTCTGGAGCAGATGAGGCCTGAGGTCCAGGATTGTATCTATGTCCCTGTTAATGTCCAGTAGTTGAGAAATAAGGCTGAGGAGGTAGAGTTGAAGACCTATAAATAATGTAAGTTTGCTTAAGTGTTTAGTCTAGAGGGCAAAAGATGGAAGCTAGAGAACCTACAAGAGGTTCACAGATCTTACAGTGCACAGGGAGAGGAGTCCCAGAATGCTGGTGGGAATGCAGTTAGGGAATCCTTTATTCAGAATATATTTGTTTCAGCCAGGCATGGTGGTACAGACCTGTAATCCCAGCATTTGTGAGGCAGGAAGATGGCAAATTCAAGGCCAGCCTGAGCTACACAGCCAGATTCTGTCTCAAAAAAAAAGAAAAGAAAAACACAGTTGTTGTTCTCCTTCGATGTATTTATCAGCCCTGGTGCTCAGTATCATCTGTGCTATCCATCTCTGTATCCCAGAGGCCCATTATGGCTAAAACCAAATCTGAAAGTGCCGGGCAGCTCTACATGGTTGTGTCCAAACAGTGCATTGAAGAGACAGGCCTGGGATAGTGAGAGGGTTGTGTGATGGGGGTATCTTTGGGTCTCATTAGGAAGGATAGGAGTAGCCAGGTAGCACCTGTGGGCTTAGAGAACATGGACAATAAATAGCTTGTCAGTGCGCAGGTTCATCCAAATGTTTTGTCGGGGATGGGGAAGCTACAAAAGGGTGGATTTAGGAAAACCCCATGGCCTTTGGGAAAAGGAACACCGTCCCTGATTTGGTTTCTCCAAAGCAGAGGGACTTTTTATTCCCACTTTTTATTACAGTTTACTTTCTCTCTAGACTTGTTTATTTCCTGTGTTGCAAGTGTGCTGAGACCACATTTGTATTGCATTGCCCATGGTTTAGCCTCATTTCTCAAAAGTGCTTGGTCCCATTGTTTGTCGTGAAACTCCCAGAAGAACAGATAGAGGCTCCCATGTAAGTCAGTAAGGACTTTGTGTCTGTTATTTATCTGTTGTTTCTGTGGGTAATACAGTATGACCATCAGTTTACTAACTTTCCTCTCATCCTAACTTCTCACCCTTTTTTTTTTAATATCAGTGACTCTTAGTTTCCAAAGGAGGGATTTTAGTCTGTCAATTTACAGTTAATTGTGCAGCTTCTGTCAAACAGTTATTAAGTTTGAGGTACTTGATAAATAACATAATATTTTTTAAGTATTTGAAGGGAGTAAAACAGCATATTGCACATGTAATCCCAATGAAGAAACAGTAGATTAGAGGTTTATCAGTGGCCAAATATTACAGATTACAAATATTACATGGTTACAGAAGTAACCATGAAAGGGAAACAAACTTTCTTCAAAAGATATGTGATAATATTCTTTTCCCTTGTTCTGAGCATTGGCGCTTCTGACACCAATCAATGAATAGCCAAGGATTTATTGACCAACCAATGTAAGCTCAATAGGGCCATGGAGTTTGGTAAGACTAGTTCATGTTTATTGATTATGTACTATGTGCCAGGCACTGTCCTAAGCTTTTACATATATTAAAACATTTTGTATTCAGAATAAGCATTTAGAAGGAATTATTGATTATTTTCTACATTACAATGGTAAGGGAAACTGAGGCATAGAGAGGTTAGGGAACTCACCTAGAGTAGTACAGAGGTGGAGTCAGCATTCAAACATAATCTGCCCCTTAACCATTGAACAGTATTTCCCGGTTCTTAACTCTCAAAAGATCCACTAGGAAATAACCAAGAACTGGTAAGGCAGGGCAACCCTCAAGGGTAACAGCAGTTAAATGATGAGAGACCTCTGTGATTATTCAGAATTGGGTGTATTATTTCCTTAAACTAAATGTCCTTTAGATAAACAGAATTTTAGGAAACTGAGAAAATTAAATCTTTAATATGATTCTAAATTCTGGGAATTTAGAAAGTGAATTTAAACCCATGGTGACTTTTGTCTTTTAATGTCTAAAGTTGAGACCTTGCAGGCTAGGGAGAATATATCTTTGGCATGTTGACACTATAGGAGAGTCTTGGTCCAGACCCTGTGTCATGAATGCAGTTTGCTTCTTACTCTGTTCCGAGATTTATTTAGAATTGCCTTTCTGTTTCTATCAAAGACGTCGGAGTACCATGATATCATGTATCCTGCTTGGACCTTTTGGGAAGGGGGACCTGCTGTTTGGCCAATTTATCCTACAGGTCTTGGACGGTGGGACCTCTTCAGAGAAGATCTGGTAAGGTAGGTCCTTTAGAGAGGTTTTATTTTCTCCTCTTTGTGGTTTTTTTTTTTTAAATAAGCAACAAAATATAACCAATTACATTCTTTATGCTTTAAAGTGACTGAACTTTTTTTGTGTGTGGCAGTACTAGGGTCTGAACTCGGCCTCATGATTGCCAGGCAAGTGTTCTACAACTTGAGCCACACCTTCAGCCTTTACAATGACTGACTTGAGTTAAAAGCAAATACAGAAAACTGTTCATAGTATACACAATTTTTATATGAACAAAAATATTTAAATGTCCATAGATTCTTCTATCCTAAACTTGCCTTTATGAGAGGGATTATAAGAGTCTTTTGTTATCTTTAGATTTTTTGGTTTTGTTTTTGTTTTGAGTCAGGATCTCACTATGTAGCCTAGGCTGGCCTTGAACTCTCAATCCTACTTTCTCATCTTACCAAACACTGGGATCATAAGTGTATGCCACCACACCTGACTGCTTCTTTAAATTTTTATGTTACTTTAAAGTTTTTAAAAATCAGAGAAAGTTACTTTTCTAATAAAAGAAAATGAATGGTCATATTATAGGGAAAGGTAGAAAATTACTTGGAAGAACAGAAATGTACTTGATAATTAAGAGCTAAGTTCTTTAGGTTGGGGTGAGGGGTGTAGTGGTCCCATTGGTATCTCAAGGACAAGGTTATTCCAGATCCTGTCCATTCATGACTGAGACATGCCTTGGCCTATTGACTCCTTGCCATGATTTCAGGATTTAGATGATCTGGTCACCCAAATTATAGGTATTCCTTACCCAGCTACATTTTACATTAATGATTCAAATAGCCTTGGTGCTTAACTAAGGAACTTCTGGAAACACACTCTTTTATGTTTTCTCTAGGGTGTAAGGAAAGCAGTTATTCCACAAATATCTCTCATCTGTACAAGTATGGCTAAAAATTTAAAGGGTATTGATGTAAAGTATACCCACTTCCTGAAGAAACACAGCCCTCAGTAGCCATGTAAGCTCTTTGGATAAACAAAGGAGTCTCTTTCTCCAGCACGGATAATTGGGAAAAATTTAAAAAGATAACTTAGTCCCTCATTTCATAGAACTAGAGCTAGAACTTGTCCTTGTCCAACTGTTCATTTCCAGTATATAGAAATGAAGTCCAGAAAAGTTAGGTGACTTGGTTAAAGTTAGAAGCAATTTTCATCTGTACTTTACTGTGTATTTCCTAAGAAATTTTGTTTGTTTGTTTGTTTGTTTGAGACCTGGTCTCTCTATGTAGCTCACACTCCTGATCTTCCCACCTAAGCCTCCAGAGTGCTGGGATTACACAGATGTGCCACCACACTTGGCCTTGTATATATCTTTTGACCCAGCCATTCCACTTCTGGAATGTATCCTGAGAAACTAAAGAGACAAGTATATGAAGATGTGTGTACCAGGATTTGCACTACCAGTGATGTTACTTCTTAGAACAAAAAGTTGGAAACTACCTAAAAGCCCATCAAAAAGAGATGAAGTTAATTATAGTATAACTCTAAAGTGATTATTTTTTGTAAGAGGAAAGGCGAGGTAGAATAGAACTTAAAAACTTAGACTGTGGTTTCAAATCCTGGCCTCGATTAGCCATATAATTCTGGGCAAGTTGCTTAACCTGTCAAGGTTCTCACCTCAGATAAGGGTATTAACCCCATCTCTTAAGGTTGAGAATGATTTTGGTACACATAAAGAGCTTAGAACAGTGTCTGGAACACAGGGAGTGTTACATAGTTGTCAGCCACTATAATTATTTCTCATGTATTTCCTAATGTTTCCTAATAGCATGTATGATATTGCCTTTGTTAAACAGAGCAAGGTTTCTTAGTCTAGATAATACTGACATTTTGGGCTGGATAATCCTGGGCCTTAAAGGATGTTTAGCAGTATCTCTTTCCTGTACCTACTATGTGCTAGTAGCAATCCCCTAGAAATGTCTAGAGACACCACCAAATGTCTCCTGGGATGGAATAGAGAAACAAAATTACTCCAGCTAAGGGCTGAGGATGTAGCTAACTGGTAGAGTGCTTGCCTAGCATGTATAAGGTCCTGGATTTAGTCCTCAACACCAAAAATAGGTAATGAAATAAATATCCACTAATTAGGAGAAATGATTGGAAAGAAATTCTTAACCAGAATGTTACATTTTTACCTGTAGGCAGGAAGACTCCAGTTTACTTATTTATTTATTTAAAGACTGCAGTCTGTTTGTTTGTGTTTGTTCAGAGATAGGATCTCACTTTATAGCCCAGGCTAGCCTAGAACTCATGATCTCCTGCCTCAGCCTTCCAAGTGCTCAAGTGCTAGGATGACAGGTGTGGCCAACTTTCCAGATGACTTTACTTTTATCTTTTTTTCCATTAGAATTTAATATAACGAGCATGCATGATTTTTACTGGAAACAACAACAAAATTTATCCAGTGCCGTAGTATTTATATTTCAATGGGAAGTTTGGGGGAAAATAAGAGCTTGTTCTGGCCTTGAATGGGGGATTCAGATAAAGGTGAGCCAAGGAAGGGCTAGAGGATGAGGCAGGTTAGTTAAGGGCAGAGATTTAAGGCCTGGGCAATATTCAGCAATAGTCTCAGCTGAGCAGAAATGAGAAACGTTACATGATGTATCTGAAAAGGATACGAAGTTCATATGCTGAGTTTCTCCATTTCTGTTAAACCCCCTCTATTCAATCTACTTCAGCCTCCCCTTCTCTTTGAGAGGCATCTGCTGTGTAGATGTCTGTGCAGGGAGGGTTCCTAGGAAGAAAGCTAGAATGATAGAGCTGTGTGCTGACAGCTTCTGCTAGGAAGGTTGGTCCTGGGAATGTGCAAAGATCTGAGCTTCAGGGATTTTATTGTTTAGAGCACTCCATACAGCTTTTAGAGTACCAGGGTGCTTTGCAAATATCAGACTAAGTCTGGGGACTTCTCCTACACATACAAAACACGAAGCCAGGAGTGAATTCCCTTTCACTCAGTTCCTCATATTTTTGTTGCTCTCTTTACATATTAGTTTATCAATAGCATTTTTTTTATGTGTGGTACTCAGGATCTATCCCTTGAGATACTCCACTAGCCCTTTTTTATGATGCATTTTTTTAAGATAAGAGTCTCACTATTTGCCCAGGGTTGGCTTCAAACCACAGTCCTTCTGATCTCTGTCTCCTGAGTAGCTAGGATTACGATGTGAACCACCAGTGCCCACCTTCAATAGTATTCTATTCAACGGAAATCCTCAGTGTGCCAATTAAGCAGCCCCTAACCATGCCATTCAGCATTATGAGCTTTTTGTTCAGTAAGTTAATGTTAACTTACTTGCACCAGATGCTTCTGGTGAGCCCTCTAGAATAGCGAAGTGATAACCAAAGGGATTGCAGCATCATTCAGGGCTTGTTTTCCTTACTAGCCTTGACCAGATTTATTTAAAAATATAAGGCTCTTAACTAATCTTCAGATTACATCTTTATGTAAGCCTACACAAAAACACAGAAACTAATCAACATATGTATTTTTAGGTCAGCAGCACAGTGGCCATGGAGAAAGAAAAATTCTACAGCATATTTCCGAGGATCAAGGTGATTATGTTTTCTAATCTCTTATAACGCTACTCTTCCAAGTGATGTGTAAAATATAAGTAATCTTGAGGATATAAAGAATTCTGTGGCTCAAAGAGAAAGCTAAAATAACTAAGAAATAAATGTGAAGGAGAATGATGGTGGGGTGAACTTACCCAAGGTACATTGTAAGCATATATAGAACTGTCACAATGAAACCCCCTGTGCAACTAATATATGCTAATAAAAATGTTGGCTGGTAGGGTGGCTCAAGTGGTAAGAGCATCTGCCTAGCAAGTGTGAGGCCCTGAGTTCAAATCTCAGTGCTGCCAAGGAATAATAATAATTATAATAATAAATGTTAAATAAATTAAAAAAAGAAATGTGAACAACAGGATCTTACACTAGAGAAGAATCTAATTTGTCCAAACTGCTCTCTCTTCCTTCCTCCTTCCCTCCCTCCTTTCTTTCTCTTCCTCTCTCCCTCTTTTTCTCTCTCTTCCCTCCCCTCTGCTTTCCTCCTTTCCTGTCCTTTCCTTTCCTTTCCTTGACAGGGCCTCACTGTGTAGCCCAGGCCAGCCTGGAACTCACTATGGAGTCCATGCTAGCTTGAACTCATGATCCTCCTGCCTTAGCCTCCCAACTGCTGGGATTATAGATGTGCACCATGTCTTGCTCCGAATCATTCTTAATTGAACTGAAATTCAGAGAAGTACAGTTCCTCCAACAGTCCTTCAGCAGATATTCATACAGTGCCATGAGTGAGCTGGATGTTGACTCTATAAGGCTAACCAGAACAGCTAGGAGTAGCTTACATCATACCTTGGTAACTCTGCTGGTTGATACAGAGCAGGAATCATTACAAGGTATTCTGACTGTCTTTTTTTTGTCAGACCACATAGCTGTCAAATATTGCTTAATAGTATAGACTGAGGTTGTTGAAAATAGGGAAATGGAAAAGAGAGGCAAGAGGGAAATGGAAAATGTGGTATGACCCAGCTTGTGTTGTTCAGTTCCATATTCTCAGTGCCAGCAGTAGTGCCTGGTGTGTAGATACACAGTAAATGTCTGTGGCACAGACTGATAGAAAAGAACATGAGGAGAGAACATGAAGGGTTTTGTAGATTTTGTGATGAATGTTCATCAGAGATTGTACTCTATTTCACTTTCCTTGCTTGGGCAATGGACTTCAGGATGCAGAGGGACCTACTACATACCACTTATTCTTCCTTACCAACTTCTGATTCTCATGTTTTTTAGTTTTGGTTTGATTTTTTTGGCAGCACTGGGGTTTAAACTCGGCCTCACACTTGGCTAGGCAGGCACTCTTACCATTTGAGCCACTCCACCAGCCATGATTCTCATCTCTTGAGATCACAGATTCCTCACTTGATTTCCATGTCTGGGCTTCAGAGTTTTAGGGCCATCTTGAAAATCTGTGGGGATGTGTGCATTTTTCAAATTCTCAGGATCCATGACTCCCACATGTCTTGACTCTGCTACTTGGACTGTAACTAGGACTTTTATACCTTTGGTGTTTTTTTTTTTTTTTTTTTTTTCCAGTGCTGAGGGGATTTAACCCAGGATTGAACACATGCTAGGCAAGTGCTCTACTACTAAGCCATATCCCAGCCCCTTAGGGTTTTTTTTTTTGAAATGGAGCCTACTTTGTTGCCCAGAATGGCCTCCAACTCAAGGCCCTCTTGCCTCAACCTTCCAAATAGCTGGGATTACAGGCATTAGTCATTATGCTCAGCTCTTGCTTTTTAACTTAAATATAATTTTGGAGCTGGGCACCCATGGCTCACACCTGTAATTCTAGCTACTTAGGAGGCAGACATCAGGAGGATTGTGGTTTGAAGCCAGCTCCAGGAAAATAGTTCAGGAGACCCTATCTCGATAAAACCCATCACAAAAAAGAGCTGGTGGAGTGGCTCAAGTGGTAAGAGTGCCTGCCTAGCAAGCGTGAGGCCCTGAGTTCAAACCCCATTGCTGCCATGTGTGTGTGTGTGTGTGTGTGTGTGTGTGTGTATACGTTACATATTATATATGTGTGAGTGTATATGTACACATAATACTGGATTTTACAGAACATATACAGCAAAGGTGTGTACTGAGTTATGATTACCTAGTCACATAGCTATGAGTACCAGTGATTATAGAGGCTACATGAACCTTCTACCAGGGAATCATTTCCTGTTGTGATCAGAACAACATGTCGTTAAAGACCACTTGTAAGCAAAGAGCCAAACACTCTGCATCCTGGAAGAGTACAGGGGAACAACCAGGACTGCTCAGTGCTGCTGTACTGAGGATGCCCTGTACTGTCACAGAAACATGTGAACTTTCCATCTGTGCAAGCAGCCATTACCTGGGTCCTTCTGCTGCTCAGCTTTCAGAGATTAGGAACAGTATTATAATGTAGATCACATAGTTTTATGTCATGTGTTTCTTTTATAGGACAAGTCCAGAACGAGATCCTCTCATTCTTCTATCTCGGAAAAACCCAAAACTTGTTGATGCAGAATACACCAAAAACCAGGCCTGGAAATCTATGAAAGTAATCAGCAATCATCTGAATAAAACTTACAGTAGTGAACATTTTCATTCAAAGAACATTGCCACCTGGGTAGAATTTGAAATTAGGTTTCTTCTCAATTGTGAGATAAAAGTAGAGAAAGTTCCATGTATTAGCATATATGTAAATTCTCCTTTTCCTAACTCACCTTGCTTTTTTGACTATATTATGACTATTAAATACACTACTTTGAAGGTTTAAACCAGAGATCAAAAGCTTTTTCTGAGCCTGGTGTGGTGGCTCACACCTATAATCTTAGCTATGGGAGGTGGTTTGAGGTGAGTGTGGGCATAAATGAAAGACCTCATTCAAAAGATAACTAAAATAAAAGCACCTACCTAGCAAGCACAAGGCCTTGAGGTCCAACCCCAGTACTGCCAAAAAAAAAAAACAAAACTTCTTCAAAAGGCCAGATAGTAAATCAGCCACAGGCAGTAGGTAAACAAATGGGCATGGCTGTTTCCTGTGAAATTTGACTTTCATGTAATTTTCATGTGTCATAAATAATTTTCTTTTGCATTTTCTTTCAACCACTTGAAAATACAAAAATGTTTAAGACAGGAGTTCTACAAAACCAAGTAGTGTGTTGGATTTGACCTGTGGGCGCTAGCTATACAATCCCTGGTTTAAGCCAGATTCTCAACCACGGCTATATATAATATAACCACAGAGTTTCAACAATGAATCAAGTGAATCGGAATCTCTGGGGATGGAGTTTCGGAATTTCTTCATTTCTTTAAAACTTCGCAAGTGATTCTAAGGTGAAGCTAGAAACTGATACCTTTAGTTTAGAGTTTGTCTCTGTCCTCTTTTTGTTTTGTTTTTTTTTCCCAGTGCTAGAGACCAAACTCAGTGCTCTTCCACTGAGGTAAATCCCCAATCCCCCCACCCCACTTTTTTTTTTTTTTTTTAGTTTTGGTGGTACTCTGGTTTGAATTCGGGATCTTGTGCTTGCCAGGCAGGTGGCCTATAACTTGAGCTATGCCCCCAAGCCCATTTTAACTTTAGTTATTTTTTGAATAGCATCTTGAATTTATTCTCAGACTGGCCTGGACTGCAATCCTCCTGTTTATACTTCTAACATAGCTGGGATAGCAGGGGCACCAACATCCCCATCTTTTATTGATTGAGATTTCTTGTGAACTTTTTGCCCCACTGGCCTTGAACCACCATCTTCCCAATCTCTGTGTCCTGAGTAGCTAGAATTGCTGGTGTGAGCCACCTCGTCCAGCTTAATGCCAATGTTCTCTTAATGCCACAACCTTAATTTAAGAAGTTAAAGCACTAAATTTCCTTGTATAAATTTCTATATAGCATATGAGGATGTTATGAGAAAAAGCTATGAACTTTTTGAGGGAAAACGTTTATCTAGATGTATGAGTTTATCTGGATGTATGTATTTGATACAGTTTTAATCAAATAGGAGCAAGTGAGTTTAAGAAACCATTAAATAATAAAAATAATGTATTTAGTACATAAGTTAGCATCTGCTGTGTAGAGAGGCAGCAAAAGCAGTGGCCAGCAGGTGAATGAAGGAGTGAGGACACTACTGCGCCAGTTGACCGCTGCCAAAGGGAATAGGAGGCTGTTGGCAGATCTTCCTATTTTTTTACTCCCAGAAAAGTTAAAAATGTGGATTTTTGTAATAAGTATTATACCACCTATAAGTGTCGGCGATGATATGAATTTTATTATTTATTTCTGGTGGGACTGGGGTTTGAACTAAGGACTTTGCACTTGCAAAGCAGGTGCTCTACTGCTTGAGCCACACCTCTAGTTCATTTTGCTTTGGTTATTTCAGAGACAAGATCTCTCAAACTATGCCTGGGCTGCCTTTGAACTGTGATTCTCCTGATTTCAGCCTCCCAAGTAGCAAGGACTACAAGTGTGAGCCACGGGTGCCCGGCTGAGTATTTTTAAATACTTTCCATGCCCAACAAAATTTGTGTGTAAACTTGGCCCATCAGCCAGTGTTTAGGATGAAATGGGCTGTATTTCATGACCTCTGAGTTCAAAGGAGGGTAGCATGTCTTCAGGTAAGCTTAAGCTCTAAAACCAGTTGTGGGTTAAAATCCTAGTGCTTGTATTTAGTGTTCCATGACCCTGAACAAACCTCTCAACTTCTCGGATCCTTGAGTTCCTCATCAGTATGAGAATAACAAAACCCCCTGGATATGTTTATTATGAAACTTAAATGAAGTTATGTTGATGAAATCTTTAACAGTGCTTCACGCTGGTTCTCCATAAATGCTATTACTACTAATGCTAATGACTTCACTTAAAGGATACTTTGGGAAAGCCAGCTGCCAAGGATGTCCATCTTGTGGATCACTGCAAATACAAGTAAGACTTCCAGTTATTGGTTTCCATAGTGCTTTTGAAATACCTTCCTTCCCTTTGGATGAAAACTTAATACTAAGGTCTAGAATTCATTTAGCTGGCTTTTACTAAGGCCTACTGGGTACTGAACTGAGTTCTGTGGGGACTGTAATGAGGAATTAATTAAAGTGATGGGATTACCTCTTTCCACAAACCACCCACCCAATAGTTGAAGTGAGATTAAATATTTATAGTTGTAGAGCATGTGCTTAGGTTTGAGGCCCTGGGTTTGATTTGCCAGCATCACAGAACAAACAAACAAACAAAGAAACATTATAATGAAATGCTAGGACGAAGAATTAGCTGAACAGGTACACTTGGGGTAGAGAGGCTTTAGAGGTAAGAATGTTGATTACACACAGTGGGAGCTGTATAGTTAGAGCAGCTCTGGTTGGAGACTGTGCATCTGAGAGAAATACTGAGAAGAAAGTGTTCTTTTTTAAGAAGTTTTTTTCGGTAGCATTTCTTTGAAGATTGATTAAGTTAGGCTTGTTCTCCTTAGACTTCAGGAGATGGGGGTGATGTCCAGGAGATAGGGGGTTGTCTTTGATCAGGTGGAGTAGAGGAAAAACAAGGCTTTTGGGTACCATGACTCATTAGACCTAGAGAGATAAGCTTGTGAATTTTTTTTCATTTTTGATTTTTGATCAATGATCATTGACCATTTCTGTATTTTCTCAAATATATCCCAAATCTACAACAGGCTATCATTTCTTTTGAGCCTTGTATCTTTCACCCAGTACCTGGCTTGTGAACTGACCTGGCTGTGTCTGGAGAAAGTATCCCCTCTTCCCCTTAACTTGACATTCTCAGAACAGACTGTAGCACCTACCATGAAAAAGCAAGGAGTTTATGGAAATCCCCCAGGGACATAATAATGTAACTTGAAAACTAAAAATGGGAAGGGAGAGGAATCTAACATGAGAGAAAGGAAGGAGGGAATAAGAAAAAAGGTCACATTTGTGGCAGCAAGCATAGAATATTGAATGTATTTTATTCTTTTTCCCCTCAGGTACCTGTTTAATTTTCGGGGTGTAGCTGCAAGTTTCCGGTTCAAACACCTCTTCCTGTGTGGTTCACTTGTGTTCCATGTTGGTGATGAGTGGCTAGAATTCTTCTATCCACAGTTGAAGCCATGGGTTCACTATATCCCAGTCAAGACAGATCTCTCCAATGTCCAGTAAGCAGTTATCCTCCAGATCAGAGTTTCACATGGTGCTGCCATTGGCCTCTTAAGTCTAGCTACTTAAGGCATTTAGTCTTGATGACTTGTTCCAGTACAAACTTTTTCCCCTTTTTGTTTGGTTCACACATATTGTAACCTTGTTGCATTATTCTCCAGGTAGAATGTAAGTGGGATTTAATTTGAAAAAGTGCTTTAATGCTGGCTCCATTGTATAAAGACAGTATAAAGTGAAAAGGCTAACAAAGACTATTATCAAAGACTGTTATCAAAGACTAACCACAGGAATATTTGATCTTGTTATATTTTCAGTAGGATTTCAGATATACCATAAGAATTGACCCAAGTGAAGCTTAGGCAGATTTTTTCTCTTGATGGGAGGAGATAGGAAGAGGTATAGAAAGGGCCAAACTGTGATCCCAGTTCCCTCTTCTGTGGGTTAGAACAAGAATTTGGAAATAAGTTGGAAATTTTTTTCATTCTTCATTTTTTACTTTTTCTTTTGCGACTTAATATTAAGATTTATTAGATATTAGATATCCCCAAGAGAGGATATCTAATATCTTTAGTCAGTAGGTATATGCAAACTAAAACCATCTAAATACATCATTCTTCATTTTTGATGTATATCATTATATCATTGACATTTCCATTTTTTTTTTCAAATATTTCCCAAATCTACAACAGGCTGCTTTTAACTTTTTTTTTTGGCTATTATTTTTGTTTCTGCAAGGACCCTGATATCTTTGCCTTTAAAAATCCACCATCTACATATTTAGACGTCAATCTGTGGTCTTTCTACTACTGAACTTGGTCTACATTTTGGAGTCTCATAATCTTTTATTTTAGGGAACTGCTGCAATTTGTAAAAGCAAATGACGATGTTGCTCAGGAAATTGCTGAAAGGTAAGTTGGTTTTCCTTTCCCTTGCTTTATCATCCTCTTTCCTAGCTAAAGTTATCTAAATATTGTTACCATGATGATATCCATACTTCAGCCTCATCATAGAGATAATTCAGAATTAAAGCTGTCCTGTGTGAAAACAATATACACACACATTTACATATGCCCCCAATGCTTCATAGAAATAGACTGAAATCTTTGAGATACTTAAACAAGCATTTTTATGACCATTAGCTGTTAATATGACTGTTTTTAAGAGGAAAAAAAAAGCTAAGTTCTATTACTAAATGGATGTGTACAGATATGGTGGCTATAGGATTGGTTTTAGGGTCAGCTGACTTAATTCATAACAATACTCCACATAGAGCTTGGTACAAGGGAGCCTACTCAAATGTAGGCTTATTAGTAAATTCTGTGCATTGAAATATTCTTGTTAATCTTGTCTCTAGGGGAAGCCAGTTTATTATGAACCACTTGCAAATGGATGACATCACCTGTTACTGGGAAAACCTCTTGACTGACTACTCCAAATTCTTGTCATATAATGTAACAAGAAGGAAAGGCTATGATCAGATTATTCCCAAAATTTTGAAAACTGAATTGTAGTAGTCATCATAGGACCTATGGTAGCAATCTCAGATATCCTGTGGTGAGCAGCTTACTGTGAATGTGGCACCTATACTTTGAACACCTTTTATCAAGCCAAACATCTGGTTTTCCTTATCATGCTGCCCCCAGAACAACTCTTGAAAAAGACCTAAAGTGTTTGTAACACACAGATATGAAGCAGCTCAACTCTCTGAAAAGGACCAGAAATTATGAGATGTGGATTTTGAACCTGTTCTGCCTTTCATTTTTTCTGACCAATCACAGCTAGTGCCTCAGATCATCAGACCATCTGCATGGTATATTCCTCATTGTGAAATTGGCTGTGTCTACGTGATGATGCCCTTTGTTCCATTGTTTGGAGCAGAAAATCCATCATTTGGAACTAGTACAACTCATTGCTGCCATTTCTAAGTTATTCTAGGCTTGACTGCTGTTTTATTTTAATGTAGAAACCCTATGGGATTTATGAAAAATAGCTGGGGATCATTTCCTAAAAGGTCTAAGGAAGCAGGGGCTGTGCCATGCAATGATGTAGGAGTTCTCTTTTGTAAAAGTATAAACTTTGGTACTCAGGAGGTTTCTATGACGCCACATAGAAAGTAGCCAATTGCATGAGCAATTATTGAAGCTGGATTTCAAGTTCTTATTTTGTGCCTTCATGCCCTTTTCATTTTCTCTCTAAAGGATAAGAGAAAATAAAGACAACAACTTCCTAGTAAATTTAGGAATCAGTCCTCACTCTTTAAAGAAACTACTTAGAACAACTCTTCCTCACCCTTTGCATACTTTATTTTTCCTTAACTTTGCAGCGGACTGTCTCCATGTTGTGCGGTGATCACAAGGAGTCTCTGATTCGAACACATTATTAAGTTGGTAACTCAGAGTATTCAGCTTTTACAGTTACTTATATATGAGATACTTGTTGTAGTGCAAATTATTGTTGGAATTCTTTTTTCCCTTTTTGAAAAAGACATTTGGATAGTAGTTTAATCTCTCAGGTGATCTCCCTAACATAGTCAAAAATGAAGAAAAATGTTTGGATTAAAACCATGCAGTTTGATGATTTAGATCCATGTCCCTTAGGTTCAACATTCTTATAGGAAAATAACTCGTCTTTGCCTCTTCAGAACTGTTTGGTGTTAACTGGTTTCAAAATTAGTCAAAGTGATATTCTGTCACATAAAATCAGAGATTTTATTCCATTTGTCAGAAATGTATTTGGCCTTTTTAAGTCCTTTTCACAAAACTTTTAGTCCTAGGACCTTCTTATAGGAATTACACATCCAGGCATGGTGGTGCATGCTTGTAATCACAGATACTAGGGAGGCAAAGGCAGAAGGATCTTAAGTTGGATGGCAGCCCAGGCAGATAGTGAGACCCCATCTCAAAAACAAAAGGGCTAGGAGTGGCTCAAGTGGTAGATTACTTACCTAGCATGCGAGAGGCCCTGAATTCAATCCCCGATACAACAAAACAAAAGTTAAATGTTTCCCTGGTAAGATCACTGCATATGGATTAAGGCAGATGTTTACAGCTGATTTTTGTTTGTTTGGGTACTAATGATTCACAGGGACTGTGAGGTGCTAGAAGTGTAAGCTGTACTGTGGTTTTGCCTTGTCACCATGAGGCTCTACTAGATATAATGTTCTCTACATATTTAATTTTCTTCTCACTAAAATAGGGATAAAATTTGCTGTCCTGATTAGGAGCTGGAGCTTCATCTCTGGGAATGTTTTCTGTTTTGTTTAAAGTTGCAGCTCAAACATCACCCCTCTGAATCTTTTCTTCATTCCTGTTGCCAGTTAGGCTTTACCATAATACTTTGTTCATACCTGTATTGTATGACATCACATTACATTGGCTGTTTCTCCTATTCTGTGAGCTTACTGATGAGTGGGAATCATGTTTTACTCATCTTCTGTCTCCATTATCCAGCACACAGCCTCACACAGACTAATACTAAAGAACTTTATGGGGCTGAGAATGTACCTGAGTGGTATTGTGTTTGCCTAGCATGTGTGAGGCCCTGGGTTCAAAAAAAAGAACTTTGGATGGATGGAGATACGCGATTAGATTCTGCTTATAGATTGCGCAGGCATGCAGGCATTGGCTCCAAGGGAGATTGGATAAGACTAAGAATTGGATCAGTGTAAACCCTCATTGCCTCTGCAGAGGGCATCTTTGTCTTTAAACACACTAAAAACTACTCAGATTTTATACTTCTGTATGTTTATTTCAGTGTATATGGTATAAGGACTGTATATAACAATATGTAAAGTGTATGTTTTAAAAATAATTTGTATCCCCCAAATTTTGAGTGGATTTGTTATTATTAATACTAGTTTGGTTCCAGACTTACCATTTCCTTCTCAAAATCCATTCTTTCTAACTGTGAAAAAGGTTTATACAACAAAACAAAACTAAACTAAATTAATATATATGGCAAGGGCTGTACTTGATTCACTGGGTAGAGAAAGGGAACTGTTAACCCTTGGGGAGAAATCATATCCTATGGAGGAAACAGTTGTTGGGTTCTAAGCAAAACTCAGCAACAAGGGCTGAGGGTATACTGGTGGCTCCAGGCACTTTCCCTGAGGTAGTTACTCTGTTGAAAGGTTCATGTCCTGAGGATGAGAGAGCTGTGTGTTGGGCTGGTGGAGTGGCTCAAGCAGTAAGCACCTGCCTAGCAAGTGTGAGGCTCTGAGGTCAAACCCCAATACTGCCCCCTCCCCAGAAAAAGAGAGCTGTGTGGTCTGGCTACATTCCATAACACCTTTTGCCTTGGACAGTGTTGCTCTGAGAGGCTTCGAAAAGATCAGACCACATAGGAGGAGAGTATTTCCCTAGTAAAAGAAGGTAGGATCTGAGGGCTTTGGAAACTGGGAAATGTGGGAGGGTGGGAGCGGAATGGAACTGTAGGAGCAGCTGAGCAGTAGTCAAAGTACTGGGACTTTCTTGAGGTACTAGGTAACAAAGGGAGACTTACAAACGAGACTCCAGTTACCCAAAGGAGAGAGAAGCTATGGAGTTAGTGAAATTTATCTGTTAATAAGATTTCATCTGGTCTACAGGCTACAGAATCATGGGGACATTTGAGTTATAGGTAAGTGGTTTAACATCAGTACCTGCCCTCCTCCACCCAATCCCTTTGCAAGTCCTCCCTCATCCCAGAATGATGCTAGGTCATCTAAAGCATTTAGTTTTTTTGTTTCCAGTGTTGGGGACTGAATCCAGGCCTTTGAGCATGCTGGACAAGCACAAGCATTGAGCTTTCTCTACATGTAGGCCAGACAGAGTGCATAGTCATTCTCTTGGGCTTTCAGTCTTTGAGACTTGACCCTGGTGCCCACTTCTACCTAAAATAGTGTAAGAAGCAGCCTAGAGCCAGCAGTCAGGGGATCTGAATTTATTTGATGTATTTACTCGACACCTACTTCATGTCAGATACAACTAAGTAGGTCCAGGAGGTAGAGATGAAAGTATGTGATTTCTGACTTCACAGTTAAGTCTACTGAGGCAAATCAGCAAGTAGGAAAAGATGACACAATGTAGCAAGTGCTACCATGGATGTTGAATCTAATCTTGTCTTCCAGACACACCCAGAAGTCTTCTGTCACTAGTCAGACACTTCTCTGGGTCTTTACCCTAGGATTTCCAACTATCAAATCCCAGAATTCAATTTACTGTATTCTTACTAAAGAGTGTAGTAATTTTAAGTTACAATTAGAAAGGAATAAAAGAGGTGAAGAGACTGGCAAAGAGAATGAAAAAATATGTTAGGTTACTAACAAGGTTTAGGGGAAATTACACAAACCAGTTTGAGAATATTTTATACGTCTGCATTTTAATGAAAACTATACCTCGAAGAACGTATTAGTAGCTGTTGTAATGGGAAGTTTCTGCTCTTGGCTATCAAAGACTTCCTTCTGAGCAAGTAAGCAGAGAGATCCTCCCCCGTGAAGAAGTGTCCAAAGTTGATTTTTCAATATAGCATTCTGTGGTTGGGTGCCGTAGCTCACTACTACAATCCCAGCTACTCGGGAGGCGGACATCAGAAAGACCGCAGGCCAACCCGGGCAAAAAAAAAATGCTTTTGCTTTTAAGATCTTGGACCCATCCCCTGTGGCTAGGTCCTTTCCAGAAACCAGAAGAGTGGGTCCCCCAGCCTAGAAGCTTCTCCACCCAGTCGGGTGTGTTGATCTTGTTTTTGCGCAGATCGCTTTTTTCTCCTCTTTTTTTTTTTTATTCTCTGTGGCACTGGGGATTGAACTGAGGGCTTCGCGCTTTCATGCCACTTGAGCTCTGCCCCAGTCATGTGCTCCACTTCTTTGATGTGGGATTTCGGCATCCTGAACGCACTAACTTACCTGTGGCCACCTTACGCTGAGCGGAACGCTCAGGACCCTCTTATGTGTGCCCAGAAAGTTGGGCGAACCCAGACGAAAACGTGGCGGGGACCGCATTCAGCGTGACCACTCGCTGCCAACTCACTTCCGGACGCGCTTCCGGCAGGGCTGCAGCCTCCACTCACCCTCATCGGAAGTGCTTTCTGCTCCGGCTCTGCTGTCGCCCCGCCCTTTGGCCTTCGCCCTTGTAGGGGCGGGACTTCCTGTTCTGTTTTCCCCAAAGTGAGATCCTGTGCAGTGACAGCGGAGATGTCTAGTTGTGTGGCGGCGGGTCTATCCGCGAATTAGCGCGGTCGCTGTGCGCGCGTACTCACTCGTTGGCGCGCTTTGCTTCGCATCTCCTACGGCGCCTCCCGGCGGCTTTGGGCTTCACAGCGCCCGCGCGTCTGTCCTCTGAGCGGGAGAGGGCCATGGAGGTGCCGCCGCCGCCGCCGCCGGCGCCATGGAGCTTCCTTTGCAGGACCGTAGATCCTTTCCCCCGAATTTTTGCTGCCCGAGCTGAGGCTGCAGATTCGGAATCCCTTGTGGACAATCAGAAGCTGCCTTCCTATGTCCCAGAACCCCATTACCTCGAATCCGGATGGGATCGCCTCCGGGAGCTGTTTGTCAAAGAGTAAAAGCCTGGGGTCTGTGGGGGAGGGCTGGAAGGAAGGTCCGCAGCCTGGGCGAAGGCCCTCGTGGCGTGGCTTGTTTTTACAGTTCTACTGTGTGCCCCAGCGTAGGTCCTGATATTGCCGGATGGTAGTAGGTTGACAGGCTCTTGAATGGTTAGGGTCAGGCTCATCGCGAGTCAGCTCTTAGGGATGTATCCTACTAAAATCAGTGCCCAGATTTTACATATTAGAAAAATTGGGCCCATGCAGAAACCATTGGGACCCAAGTCTGTGGAAATCCACCCCAGCATTCTTTTCTCGTGATTGCAGTTGACCCCCAAGCTTTGGTATTTCATGATCTGTAGTTTTCCTCTACTACTCCCTCCACCAACCACCACCAAGAAGGGGATTGAGCAGGGGCAGAGAGTTGTCCCATGTTTATTTGGCTCAATAAGGAATTTAAAATAGTGTAATTGTCTGTCTCTGTCTCTGTTTTTCTTGCTCTTGCTCTGTCTCTGGGGTGCAGGAGATCCAATATAAAACCTCATTGCGAGGTAAGCGTTCTGCCACAGAACTGCGCCCTCTTCCCCGCCCCCGGTCTCTTTTTATAGCAGAAAAGAGCTAGATTTTTTTAAATAAAGGATGTGATTTCAAGATAAATCATAATATTTTGAATTGAGTTAATTTCACTTAATGAAACTCTGGCTATTTAATTAATTAACTTAAATTTATTAATTACTGGTGAAAGTTTGCCCTTTCATGAAGTAATTGACCACACACTGTGTTACCAAGTGGTTAAATCAGAAGCTTTATAATGTTGCTGAGACAATTGGGGCAGGGGAGCTGGTTGATTTGTATTTAATTATTATCTTTCATCTTTGTTTAAAAATAATGACGCAGCTTTTCTCAGAGGTCTTTCCAATATTTGCTGTATTTGTAAAAGATCCTCAAGTTGTAGTGTCTGCTTAGCAAGTGCAAGGCTCTAAGTTCAAACAACAGTACCAGGGGAAAAAAAGAAGAAGAAAAAAAGATTCAGTATATAACGGAGGAGGGTTATTTTGATCAATATTATGAACCATAAAATACTGAAACTGAAAGAAACATGAAAGATAATCTGATTTAACTATCATCCCTTCCATATTGTGTATGAGGTAACCAAGGCTCAGAGAGATTGTGACCTGGTTGTAGGTTGGTTAGCATGAGTGACAGAACCAGGACCCCAACCCCACTTGTTACATAAGACCAGATCCAGTCCACTACTGTGCCCTGTGGTTCATTATTCATAGCTGTTCACACCAACCATGTAACTTCTTAAGAGCTTCTCTTTCCATATCTGTAAGATGAAGACAAGTATTACCTATGTCATAGAATTATTCAGAGGATAAAAAAGAGGCATAGCATGTACATCTGGCTTGTTAAATTTCAGCACTTTTACATTTTCTCTTTTCTGAGTTTTACTGTAGACCAGTTTTATGTAGATGCTTTTGATCCTAGTCACTGTAAAAGAGAAAATACACATTTTAAATTATGTATTTTTCTAATGATGTAAGTATAAGAATTGCAGTTTTTTTTTTTAAAGAGATTTTTAGTTGTAGAGATAGGAACTGAAAAACCTATTGGTTCTCATTTCAGAACTAAAGTGATTATTGACAGATAAACACTTGTAGAGTCTCTGAAGAAAGCAAATTAGTAATGTAAATAAGATAACATTTAATAGTTTACCTAAGATGGCTATTATAGTAACTTAATATTTACAAACATAGCTATTCAGTACAACAATTTAAGGAAGATATCTTGAAATAACACTAACAGTTCTAGTTTCTTATGCATTTAAGAATAATAAATTGAATTAAACAGTAGTTTTTCCTTACTTTAGATTTACCTATGCTGCCTTCTGCATCATAAGTTTTCCTGATGCTTTTTTTGTTCATTTTTTAATTAACAGATGGGATCTCACTGTGTTGCTTAGGCAGGCCTGGGACTCCTGGGCTCAAGCAATCCTCCTGCCTCAGCCTCCCAAGTGCCAGGCTATAAGCATTGACCTCCACGCCTGGCTCCCAGTGCTTCTTACAGTACCTATCTGAATATATCCTAAAAATTTAGTTTAAAAAGCACCTTTTAAAAAAATGAATCTTCACAGACTGAATGTATGACTGTGTAACCAACACTAAAAATTGTTGCCAGCATCCCAGAAGCATCCCTGTGTGCCCCTTCTGATCACTGCCTTCCCACAGGTTGCTATCCTAGTTTCTAACAGCATAGATTAATTTTTCCTGAGATTTGTGATTTGTGAAGTTTTTGGTTTTATGTTTCTTGTTTTGAAATAGGGTCTTGCTGTGCAATCCAAGCTGGCCTGAAATTCACAATCCTGCGTCTGCCTCCCGAGTGCTGGGATTGCAGGTGTGCACCACCATGTCTGGGTTGTACTGCTTTTAATATAACTTCACCGCTTAATTCATTGAAAGATTTAATTAGTTCTATCCATAATGAAAAATGTTGTGGTGTTTAGCATTTGTAATAACTCAGAACATAGTGTTTTGGGTAATGTCCCAACAACATTGTCTTTTTGATGTTTTAGTGAACAGCAGCGAACTCCACGAGAACTTGAGAATATCTACAAGGCAGCAGTTTCAGCAGGCATCATTGGCTGGGCATATGGGGGAATACCAGCCTTTATTCATGCTAAACAACGCTACATTGAGCATAGCCAAGCAGAAATTTACCATAACCAGTTTGATGCTGTGGTAAGTACTGTGGTTTAATAGTATGTAGGTGCATACCAGTTTAACGATTCATTTTCCACTTGATCCTGTGTGTGTGTGTGTGTGTGTGTGAGTGAGAGAGAGAGAGAGAGAGAGAGAAAGAGTAATAGTAAGAGAGAAAGAGAACGAACGAACTAGGGATTGAACCTAGGATCTTCTGCATATACTGGGCAAGTGCTCTTATCATGTGAGCCACATCCCCAGTCTTTTTTGCTTTAGTTATGTTTGGGATAGGGTCTTTGCTTTCTTAGTTCAGCCTATATCACAAACCTCCTATTTATGCTTCCCCAAATAGCTGAGATGACAGGTGTTCGGTCACCCAGGTATTGGCTGATATGGGCTCTCTCTAATGGTTTTGCAATCCTCTCGATTTCTGCCCCCAGAGGGTTGGGAAGGTTTCAGTATGCCAGAGTAGCAAAGTCTATACTTAATATCAATGGAAGTACTAATGCTAAAGTGCCTCCAACATGGCTTGTCCAATCATTTATCTCTAAAACAGGCATGTATGTGATACAGCTATGGCTTTTCTTTCTGGAATACATTTCTAATCTATTGCTAAATCATCAAGACTCAGCTGTAAATACCTCATGCACAAGTCTCCATAAGAATACTAGTTGATAATAACTTATAATTTTATATTCTATAGAGTGTTTTTAAAAAAATTTTTTGGCAGTACTGGAGTTTGAACTCATAGCTTTACACTTACTAGGCAGGCTCTCTATCACTTGAGCCCCAAAGGTTGAAATCACAGCCCCTGTAGTGACTTGTTGTTGTTGTTGTTGTACTGGGGTTTGAAGTTAGGGGCTTAGACTTGTAAGTGCTTTACCACTTGAGCCACACCCCACCCTTTCATTTGTTTTATCATTAGATCTCTATATCAGTTCAATAGATGTTTAGCAGGTATTCAATTTTTAATGTAATCAAAGTTATTGATCTTTTAATTTATAGTTTGTGCTTTGAGTATCTTCATTCTTAATAGAGTCTCTGCAGGAAACAGAATCCCACTCAAATCATTCAACGAAAGCGACTTTAATGAAGATGAAAAGGGAACTTTTTTCTTGTGGAACTGGGGTTTGAACTCAGGGCTTCATACTTGCAAAGCAGGTGCTTGCAAAGCAGGAGCTCTACTGCTTGAGCCATACCTCCAGTCCTCTATATCAGTTCTTTCTGGTCTGGGGCATGGCTCAAGTGGTATAGCAACTACCTATTCAGTCTGAGGCCCTGATTTCAAACCCCAGTACTGCCAAAAAGAAAAAAATAAAGTCCTTTTGTGTAGCTAAGAATTTAAGCTGAGGGTTTTTTGTTCTTTTTTTTTTTTTTTTTAAATCTTTGTAGTTTGAAACTGTCAGGTTTAAAGAAAAACTGCAAAAATAGAGCAAAGATTTTCTATATACCGTTCACTCATATAATGATTTAACTTTTTACTATGTTTGCTTTATCTCTGTATAGTGAATACTGTTATTTTTCCTGAACTGCTTGAGAATGAGTTTAGACATGATGAAAAATTCAGTATATATTTCCTAAAAACAAGGCCATACTCTTAAAAAACCATAATTATGATGATCAAAATCAGGAAATCAACATTGACACAGTACTATTATCTATAGACCTTATGGAAATTTTCCTGGAACTTATTATCTCATTTGTTTAAAACAATTTTAAGTGTTTAAAAAAAGAAGTAAAAACTATTTTTTTTCTAGTCTAGAATCTAATAGTAGATTAGAATTTGTCTTTCTTGCCCCTTTAGTCTCTGTAGTTTGGGACAGTTTCTCTTTGTCTTTCATGAACTTAACAGTTTTGAAGACGATGGGCCATGTATTTTGTAGAATGTCCCTCAACTTGGGTTTGTTTAATGTTGTTCTCATAAGCTTCAGACTGTGTTTGGGAGTAGATACACCCTAGAATTGATATTGTATCCTTAGTACATTCTGTCAAAAACACATGGTATCTTTTTGTCCTTTTACTGTTGATGCTTCCTCAAGTCACTTGGATATCTGCCAGATTGAGCCATTAAAAATTAATAATTTTTCTTTTGTAATAAGTATTTTATGAGTACATGTTAGATCCTTTGAGATTTTGTATATATCCCATTTTTCATCAAATTTATACCCTCTAGTTTTAACATTAAATTATGATTCTTGTTTGAAGTAGTGATGGTGGTTGCCAAATGTCCATTTTCTAATCCTGTTATTCTTTCAATGTTAGTGGTTAGTATTCTCCTCTAAGGAAGTACCCCTCCAATATTTCTTTATCTATCTACAGTCATGCATAACAAAATGGATCACTCAGGGAAATGTTTTGTTAGGTAGTTTTGTCATTGTGCGAACATCATAGAGTGTACTTGCGCAAACTAGGTCAGCTGCAAAGTCACTCACTAGGCGATACAGTCTTGTGGGACCACCATCATTTATATAGTCTATCCTTGATGGAAACATTATTTTATAGTACATAACTATATTTATAATTTATTTATATCCACATGTACTCATGGTTTCTTATTTCCTTCTGTAGGGTAATAGACCATTATTGTCATTTATTTTGATACTTTGGCCTGGATTTGGACAGTTGGAGCCCTTCAAGCCAGCTCCTGAGTTTGAGATGTCTTCTTCACTCTCTGAGCATGCCTGTACTTTTATATCATGTGGTTGCCACATAGATTCTCTTTAGATTCTTAATTGATAGATTATTTGGCTGACACTAGCACTTCTTAGTTCTTTTTTCATCTCCTGATAAAATGGATGTGCCTAAGGCTTTTCCTTAAGGCTCAATAATGAATATTTCTAGGCTGGGTCGGGTGGCACATGTCTGTGATCCCAGCTACTCAGGAGGCAGAAATCTGGAGAATCACAGTTCAAAGCTGGCCCTGGGAAAAAATCATGGGACACTATCTGAGAAATAACTAAACCCAAAAAAGGGCTGGAGACATGGCTTAAGTGGTAGAGTGCCTGTCTTGCAAGTGCCAGGCCCTGAGTACAAACCCCCACACTACCAAAAAAAAAAAGGAGATTTCTTGAGATATTTTGTTGTTTCTGTTTAGGTATTCCTGATTAATTTATAGCTAACATTCTTCCATTGTTACATTTTTAGAATAACTAAAGTGTCATGGTGTCTTGGAACCTCACAGCTTTTTTATTACTTCTAGCAAAGTGCACACCGTGCTGCCACACGAGGCTTCATTCGGTATGGCTGGCGCTGGAGTTGGAGAACTGCAGTGTTTGTGACTATATTCAAGTGAGTTATCTCCGAACTGTGAGAGACAGTCTTGATATTCTTTGAGGAATCATCTTTTGAGTACATGGGATTATAAAAACTGAACACCCACATGAAAGTGATTCATAATGCCTTTTTATTTTCAAGACATTTTTGTGTTATCTATATAAGAAGTTGGTCCAGTTGTACAACTGTAGCATTGCATCCATGATAGAGCTCCACCAACTAGGATCAAAATAGATACAGCAGGTGTTTGTTTGTTTGTCTGTTTTTGAGTCAAGGTCTCACTGTGTAGCCCAGGTTGACTTTGACTTGCAGTCCTCCTGCCTCAGTCTCTTGAGTGCTGGGATTATAGGCATGTACCACCATACCTGCTTATATACAGAGTTTTTAAGAAAGAAAAATTCTGCAAAGCCATTCTTCATGTTTCTAAGTGAATATTTATTCCATAAATTTTATTGTTCTTAGGTTCATTCTTCAGAACATCCACCTAGAAAACTCATAGGTACTAATAGACTAGAACATGTTGAAGGGGCCTAGACTAGGACCAGGAACTGAAATAGAAGACTCTTTTAAACCTTTCATTTTAATGACAGTAACAGCCAGAAAGGTAAATGGATGTGTTTTGAATTGTATGTTTTCCTTTTCCTCCCTTCTTCCCAGCACAGTGAACACGGGACTAAATGTGTACCACAATAAAAATGCTCTGAGTCATTTTGTCATTGCAGGAGGTAAGACATTTTTGTCTTTCAATCTCAACTATAGTTTTGAAAATAAGTCAGAACTTGTATCTCAGAACTGCTGAATACTTTGGTTGGCTTTGCATTACATCCCATTCAACATTCTTGCAAAACATACTTATGGATAGCATTGTATTTGGCCCTTGGTATACTAAGTGAATAAAAAAGACAAGACCTTTGCTTTTATTGAATTTTAAAGTCTAATGGGGATGGAAAAAAACAGGTTTCTATGATAGAAAGTAACAAATAGGTGGGATTGGGCAGAGATTGGTCAAAGGACACAAATTTCAGTCAGAGAGCTGGAGGCATGGCTCAAGTGGTAGAGCACCTGCCTAGTGAGTGGGAAGCCCTGAGGTCAAACCCCACTACTTCCAATAAATAAAACCAAATGTGAGATGAGAGGAACAAGTTTAAGAGAGCTGCTGTTAAACAGTGACCTATCATTGATAATGATGTATTATACTTGCAAATTATTGAGTAGATTTTAAGAGTTCTCACTACAAAAAAAAGTATGGAAGGTAATATATATGTTAATTAGCTTGATTTCGCCATCTCCATGGTACAAATATTTCAAAATATGTTACATACTATCTCAGTATATAATTCCTATTAATTTTTTAAAATACATTTTTAAATGAGTATTAAAAAAAAAGAGCACTTGAATATTTCTTAAAAAGTACATGAAGTTAACTGCCACACACATTCAATTATTCACTAACATAGATATTCATATATACAAAGCACACATTTGTATTTACTAAACATAACTTTTTTTTCCCCTCTTTTACAGTACTGGGTTTTTTTTGTTTGTTTTTTGTTTTTTTGGTGGGACCGGGGTTTGAATTCAGGGCTCTGCACTTGCAAACCAGGTGCACTCTATTGCCTGAGTCACTCCTCCAGTCCATCTCTTTTGTAGTACTGGGGTTTGAACTTAGGACCTCACGCATGCTAGGCTGGTGCTGTACTGCTTGAGTCATGCCTCCAGCCCAAACATACATTTAAAAAAATTTTTATGTGGAAATAATTTCAAACTTACAAAAAAGTTGCAAACTGAAAACTACAAAAAACATCTTATGTCTTCTTATTTATTTATTTATTTTGAGACAGAGTTTTGCTATGTAATATAGCCCAGGCTGGCTTTGAATTTGCAATCCTCCTTTCCTGAGCTTCCCAAGAGCTGGGATTACAGGTGTGCACCATCTCACTTAGCTACTGTGTACCTTTTACATACAGAGATTTAGCCGTTGTTGACATTTTACCCTATTTGCTTTACTTTCTTGCTCTTAGATAGATGTACTCTCTCTTTTTCTGCATATGTGTATACACACAGGCAAACATGTAATTTGATTTTAATATTTTAATGGAAACACTTTAAAATATAAAACTGAGGAAAAAATAACTAGAAAGAGGCACTGATAGTATTAGTGCAACTAGAATGTGCCCTTTCAAATTTGTGAACATCAGTATTCTATACACTCAAATGCCTGTTTCCAAACCAGATTCATATTCCTCCTACTTTCCTCCTTTCTCTTCCTGTTACGTTTTCTATCTTCTATCCTATTAAGTGCCAAAACCAGACATCAAGGAAAGATTTGGTCCCGACCTTCCTTTCCTTTTCCAAATTTCTAGTCTTATCAGTTTTGCTCCTTAAACGCATGGCATCTTTCATCTCTGTATTCCTCCTGTTACTAGCACATCTTCTGTTTCTAATCTTGGTGTGCTATACCTCCACTCTTACGTATGTTTTTGAAATATGAACATGATTTTAATGCTTTTTCGTCAAAAATTCGTCTATAGTTTCCTATCATTTTAACATCAGTTTTTTGTTTGTTCATTTGTTTTAATGTGGGCTCCATGTACCAGTCTTTAGACTTGGCCTTGTAAACCTCCTTGGATTTCCCAAACCTAGTATAGTCTTGCTTTACATCAATTGGTTGCTCTTCTTGAATGCCCCCTCCCACTCATTTTGTTCAATTCCTACTTACCTTATCTTTTAAAACCCAGGTCATCTGTCAGCATCCATAGCTCCCATTTGTCTATCTTTATTTCTGCTTAGGTATTTTTTCTTCTGTATTCCTTGAATTCAATACAAATAGTGTTTATCAGAGAACTTACAATACTATATTATAGTTGTTAACTTGTTTTCCTTCTTCACTAAACTTACTTGAATTCAGAGAAAGTATTTGCCTTTCATGTCACAATCACTTGACACATAGTCAAGTATAATAAATGTTTCTTGATTGAATATAAAAATTATTAGTAAAGTAAAAAGAGAAAACTATATCTGATATGATATAAATTTTTATTTCAAAGTAGCAACCCAAATGGTATTTAGTGATGGAATACTAGAGAAATTTCCTCTAAAGTCATAATGTCAAGGCTGTCTCTCTTCACCATAATTGCATAGTATTGATCTGGACATTCATAAAAGTATATTCACCATCTTGAATGACTGAGTAAGGAACTTAGCAAACCTTCTCTCCCAAAAGCACTGATAAAACTGGACAACAAACATTTAGAGATGCTAGAAATTAACCAAAGGCACACAACAAAATGAGAACTATTTATTCAAGAATATCTACTCAATAAGAATAATGAGAATCTGTGGTATTTCACCCTTAGACTACTCCCATCCCTTCATCATGGGGTTTTAAGTTCCACAAAGACATAGCAGGCTGAGAGGACTAGCAGTTCTGTTACTTGAGAGGGCTGACTTTATTTGGAGCACATCACAAAAGAAGTTGCTAAAAAAAATTGCAAACAATAAGGGAATTATCACATGACTAGCTTGAAGTTTTTGTTCGGTTTTTTTTGTTGTTGTTGTTTTTTGATGGTGCTGGGATTTGTACTTAGGGCTTCTCACTTGCTAGACATGGACTCTACCACTTGAACCACATGCCCAGTCCTAGTCTGTGGTTTTGATACTGTTTGGGGCAAGCCATAGACTAGCAAACCAGGCAGAATTTTAATGGGGTTATCAAGGAAATAATGAAGCCAGAGACAGCTAGGCATGGTGATGTATCTTGTAGCCCCAGCTTCTTGAGAGGCTGACACAGGAGTATTATTTGAACCCAGGAGCTCAAGGCCAGCCTGGGCAATGTAGCTGTCTCTTACTAAAAATGAAAAAGAGGGCTGGGGGCATGGCTCAAGTGTGAAGCCTTGAGTACAACCCCCAGCACCACCAAAAAGAAAGCAAAGGAAAAAATGAAAGTCAAAGAGAGCTATAACAAGATCATATTTATCACTATAATCTGAAAGATGGTGCACATGTATGAGGATCCATGTGTGCTCAGGAGAGACCAGTGAGGGCCTTAGCAAGCTACTTCGTGTTTCGTTATATGTGAGTCCTTATGGACACAGGAAGTAAAAGCCAGAAGATAATATAAATGGGCTGAAATTTAAATGCATTTCCTAAGCTACAGACACATTCATTGGCAAAGGGTAGAAGCCTTCCTTGTGTGGGATGTTTAAGTACAACTTCTGATGAATCATTGAGTGCCTATTCCTAGGAAGCCAGACATAAAAATACTAAGAACTGCAGGGCACCGGTAGCTAATGCATGTAATCCTAGCTACTCAGAAGGCAGAGATCAGGAGGATCACAGTTCAGAGCCAGCCTGGGCAGACAGTTCCATGACAGCCTATCTCAAAAAAACCCTTTACAAAAAAGGGCTGGTAGAGTGGTTCAAGGTGTAGGCCCAGAGTTCAAGCCCCAGTACCACAATCACAGAAAAACAAACTGCCCAGATTTGGTCTAGGCAAGTGACTTCATAAACCAAGAACCACAGCTATGCCCCTGGGAGGAACATGTTCCAACTTCAGAGTTGCTGTGGTATATTACTTTAAATGTCCAAGTTTTCAACAGCAGCAAAATTATAAGACTTTGAAAAACTAGGGGAAAAACAATGGGAATTGCCTGTGATGGAAGCTATCTGGTAGAGATAGTTGACATAAGACTTCAAATAGTGTCAAATCAAAGTATATTAACAATGAGTCATCAGATAGAGAAAAGATTAAGGAGGATAGAAAATTTTAATCAAATGGAAATGCCAGAGTTTGTAAGTATAATGAAAATTAAAAATTCACTGGAAAGGAAGAACTCAAGTAGATTTGGGGTAGAAAAAAGAATCAATGAACTGGATAGACTATGTTTTCTGAAGGACAGCATTTAAAAAGTGAAGAAAAATAAACAGCCTCAGAGATCTGTGGGACACCATCAAGTGTCCCAGGCTATGTGTGATGGAAATACCAGGATAGAGAGGAAAGGGAAAGAAGGCAGGAAAAGTATTTCAAAAAAACAGTTACCACAGACTCCCCACATATGATGACAACTAAGCTACACATCCAAGAAGGTCAAGAAACTCCAAGAAGAGTAAACACAAAGAGATTTATGCATGAGCATATCATACTTAAAAAATTGAAAAATAAGAGGAAAATCTTGAAAGCAGAAAAAAAAAATTCTCTTATAGAAAGAACACCCCAGTAAGATTAACAACTGACTTCTAATAAAAAATAAAGGGAGCCAGAAGTCAGTGGAAGGCAATTTAATGGCCAGAAAGGAATAAGCTGTCAACTGAGACTTCTGTACCTGGCAAACTATCTTTAAAAATGAAGGCAAAATAAAGACATTTCCAGGTAAATAAAGAATTCATTGCTTGTAAATCTGCCTTTAAAAATATTAAAAGAAAGAGATACCAAATGTTACTTTGAATCCACATGAATAGGTAAGAGTGTTGATAAAGGTAGTTGTGGAATGATTGCTAAAGATAATGCAATACAAATTTACCTGATCTAAAAAGTTAAGCCTAATAAAAAGTGAAGTGTGAGGCATATAACATTTAAAAATCTAGAGGACAGTACAAAGTAGAGAAGAGTGGAGGTGTATCAGAATAAGGGAGTAATATCAAATAGTAATCTGACATCATAAGAGGAAATGGAGATGCCATGGTAATAGTTATTATAAAAGACTATAAAATCATCTTTTTCTTTTTTCATAATTTTCCCCTTTCTTTAAAATACATGAGGTTGTATAATAATAATAATAACAGCAGCATGTGGGGCACCAGTGGCTCATGCCTGTAGTCCTAGCTACTTGGGAGGCAGAGATCAGGAGGATTGTGGCTCAAGGCCAGCCTAGCAAAAAGTTTGGGAAACCCATCTCAACCAATAAAAGCTGGGCTTGGTAGCATGCACCTTTCATCCAAGCTACAAGGAAAATGGAAATGGGAGGATGACAGTCCAGGCTGGTGGCCAAGGCATGAATGCGAGACCCTACTCAAAAAATACTTTAAAAGCAAAAGGGACTAGGGGCATGGCTCAAGTGGAAGAGCCCCTGCCTTGAAAGCACAAGGCCTTGAGTTCAAACCCCCATATGGCAATAATAATAATAATTGTATTATTGAATTTTAATATACATACTGCACATACATAGCAACATAGTACAAAGGTGGGAGAGGGGTAGATTGATCCTGGAACAAAACAATAAAAAAGTAACTTTAAAAATATCAGAAAGATGAAGAGGAATTAAAGAAAAGATACAGAAAACAAATAGCAAAGTAGAAGATCAAATTCCAACCATATCAATAATATTAAAAATGAATGGATTAAACACTTGTTTTTTTTTTCTTCTAATGCTTTAAATATTTCACTCCATTCTCTTTTTGTAGGTATGGTTTCTGAAAATCTGATACAGTTCTTATCTTTGCCCCTGTGTGGTTAAGATGTGTCTCCTTCACCCCCAGCTTCCTTCAGTATTTTTTCTTTTATCTTTGATTTTCTGCAATTTGAAAATGGTATGCCAATGTTTAGTTGCAGGATATTTATTTTGCTTGGTGTTTTCTGAGCTTCCTGGATTTGTGGTTTGTTAGCTAACATTTAGGGGAATTCTGCCTGTTGTTTCAAACATTTCTTGTTTTCTTTTCTCCTCTTCCATTCCATTTATGTTATGTTACACTTTTTGGGAGGGAGGGTATATAAGACAAAGTTTCACCATGTAAACCAGGCTGCTCTGGGACTCCTGATCCTCCTATCTCCACCCCCAAGTGCTGGGATTATAGATGTGTACCCCAACACTCAGCTCTTATGTTATAACTTTTGAAGTCACACACAAGCTTGAAGATTCTTTCATCGGCTCTGTCTGGTCTACCAGTGAGCCCATTAAAGGCATTCTTCACACTTTTTAATCTAGCATTTCTTTTTGGTTCTTTTTTTCCACCCCCCCATCGGGATTTGAACTCAGAGCCTCATGCTTGGTAGGGAGGCACTCTACCACTTGAGCCACTCCACCAGCCCCTTTTTTGTGTTGAGCATTTTTGAGATGGGGGTCTCAGGAACTATTTTCCTGGGCTGGCTTTGAACCATGATCCTCCTGATCTCTGCCTCCTGAGTAGCTAGGATTACAAGTGCTCAGCTAGTTCTTAAAATTTCCATCTCTCTGCTTACATTGCCCATCTTTCTTGCATACTGTCTACTTTATCCATTAGAATTGTTATCATAGTTGTTTAAAATTCTCAGTCTAATAATTCCCATATTTCTACCACATCTGAGTATGGTTCTGATGCTGGTTTGATGCTCTTCAAATGATGTTTTGCCTTTTAGTATGTCTTGTAATTATTTCTTGAGAACCAGACGTGGTATAGTAGGTAAAAGGAACTATAGCAAATAGGCCTTGAGTAATGTGGTGGTCACATATGAGCCCTGAAATTAGGTCTCAGTCTTGGTGAGCATGTGCCTTTGAGCTGCCAACTTCACAGTGCTTCTCACACACTTGTAGATGGCTAGAGTGGGCTGGAATTGGGTATTTCCCATCTTCTGCATGGAAACTAGTGAAGATTAGAGTTGATATTCTCCAGGTTCGTTAGTCTCTGATATAACCCTGATAAGTTAAACTGTATAAAATTGCTTATCTTGAGGGCAGCTGTTGTTAAGAACATGTGCTCTGGTGAAGTTCAAAATGGGTGAGGGTATTTATTATTCACAGAAAACTAACAAAGATAGGGAAACAGTTTACCATTAGCCCAGTTTTATTATTATTAGTTTGTAAGTTGAAAGTAACTCAAATCAAAATTAGAGAATTTTTTTTAAAAAAGAACTTGAGCTGGGTGCTTGTGGCTCACACCTGTTATCCTTTACTTGGGAGACTGAAATAGGGAGGATTGCGGTTCAAGGTCAGCCTGGTCAAAGAGTTCAGGAGATCCCATCTCCAAAATAACTTAGAAAACTAAAACAAAAACCAAACTTCTTACTGTCTCTGGGTAATGAGATTAAAGGTGATTTTGGTTCTTGTTAATTTAGAAAATCTTTAAAATAAGTATAAACATTTAAATAAAAAGTATAAACCTTAAATGTTATTTTTTAAAAATTGTGTGCTGGGGGACTGGTGGAGTGGCTCAAGTGACAGAGCGCCTACCTAGCAAAGCCTAGCAAACATGAGGCCCTGAGTTCAAGCCCCAGTACTGCCAAAAAAAAAAAAATGTAGGATATAATGGCTATATAATATTCACCGGTGGCTCACACCTGTAATCCTAGCTACTCGGGAGGCAGAGGTCAAGAGGATCACAGTTCAAAATTAGCCCAGGCTAACAGTTCAAGAGACCCTAGCTCAAAAAAACTCTTCACAAAAATGGGCTGATGGAGTGGCTTAAGGTGTAGGTCCTGAGTTCAAACTCCAGTACCGCAACAACAACAAAAAAAAGTGAATTGGAAGTGTGGCTCAAGTGGAGCATCTTCAAACTTCAGTATCGCCCTTTTCCCCCTCCAAAAAGTATTTGTGAGCTGGGGATATAGCTCAGTGGTAGAGTGCTTGCTTGGCATGTGCAAGGCCCAAGGTTCAATCCTCAGCACCTTGAAAAAAGGTAAAAATTGTTACCACCTGAAATGGCATTAATTGCATCGTGCACAAAGAGGAAAGTAAATGCACATCATGAATAGGCAGTTTTGGTGGAAAGAGGTGCATCCCCTGAACTGGCCACCAGGTGGCATTGTAGGCTGAATGCTGCCTCTTGCAGGCCTGCCTAAGAGCTGCAGTGTAGCAGTACAGCTAGGTTGAGGCTAGGAGGAGGCATAAGCCACTGATGCTAGTGAAGGATTTTATTAATTTTGGGAAAGCTTTTCTGAGGAAGAAAGAAAGAGATGGAATGGAAAAAATTGCAGACTTTTAGGGCAAAATGGACAAAAATGAAGCAGAATGAGATGACATTGGATCCATAGAACAGACTGAGAGACTCTTTTTTTTTTTTTAGTGTATAGAATATTTTCATATATATATATATATATATATATAGGACATTTTTCCCTTGGAATCTACAGGGTAGATAGGAAGCTACCTGTGTGGGCATTTTAGATTCAGAAATAAATCTAGGCTGAAGTGGGATATTAATGTTGAGTTCAGAAAGGTCACTTCAGGGTCTGTGTTCTTATTATTGAAAGAAAGTTTTAAATGGAATTCTGGGATTTAAAGGTGATTTAGTATTATCTTTTTCTTTTTAAATAGCTGTCACAGGAGGTCTTTTCAGAATAAACTTAGGCATTCGAGGCCTAGTGGCTGGTGGTATAATTGGAGCCTTATTGGGGTAAGTGTTGTGGTTTGATTCTAAATTCATACAACTTTTATTAATGCCTTGCCTTTAAAATAATTTGAACAGTTTCATTACTACAGCAAAGTTGAATGTGTGAGTACTTTGGAGCTTCATGTTACCCTTTCCTCAGATTCACTGATTGTTAGCATCTTGCCATATTGTTTTTTCTGTATGTGTGGGGAATGTGCATATATTTCTTTTTCTTTTTTCTTTTTCCTTTTTTTTTTTTTTCCTTGCTTTTTGACTAAACCATTGGAGACCTCATGATACTTCACTCCTAAATACATCAGCATTTGTCTCCGAGGATGAAATCATAATACAATTGTCACAATAAACATTATTCCAATGCAGCTAAGGTAGAGTGTATATTCAAAACTACTCAATTACCACAATAATGCCCAGAACATTTCTCAATTTTCTTTGTCCCCTCGTGATTAGATTTAGGTTAAATGTTTTTGTTGGGAATGCAACATAGATGAAATCTGCCCTCTGTATGTTACATGAAGAGACATTACATTACCCATTGTAAGTGGTGTTAACTCCAATTACTTGATGTTTTGGCTTTATATTCTGTTTAACAAATTACCATTAATTTAGCTGTTTAATACAACACCCATTTGTAATCCTACAATTCTGTAGATCCATAGTCTACGTGGTCATAGATGACTCCTCTGGTCAGGGTTTCACAAGGTCAAAATCATGGTATTGGCCAGGCTGTGCTGTTGTGTGGAGGCTCTGGAGAAGAATCTGCTAAAGAAGCTCATTCAGTTTGTTGACAGAATTCCTTGTCTGTAGCTCTGAGGTTCCTGTTTCCTTGCTGGCTGTCAGCCAGACTCTGCTTTCTGTTTCTCTCCATGCCATCCACATTCCTTTTCATGGGCCCCCTTCATGTTCACAGCAGCTGCAGCACCTTGACTCCTTCTCATGCTTTCATCTTTTGCTTTCACTCTGCCAGAGAAAACTCATCTTTCTTTTTTTTTGGTGGTGATACTGGTGTTTGAACTTGGCCTCATGCTTTCTAAGCAGGCACTCTATCCCTTGAGCCACACCCCCAGCCCAGACTCATCTTTTCAGGAAATATCCAGATAATCTCTTTTCTGATTAACTCATTCAACTGATTACTCACCTTAATTACATCTGCAAAATCCACTTTTCCTTGTAACATAATCATAATTTCTCATCATATTCACAGTGGAAGGATTAGGTCAGCAAATTGGGGGAAACTATTTTAGAATTCTGCCTACCACACTCAGTTAAGGTGGTGCCTATAAATTTCTCCATTGCAAAGATGACTAGTAAGCAGTGTGTAGGGTGAGGCTGTGTGAGTGTTCTCCTCTCTTGCTGACTTTGCTCTAGTGATGGTCCATACTGCAATCGGTTATTAGAAAAGTGGTTATAAAATGTTGATGTGCTACTTCGTCAGTCCTTCTGTTTTCATCAGTTGATGTTCATTTGAATAAAAGTGTTCTCCTTCCCCTCTACCTGCCAGCAGAGATGAATGGCAGGTTCTTGGTATCACTGAAGAAAGAATTCACACAGAAAAATTTTATCAGAGCAAGATTTATTTGAAGAAAATGCAACAAGTGTGAGGCCCTGAGTTCAATCCCCAGTACCACCAAAAAAAAAAAGAAAGAAAAAGCAAATGCAGAAGTGAACACACCCCCATAGGAAACTGAGCGTGAGAAGCTTGACCAAGAACTAAAGTGCCAATGCAAAAAGCAAAAGTACACCCTCCGAGTAGGGTGAGGGCAGACAACCCCACCAAGCACCCAAGTGCACCAAGCTCTTTGGTCTTAGGCACTTTTAAGGGCTGTAGGTGATTAGATGTATTAATTTTATGTACAAACATGTATGGATTTCTGAGATGTGGGAGGACATTTCCAAGAATCAGGGAACTAGGAGTAGTTTACCTACTAAGTAATATACAAAAATTGCAATTTGAATATAATGAGATGTAGGTGAGGCCTCTGGCTAACCTTTAGGATTAGGAAAGAACTTGTTAGGGACTGTTAGCCACTGTTCCAAGAGGTAGCCCAACAGGATAATAGTGGAACACGATGTTTGGGAAAATGTACCCAGGTATGTGGTACACATTCTCGCTTACCCCTTGTGTTTTTGTTCCCTTTCTGCCTGCCAACTCCAACTCATACCTAACCACCCTCTCTTCCCATCTTTTTTTGGGAAGGGGTACTGCAATATACTGTAAATTCTTTTTGAAAATATTCAGGCTGGGCACCAGTGGCTCACGCCTGTAATCCTAGCTACTTGGAAGATAGTGATCTGGAAGATCATAGTTCGAAGCCAGTCCCGGGCAAATAGTTCTCAAGACCCTATCTCAAAAATACCCACACAAAACAGGACTGAGAGAGTGTCTCAAATTGTTGAGCACATGAGTAGCAAGCGCGAGACCCTGAGTTCAAACACCAGTACTGCCAAAAAAAATTAAAAATTAAAATAAAAAATATTCAGCATTTCATAATTCACTGCTTACATTTTTGTTGTAGTGTTAATATGCCAACTCTTGAAGGCAAAAGTTGTCGAAGTTAGCAAAAACATTTTTTGGCAGTACTAGGATTTGAACATAGGGCCTAGTACTCACTGGGCAGGCCCCACTTGAGCCATGCCCCCAGCTCAATTTTTTTTTGTTGTGGTAAAAAAACACATAGTGTTTACTGTCTTAACCATTTTTAAGTGAACAGTTTGGTAGTGTTAAGTATATTATATTGTTGTGTAGCCAGTCTCCAGGATTTTTTCATCTTGTAAAACTGAAACTATACTTACTAAACTGTAATTCCTTCCTCCACTTTCCCAGCTCCTGGCATCCATCTTTCTACTTTCTGTGTGTTTGACTACTCTAGGTAGTGGAATCATATAATATTTATATGAGTGGAATTGTCCAGTCTTTGTCCTTTGTACCTAACTTAGTTGAATCAATAATAACAACCCTTGAGGTTTATCCTTATTGTAACAATGACAGGATGTTCTTTTTTTGTTTTGTTTTTGGTTTATGCAGTTTTATTGAGTAAAAAAAATCAATTACTAGCAAAGCTGTTAGTTGATTACTCATTCATTAACAACTTGTATCCTTTATTCAGTGCTATATCAAATAGTATATTGAAAAATAGATTAATAGGTCCAAACCTGCTGATAATTTAAATGAAAATTACAAAATGTTTTGAGACACTATTTTGGAATACAAAGTGTTCGTCAATTTCCATCCTCTGTAGAAATACATCACACTTTCTATTGTGCTGATGTTACAGATTCAAACCAGTTCTCCAGCCACATCAGTTATAAGCATAAAGTGTATCAGGTAGCCTCAAATCTTAAAGAATAGATCTGCTAGAATATTGCTACGTCCTTTGAAATGGCAAATAAGCATCCATCCCCCTTCCTGCAGATGATTTCTTCAGCATATTACAGCAGGGAGGAATGGTTTATCTCATAACAAAGTTAGAGCGAAAACATAGGCCACATAATACACATGTCCATTTTTTAAATTTTTTCTGGGCCTTGGGCAACTGTTCTCTTTGTAACTACTTTACAGTTTCTGGGAGCAGTTATTATCCAAAGCCAGAAAACGTTAATCTATTCAGTTGAGCATGTGAATGAATGGAGAGAGGTAAACAAAAAGATGAAGTCTGACAGTAGAGCATCCAGATAAGAAACTCAAAAAAAAGAATAGTAATCTTGATCATACTAGGGATTGAGCTACAACCCCAAGCAAAAAGGGAACAATAATTTAAATTCCAGGTATAACGTGTATTTTTCTGACTTTAAGATACTTTAAGAAAGCATCACATGACATGCTTCTGAGTCCATTCTCAAGATATTCTGTTGTACTTATCTCTGTTTTATAGATGTGTGCAATCTGTGGTAGTAGTGTTCCCCAGGGTGGTCTAAGGAGACCCTGGTCCAGAAGATGTCTTGCGTCTCTCCAAGAGAATTGCATGAAACACAGATTGCAAAGCAGTAGCAAAGCTTTATTAAATGAAAAAGGAAAGAATAGGCACCACAAAGAAAGAGTGGTAGGCTCTTCTGACCAGATGGCACAGAAGCCCCTGTCTTTGTTCAAAGGGCATGGCGAGACAAATCTGGGCCATCTTTGCAGGAGGGGCTAGGGTGATTGACAGGATTGATCAACAAGGTCTTGTTATATAACATGGGGCATTCTGTGTATGCACTTATGCTGATTCCCAGGAGTTTAATTGTATGTTTGAGATGTGACCAATATTCATGAAGAGGAAGATAGCCTTGAAACAGGGCCATAAAACATGGTAAACTGTCAATTAAAAGCTGTAACCTGGAACAGAACTGTGAGAGAGCCATGCAAAAGTTCAGGACTGAGATGAAAGGCACCATGCAGAGGTAAGCAACCATTCCTGCCTTTCTTTGTCTCTACTTGTAAATAAACTTTCCAAAGTAGGCCTTCCCTGTTGTTCTTATCTAAACATTAGGTCCCTAGCTCACTAGCAGCCCAGTTAACCTAAACAATCTAACTCACTGGTTAGGACACCAAAACCTGAGCACATCTTTGTAACCTGATGCCCTGCACTACCTTTTAAATGTCTTGTGAATCCTTTGTTCAGGGCTCAGACACAGGTAAACTAGCGGGTGGGCCTGCTACTAGTGTAAAAATAAAATCTGAGTTCTCCAGACACTCCTCCGAGTGTCGCTTGGTTTCTTGTCTGACTATATTGCCACAACATCTTTCCCCCCCTTGATGCTTTTTCCACTTTTGGACAAGCATCAACACTAGACTTTAGAAATTCCACAGGGTTCTTGTTGTCCCAAATGCCTGTATTGTGTTACTAAGAGCTGCAACTTTATCGCCTCCATCTGGGAGCTAATAAACTGAGTTATGGCATTAAGAATGCATGGACCAAATATCAGTGCCAATAGAAGCATAAAGATAGGGCCAGATAATGGAACGAGCCTTGATGCCCAGTTCCAGATATTGCTTCATCTGTTCCAAGAATTTGCTAATTCCTGCC